TAAAGAAAAATGACCTCACCTTAGCAGGAAAGTTAGAGGGGTTTAGAAAGGATAGGATCCTTTCTTGTTGAGGAAGTCCAGGCTTCCTTCCATATGGGGTAGGTTAGGGGCTTAGGCTCGAATATAATTATATAGCCAATCGGTTCCCCCATGCCAGAGAACCCCCAAGGTTGAAGACAATCAAAGGTTTCACCAGGAATAATTTACAAGATTAGGATTAAACAAACTTTTGGTCATGCGTGGGCACTAGGCCATCAGGTACACCGCAACAATATATATCTTTCATAGGTTTTTACGGCTTTAAGATTTCCGCATTTTATCTTATCATCAAAGCACTCAGAGCTACGGGCCAAGTACATTAAATATGCATATTAAGTTTAAAAATTCAGATTACTAGACTATTTTGTTAATTTTCAGAGGAGTTCGGGCTAATTTGGGGTGGTGGGCGCCGATATGGACAGAACAAATGTAGGCGATGGGACTCGAGACCAAAATCTCCGGAATGAACAGTGACCAGTAAGCCAGTTGACTAGGAGTACCGACCACGTAAAATGACAGCACTTTGTAAATAGCATTTCAAAGTGAGTTCTAGTCTGGATGCCAAAACTCCGTTATGTGCCCACTAAAGATTCATTCCATATCGTATGGCCTGAACTCGTTACAAATACTCAAACGATAGGTAAATTAAGGCAGACAGACTCTCCAGCTCCCATAACTTCTTCAGGGGCCAGTCATTGATCACTTAGCTACAAATAGACATGATGTAAAATCCACTTTCTAATGGCTCAATCATTCTGATATGATGGTAGCACAACATCTCCCACCATAATCGACCTACTGCCGGGCCCCCCTGACTCAGCGACCTTGGCTCCTTTTGCGGAAATGGCTGCACATCTACCCAACAAGACTTTCCCATCGATCTTTCGCTTTTTGGGAAGAGCAGCAAGTATTTCCATGCGTCGCACGCCCGTAGCTTGATCAACACATATCATTTGGCAGCGCTGGCACGGGTCAAAAGTATCGAAGCGAAGCTCGTTTTGCCCGATACAAATGGACGACCAGTTATCCTCAACATAAGGCTGTTCTGCGCGCCCTGGCTGAGCGGTCCGCTCCGCGATCACAATGTTGCCCTGGAATACATCTGCAGCAAAAGTTCTGCTGACGCCAGATGTCAATTTGGTGTTGGCCTTGATATTTTCATTCAAACAATTGAGTGAAGACTTGGAAACAATCAAAATGGCCGTTTCGCTGGGTACGACCAGATACTTTTGGCCACGCTCTAGGGGGAATTGATCACTGGGCGAGAAGAGCCCGAGCCTAGTGAATCTCCGTAACCGATCTTTCCAGGTGCTGGCAAGGTGTGGCAGCTGCATATCTAGACTTGCGTCTTGTGAGGAAATCCTTGCGAGTGTACAAGTTACGCCTAAGAAATCGGAAAAGAACGCCGAAACCACGGGTGAGGCGTAGGCGCGAAGACACGACTGATCTCCGTAGGCACTGAACGGCCGTTCTTGGCAACTCTGACGGACTGGAGTAGTCATCGTACCCATGCATGTACGGCTCCATGTAAGAGGTATTTCGAGGCTTAGTTCGTCATTTGCAGCCTTGGCGTCGTAGGTGATGCGAAGGATGTTGCGGTCGATATCAATAGAGGGACGTATGAGAGTCATCCGAGGGTGCTCCCTCTGTTTTATAGGCACACCAGTCCCAGCATGAACGAGATACCACTCCTGATCCCATGCGATCCCTTCTCTTTTGATTTCCCAACTCTTGCCTTCAGGGACTTTAAATGCGCCACAACCTTTGATGGGGAATATAGTCACACTTTCAACATAAAAGTGAGGAGCAAACAGGTTGTTTTCACCCAGGGGAGGACTCAGTGAGATCAATGGAGGCACTTTCTCAACATAGAACTTCTCGATGAAATCAATCAGCGAGTCAATATCGTCCAGGTTGGTCATTGCCCCCAGACTTACACGGAGAATGCCAGTCGGCCGGCCGTCTAATATGTCGTGATCATCACCACATCGTAACCCCGCGGCGTAATTACGGCGCAGCTCTTGGCTTGTCCATCCAAGAGAGAAGGCCGTTCCTCCAGGATTGCACACTGACCCAGAACGCAGTTGGATATTCTGCATTGTGGCTAGTCTTTCTACCTCGGTCTTAGGAATCCATTCCCCTCGACTATTTCTCAGATTGAAAGCGATGATCGGGCCCTGGAAAGCTGGGTTTCCATAACCTGATTGGTAGATCTGACAGACCTTAGAGTCATTGAAGTGTGCCATTGCAGCGAGTCGATCATAGACTCGCTTAGCGAGGAACCCAGTGTGGGCAGAAATATTTGACATTGACCCGTACAGACGTTCATGGGTGCCAATGGCGGCATCCAGCGCGATAATGCTGTGAAACGGAAGAGTTCCGTCCTCAAGCTGCGCATGAATCGAGGCTTCCTTTTTTGCATGCCACTGCGTTCCGGCCGCTATCACCATATCTACTGTGCCCCCGCCAAAGAACTTGCGTCGTTTGAGAATGCGGGCAGCGCTTTTTCGGACAATCAACGCTCCGAGATCAGGGAATCCAAAGATCTTGTAAAAGCTCAATGCCGTAAAGTCGGGTGCACCAGTTGCTTTACCTAGGTCAAGAGGAGCGGTTGACACAAACGAGGAAGCATCAAGAAGAGTGAATACATTGCTTGCTTCATTAGCAGCGGAGCGAATCTGCTCACACCAACGGACTGGGAGACGTCGGCCGTTCATGTTAGACTGGGCTGGAAATGCGAACAGCCTGGGTGCTTTTGACTGAGCTGTGCCTAAATCGGCGATCCAAGCATCCACATCGACATCTTGGAAGCATTGGTAGCCCATCTCGGCAACTTCCCTCACACCAACCACACTGGTATGAGAGTCAACATGATACCCATACCAGAAACCCCGAGAATCACAATCCCGAAACGAGTCAGCAACCAGTTTAATAGCAGCCGTCGCGTTTGCCACAAAAACCACGTCAAACTCCTCGGGGCTAGCATTGAAGAACTGGAGGACCCGTGTTCGCACCTCTTCTGTCCGTCGTGTGGACAATTGCGAAGATACAGACATTGAGTGGGGATTTCCAAAGAGACTGGAATTCATATCACGCGAGAACGCCGTGATTAATGACTTGGCATAAATAGTTGTACCGGCATGATCAAGATAAATTGTCTCTGTATCCCGTAAAGGATGATAGTAAGTACAGGTGGGTGGAATAGTATCAAGGAGGGGGACGTACTATTCAGATTAGGGTACTCTTGCTCTCGGATGACTTCCGTAGAGGCAGAATAACCCTGGCTATATCTTCCATAAATGAATTCTTCACGGTCACTTTCTGCCATAATTGACAGGTCGGATGGAATCAAATGTTTCAGTGGTACATGAGATTAAAGATTCAAATAGCAAATTATTAGTGACAATTATATATTTGCCGTAGAGTCTAGGATTCAGGCATTTAGGAAATATAAGAAAAGAACAGCTTGTTATGGTCATATGTATAAACCAGGTCAACATTACCAAAACATTGGTCCACATGTGGAGACGAATAACTGTGCAATACAAACAGAATTGTTTAGTCTACCACCTACGATCATCTTGCGGTAAAAGGTACATTTCAGTCGCATCGAGTGTTAGATTCCCTGTTCATTTCCTTGTGAAGCCATAATATCCATCTTGAGGTGAAATCTGTACGGTTTTATACTACTGGAGCGAATCTCTCTGGAAACGAAATGACTGTCGCATAATGATGGATACTCTAATACTTGAACAATTGTGTTGACTAGGTGGCAGCATCCCATCTTCATAACCGAAACGTTCATTTTCACATGGCAATAATTTTCTCAAAAACTCTAGAGTACAACACTCAGCCATCAAATTCTGAAAAGTAAAGTCTCCAGTGCCCAATTTGATCGTTCTCATGGGGTTTAAATCATTAGATCTATTGATATTTCAGTTGAAATCTGTCCTTGATACAGTAAGACAGGGGGAAAGGTCTCCAACTCCAAACTCTTCAATTCCTGAGCCTGTATTCACTATCAACTCAAGTGTATATATGCGGTGGCATGAACATTTTTTTCCCTTCCTTTTCCCTAATTTTTCTTTATTTCTTTTTTACCAAGCCATAATTTAAGCTAAAAATACATTGTACTGTTCAAAAGTATCCATAAATCTATAAACGGCGATTTGTACGAAGCAACAAAGGGAAGCAGCAACTATATTTTGGATTAACATGCAGTTGGCCCTCTCATAAAAAGATTTCGCCTTGACACCTACGCTTGTTGCAAGCTTTGTAATGTTGAATTACGACCTATTCTGCAGACTAGGAGAAGCATGGCGAATCTACCAGCGCGGTAGTAACAATTATGATGCTACAAAAGCAGCATTTGTCTAATTCCCATTACTGTAACGTTCTTCCCACGCCGATTGTATATGTGCGCTGCTGTGTCTCAAACACTATTATGCTAAGCATATACAGACGCGCTCGAGATCAGTTTCACAAATTTGTTCTCAGTTGCTTGACAGCCTCTATTTTTTTTCGACACTAGGTCTAATTTGGCTACTATATATTCATTACCTTTGTCCAACTCGACACTTATGGATTGGCTAGGCTACATGTAGGCCGAGGTAGGTCTGGCCAAGACTTAAGAAAGAACCACAGAGAATAAAATAGTGAAACTATTTTCGAGCGGACCTATATTCTGAAAGAAATTGTTCAGTTTTTCTACAGCTATATTCGAAATCAATTTCACTGTAACTCCAAACTCTCTCTCTTTGTTTTCTTGAGCTCCACCTACACTAGTCCTCAATTAGAAATCTTTCCGCTAGACTTGGATCTGTCTTCGATGAGATGGTGTAAATTACAGTAATCTCATCTCTTGGCAACCCAGACTCGCTTACCTCATTAAACCTCGCAAAATTTTTTAACAAATCCATTTCATCTACCTTCCCGTTCCCTTTTTTTTGTTGTACCCAACCATGTTTCATCCTGCTTCTCTTGACGATCAGAAGATCGTGACTGCCGAGAACAGCATCTCGTATCGATTTACCGACCGGCTTGAACTTCGACAAGCATTACAGTTAGCAGATAGTATCCATCAGGACGGGAACAAGAATCTCGCTTTACTCGGAGATACTGTCATTCGGCTAGTTTTTGTTCAGGAGGGCCTTTGTCGAGGTGCGCCCCGTGGTAAGTGATGAGATCTCACCATCCATAGTGATATGATACAGGTCCGCTCGAAATCAGTTTCACCATTTTGTTCTCTTTGATTCTTTCTTAAATCTTGGCGAGATCCACTTAGATGTCCATCTGGCCTAGCCCATCATCCACTGCCGAATAGGAATAAAGTATTGAATGGCCACTATCAAAGATAACAAATTGGTGAAACTGATTTCGAGCGCGTCTGTATTGATCGATTCATCCGCATTTTTCCTAGGTCAGATAAACAACACCATATCGCAGAAATCGTCGAACGTCTATCTTGCGCAGCGAGGCTTCTCCGCAGGCCTGGCAGAATGTGTCTATAAGAATCAATCTCAAGGGAACACAATCTACCCGGGCCCTATGGCTACTACTGTGGAAGCCATCGTTGGAGCTGTCTTCAAGGATAGCGGAGAGAAAATTACGGCTGCAAAAGGCACTATGGAGGCTTTGGGCATTTCTTGGCATGAGTGATATCTCCATCATAGGTAACGTGTCTTTGCCCCTCTTTGAAACAAGTCAAGATGAGAGTAAGTGCTTGTGTTAATGGGACTCTAGTTACTCCCCGTAGAGGCCTACGGATGCTTCTCTGCTGGGGCTGATCGGTGGGACTACAAACGCGCGGAAGTTACATTTCGAAGCATGGTGATGTGAAATCGACCCGCTTCGAATTGGATTGTCGCGCTTTGTAGTGCCGCCCACTTGCCCCTGCAGAGCAGCTTCCATACGCCCGTACGAGGATGAAGTGGGCTTCTCAAAGCTACGACGCCATTTCTGATCATATTTGGCTCGAATACACCGACGAGGATGACCAATCACTAATACCAACCTAGGCTGTCGTCACCATGTCAAACTGGTAGCCTGGCGAATATGATCTTCATCAACTGAAGATTATGGTGATTTCCCGCTTCAACTTTCATTGTTTCATCAACTGAAGACACAGACACTCGTTAGGTAGTTTTCTGAAATCATTTTATCAAAATTGGACCCGGTAAACTTGCCTTGGTGCCTAGTCCGCCGCGCCAGCGAGATCGCACAATGAATAACGATCTGTTTTGACTTACCACGACCATAACCCGATCAGAATGGATTGCGACTAGATCCTCGGCTTTTCAGGTCCTCATATACCTGGAAATGTAGGATTGGTAGATACGACAACCAAAATAAATAGGCTGGGAACAATGAATATTTCACTTGGTAGATGGCACTTGATGACAACAGAAAAATCTCAAGTTGCCAAGAGATGAGATCACTGTATGGCAATCTACGTCAGGCCATCGAAGGTACATACATCCACAGACGCAATCCGGGCGGAAGGATATCCCAGTAGGGAAGGGACTAGTGCGATTTAGGCGATTTAGGTGGAGCTCAGGAAAACAAAGAGAGAGAGATTGGAGTTAAAACTGATCTCGAATATCACTGTATCTATACTATTTATTTCCTCTAGTGTTTATAGACATGATGTTGTGTACTCACCCATAAGCGAGACGAATCGTGGGAGCTCCATGGGATTCAGGCTGATGATGCGATACGGGCCTGATAGTCCAGACAATGACATTTCAAATCTCATGTATCTCAACAATGTGGCTGTCTGAGACTTGGAGTTTGCCCTGACAGTGGGCTATATTGTCAGATATATCGTGAATCTGCATGTTTATTTTGGGTATTTACCTGAGACTCACCTAGGACATCGGAATCAGAAACTTCACCTAAGAGTACCATTCTTCTTTGTCAGCATGTCCTAGAAATTAGCAAATTCATAATTCTTTTATACTTAGCGAGTTTGAAATTGATATTACAATATTGGTCAGATTTCTGTTCTATATCATGATACTCTGACTTATTTAATGTTGCCTGATGGTGATTCATCGTTACTTTCTGAGCTTGGTTTATTGCTTAAGACCCCAATACATATAAGAGTTGAAGAAAAATTTCTTCCAAAATACAGGAGGCCTTCCTATGCGCATAGTCTCTGCCAGTGTAGGTACGGTGATCCTTTGTTTTATTGAACTTTCTCCTATCGAAATAAAAGCGGAATAGAGACAGGTTCAAACCTAGATATGGAAAAGATACAGAACATCAAAAACATGAATAAGCATACGCACTGGCTAGGAAATTTGTCGCAGCTGTCTTTCTGAACTATATTTTATATTAGCAAATTGATCGATACATGTGTTATAGTGGACTCACGGGTGCTTTGGAGCCATTTAACCTCTCCCTGTACTAGCAGACTGTATACAGGCATACTACCAATAACCAGAGCTGCAATTACTGCCATAGAAGCCAGATGAAGGAGACGAGGACGATGATAGCTGTCACAGTAGAGATGTTTCCGCGTTCTGATCCTGCACCGTTAAATTCAGGATTGCTCCCTGAGGTTGGGCTGCTCACAGACCCCAATGAACTGGATCGCCCTGGGACATTCTGGTATGATCTAGTGGGGCCCTTTATCACCTGTTGAGAAGGATGAGACGATTTGGCTCTCTTAGGTGTTGTTGGTGGATGGCTCAACGCATTCGGAAATCCGGTGCTTTTCGGCCTCACAGATCTAGTTTTCGAAGCTGGCGATCTACTTGGGGCTTTATACACCAATGGAGATGATATCTGGCCTATAGATGTAGTTTTGGAGTAACCTAGAGAGCCCGAATGCAGAAATGGGCTAGTGGTCTGGGTGCCTTGAGGTTTACAGGCACGATTCAAACTGGGAGGTGTAAGACTTTCGTAAGAGATGAAAGGGGTTGCTGCATCAGTAAGACCGGTGGAGAGTTGCATCGCTTAGTGGATATATCTATCGTAGGCCTTCTGAAGGTAGGATTCCAAATCTTTCTAGTCACTCGAGGGATTTGTATTCCTATATATTGCATTATCCGTTCGAGCTACACACGGCTCCTTTTTCTGATGGTGTTCTAAGGCTCGGAATCTAGTAGGCGATAAAGTCCTCTTAACAAGGTTGGTTAGTCATGCCATCAACTTTGCTGGATTGTGAAAATTTTGGGCATCCGCTTGTTGCTTACTCTTTAATTGCACTCTAGATCTTCCAAGACCATGGAATTCTTAGCCCGCTCTAACTAGATACCCACCGCTCGAAATTTTCAGTGCTTCTTGCTCAAAATGTATTGTCCACAGTAGATAACCTTCCGCTAGGTCCTTTCAGATAATGGGCAGAACAGGCCATGTAGAAATGGCTATCTTATACACACACACAATTCATTAACGCCCGGCGGCTGAGCCGAAAGGGCAACTATCGCTAAACTACTATACATGTCTTAGTATATACAATTCTGTGACTCATTGGAGCCCATACACAAGATCTTGGTGTATTTGTCATTCTCAGCATGCAGTGTCGAAGCGGATGCTCGTGGGTTAGTAATGCGGTTAGTAGATTGGCTTGAAGGCGCTTCTCCAAGTGCTCAACATCCTATCTTCGGCAGTTGAAGCGCGTCCACCATGAGTAGCACGAGGTGGTTGGTGGCTTAGGTTAGAATGAAAGGTGTGATTTATGTTCGTCGGCGGGGTTAAGGCGGCCTGTGGCTATGGCGAATCGTATCGAGGCTCGTACTGCCTCAAAGTTCGGCGTCCACTTTTGATCGTCGGAGGGCGACTTCCCTCCCAGGTAAAAGGACAGAGTTCCTCGGTGAGTGTCGGTACATTGTAGCATATCCGTCCGGTGTGTGGTCCACTTCCGACATCGAAAGAGGAAGTGCTCCACGGTTTCCTTAGCTTGTCCGCACGCACACTGATCCGCGTCGGCCGCGTTGATTCGATAGAGGTATCCATTCAGTCTCGCCATGCCCGTCCGGAGTTGGGCTAGCACGGTCGCTTCCTTCCATGTCAAGCGATCATACAGCTGTCGCGTGTGTTTTCCTGGGAGTGCTGCATCTACTCGTTTGGCGTGCTTTCCGACGTCCACTGGCAGGGTATTTCTGGGGACTGCTTGAGACCGTGCGAGATTCAGTGTGGTCGATTTCATCCTCGGGGCGCGTTCTTGTAAGAGGGCATCTTCTTGTGTCGCGGCTCTAGCCTGTTCTTTAGCCAGACCTAGCAGCTTGTTGTCTTCACTGGCAGAAACCCAGCGGAATTGAACATGGTTTCCATTCTCTGCAACCTTTTAATCAACTTGTATATCCGACACACGAACTCCTGGCCAGATTGTTGTCGAGGGTTCCTGAGTGTGCGAACCGCCACTTTGTTGCTTGTGAGCAGCGTGATCGTGTAGTCTTTCACTCCTGTCGCCGTGCTCAATACATGTGTCATGGCTGCCAGTTCCGCAGAGAATGGATTCTGCTCTGCTCTTGCAGCCAAGGTGATGGATAGCGCTTTGTGTTTGAGCTTCCGATTCCGAGGCGGTCGCTTCTCGATGGCCACTCCAAAATCCACCAGCTCGTTCCGTGCAGAGCTGCTAACCGCGACCTGCATGCACCCGCCCGCTTCGGCCAGGGACTCATGCTGCTCATCAATGTCGGTTTGTACGCGTTCCGCCCACGGGATTAACGTGAAGGGGTTAATCGTTTCTAATGTCTCTATGTCGATATGTTTGAGCGTATCGGCTACATGATACAGTGGTGAGCGGTGGTATCGTCTGAACTTTCTGATCTGATCTGTACACCGGCGAAGAGGATTGGTTTCCGGCAAGGTGTGGATGTCTGTCCACAGTTTCACGGCTCGTTTCCAAAATCGACGTTGTGCAGTAGCCATGTGAGCCTCCGCCTCTGCGACACTAGTCGCGACCGTGAGAAATGTCCCCACAATGGCTTGCGCGCCTACTCTGTTGACTCGGTTGATCGGCCCCATGGCTTTATCCTTGCACGCCCTATCTTATACACACAAACACATACACAATTCATTACGCCCGGAGGTATCAAGCCTAGAAGGCACCTATACGCTATTTGATCTTTCCACTGCATAAATTTTGTCATAGTCTCATTTTCGAGAGGAAAAGCTGAACTAGCTGCCAAAAACCCCTCTAGCCCATACGGGTATGTCCTTAACTATTTCTTCTTGTTGTCGTCGTCGTCATATCCTCTCCCCAAAAGCAATAACCCATCCCTCTATAACACCGGACCCCCCACGTGTCCATTCTCGATGTAGTTTCGTGAACCTCTTCCCTGAGTAGCGATTTACCGAGAGTACTTCTCATATTAACGCCCGAAGTAGCTGACTGCCTCGCTGGCGGCAACACCAGATAGCAGACGAAGGACTGACGAATCGACATGCGATCGAACCGGTAGGGCAGGTGAGTTATTGTGAACAAAGCCCCGTGAGGATAGGTTGGTAATTGGTAGGCAGGTCGGTTGTTCGAAGGCTCGTCGACATCGCGACGTTGTCGACGTGCGAAGTTGTCGACGTGTCCTTTTGAAGGCTTCCCGCCGCGTTGTCACAACCAATAAAGGGGTTTCCGCCGGAGTTTCGATTTGGAAAGTTCTCAGCTTCGGTCAGACATTGTAGTCCAACTTACTGACGTCCCTCACCACGAGAAGGTGACTTTCCACGAGGGACCCTATCTTATATGTAATGGAAATGATATAAGCTTCATTATTGAAACAATTCAATGCTATCCGCCTTGTTGACGAACAGGCCTTCTATTTGGCTCTCATATCTTCAATTGACTAACTTCCAGGCAGTGTAATATGAAGCATTTCGCGATTGTTGGATATCCTATCATCTGTAAATATTCCGAGATTTTAATATACAATTCCATTTTGTTGCATTGAATGTCACAGCAGGTAAACGGTGAACGACGAAGGTGGATCTCGAAACATTCAATGAATAAAGCCTTCTCTTGGCGATTTATACATAGTGGTCCTCGACTCGGTGTTTGAGTCTCATCCGTCATTGCGCCAAGCAACTGCGCTGAGTTGACACATGATTTTGCTTTCTCGATACTGAATGAACCCTCCATAGTAGCCACTGTTACTTGGTCACTGCCGCCAGAGGCACTTACCTCGCCAATGCTGTATATCTTCTGACTGGGAACCTCGCTGGTCATCTTGCACACCTCTTCAGTAGTATTTTGGGACGATTGAGACAATCCTCGATTGATCAAGGATTTAACACGAGACTTCGCGTCTTCACAAACACGAAGGCATTGTATAGTTGCTTTTCTCTCGTCTTCCAGGTCCACACGGATGTCTGAGTTACAAGCATTTTCGGAAGTAGACTGTGCCAATTTATCATCAATTCGCTGTAAATGGACTCCAAGATTGTATGCCGTATCCTGAGCCAGTTCATCGTACTCTTGAAGGTCTTGGTGCGAGACTTTGGAGGTTTGCCTTGTTGAATGAGGTTAGCCGAGTCCATGATAGGCACTGAATTGCAACTAACATAGTGTCGCAAGCAACTTGTTGCGTGTTCTTTGCAGGCATTTCAGTCATCAGCTCATTCGTGAATCTCCTTTGTCGAATCGGGGCCTTATTCCCAAAGCTACTGTACTATGGAAGTAACAAATTGTACTTTAGACGGAGGTGAGAACCAAACTTACTTACTACGTGTAAACGACAAGAAATATGGCATGATAAATGATCGAAGTATGGAAGCATGGGGCTGAAATGTTGCTCCTGCGCAACCTACGCAACGAGGCGTGCGTGCACCACTTCACTGCCCCCAAACCAAAGAACACAGCCATCATGTTTTCTCATTGATGTCCATCACTAGAAGAGAAAGCCATAGATATGCACTGGCCGCAGTTTAAGCACATCTTGTCAAGCCTTGCCTTTGATTTGGAGCCACTAATGCTATCTTTAACTTCCTCAACCCGGCCAACACGGTCGCTTTGAGCCATTTAATGCCAGATCAAGCAGATCCCACGACCACCTCAGAGCCTCGTAAGAACTCCATGATAACATAACGCTCATGCGAGATTTTGACTTTGCTACTTTGAATGAAGCCATCATTCTGCAAGCAAGCTAAGACTCTGATATAACGTTAGCACAGAAGATTCCCCTGAGCGATTGTGATTAATCCAAGACCTACTCTTGAGTATCAGCCCGTACCTCAACCCAGACAGATTGTGTCCTTTGGTCAGACTGCCAGCAGTATTGAATAGCTGAGGCTAAAAGTAGTGCCAGATTCTGAGCCCTGCTGAATTCGTCATTTCCGATACAAAGCCGAATACCTCGATCCTGCTCTTTCGCCTCGTCAAGCTCCTGACCAAGGCAATCGTCGCGCATCCAGAATATCTCGAAATAACTGGATCGACTTGCGTCGCTTTGGATCACTCTTCGCAATTTGAAGAACTTGTAGAAGACAGAAAGCCCCAGGCAGATCACAAAGGTGACTCCTGTGACAATGGTTGTCACGAGAGCCATGACGGACAATTCACCGCCTTGTGAAGCGCAAACATTGACGATCGTGGTAAGCAAACCAGCCGCTGCATTTAAGGTTGCTGGCCTTCAACTCAGTTAGGTCCTAGTATTTCATTTCGAGGGGTTGCCTTACATAAAGAGCTTATTAGTCAACCAAGAGTAGTTAGCTTTGTACATTTTGAATAGCCACCCCAATACGGTCGCACCAGTGACTAGGAATAGGCAGGCAAAAACAAGGAGCGGAGGATTCTGTATAGTGCTGAGGACTACCCGCCCTGCGTTATTCTTTTCCAATGTTTCTTCTACGCTATTTGATTCTTTTAGCGAGGTGAAAGTGCCGGGGATGACCAAATACCCTGCAAGCAGCACCCAATTTGCTCCGCTGGCGAGCAAATTGTAAGTCCAGTTCATTTGCGCCTCTTCTTTGAGCATCCTTGTGTATGGCGTTTCATTCCCCGAGATCCCATGGAATCCTGCTTGGTTCATGCGCTGATCCCCAACTGTGTCGGTGCGGCATTGTCGTTTGATCCAAGCTTGGAGAGATTCTATTGATCGACCCATCGTGCTAGCGAAGACAACCGCATAGAGAGAAACTATCTACACGTCAAACGAATTCGAACACCCTGAATATATATACCTATTATAAAAATTTCGGTGAAGTTATATAAGTATATTGTAGAGAAATAAGGTCCCTCAACTTTGTTAGTTCACAAATAGAGTAGGTTTACATATATATGTGCCTCCCTTATAGCCCAGACTCTTATTACTGAATGATGCCCTCTTTTATTTTGTAACCAAGTTTGACAACTTTTGTTTCCTATATTTTTACTGGTCGATTGTAACCTACCACAAGAACTTTTTTGCTGTGTACCTTTGCAGAGCCCCAACGAGTCAGCCATGGTTTCAGTATTGGAAAATTCGCTTTCAGCGGGTAATAGTCGGAGAATTTCTGGCCTCATCAAAAGTAGCAGCCCATTTTTATAGCCTCAGGGGATGGCTGCCGAAAAAGATATTATCCAAAGATGGAAAATCAACCCCTCTTCTAGTTGTATATCAATTGTTATGTCCACTCTGGCCATCGTGTTCTACTATTTTTGGTATGACCTTTTTCTCGTTTCCGCAGAGTCACCTACCTTTTTCAAAAACGGCAAGACAATCGCACTTTCTTCCAATTAAAAAATCGCCGCTCGTACAACCATGTGGTACCCATCCATTTTACTGGCTAAGTTGACATCAGAATGAATCAAATCCATATAGCACCCACATCATCATTGAACACGCCGCAGAAATAAAAATGATTAAATTCGTGTATTTTTGACAAACAGAAAGAGCATTCAAAGATGTGCTAACATCCTACCAGTATTTAAAGGCTTGATGTCCTGGAGGCTTTAGATTTTGTTTGCTATTTTTATTTCAATTTCAATGGCAGGGTGGTTAGATCTCGTCTCGGACTCCACAGGCTGGACCTTGGTAGACACTGGACGATTGGATGATCTAATACAAGAAATGAGCCACCCCAGTACCCAATTTCCTTCGGTCGTATATTTTGCAGGAAATGGCAGCCGGGTCAAGGCGCTTCGCGCCCTCTTCCCATACAACAACATTACTCGCAGAGGATCAGCTGGTCTGGCTCGACTGCATTTGAGCACAAGAACTGCAAACACCGAGCATCCTGTTCTTTTAGTGGAAAGCAGCATATCCAGTGTTTCCGGGGTCGGTGAATGCGATCTGCGCCGCTGGTCATCGGACAATCTTCGACGATATCACATTCTTCAAGACCGGTCTCGACGAGTATCGGAGATGCAGCAGCAAGTTATTTCGCAGATGCTCTTGCCATGGACAAATCTGTTCTGTGTATTCGTAGATACTAACTCTGAGATTCGCGACGCCTGTCAGCTCCTCAAAAGATACCACCGGACTGTCACAATCGGCTCCGAGCCCACGGCAGATTCAATGCGTATTGTGATAGTTCTTACAGCTGCTCAAGATTCTGAAATTGGTGATATTTCTGAAGTTTCCCATGAGTTTCAGTCGGCTGGGATAACTGGTGTGAATATCACAATCCTAGACCTACGTGATCGGTATGAGTTATCCCCAACAGCAGCTTTTGAGCCATTGCGCAGTCTCATCTTGAATGGAACACGAGACATCCGGGCAGAACAGAGCCGCCAAGGGTTATCTTTCTCGGCTACACACTTAAATACCCTCTGGACGCGAACCCTGCGCCTAGAAATTGGGTCCTCGGACGCTACTGTTTTGGACTGCCTTGAAGTTGCGCGGGAGAATCACCGGCTGCATAATATTCAGACAGAATGCTTATTCGAGTTCATAAACCAAGCAAACAGTCACGCTTATTCCCAAGATGGAATTCATAATTTTATTGCATCGGCGTTGTTGATGAATGCCTACCCACCTGGAATGCATGGTGCGTAACGTACCTCTTTATTACGTAACCCTGCCTTGATCAAGTGTATCGCTAACGATCACAGGCTTTCATCCAGGCATCGTTTTTAATACTCTTTATCGCTGGCACTGTTTGGAAGCATGGCGTACTCTGGGGAATAACGACGAGGACCAACATTGCAATGCCGTGTTTGCTGATTTTACGCGGCTCTTCCGTTCAATGGGTCCAAGCAGGTCCTCTGCAAGTATCAGAAGGGATTCATTACATACTTATTACCTTCAATGTAATGGGTCAAGTTCAACAACGACTTGTTTCTTTTGCTTGTGTCGATCACCAGAACATATGCTAGGGTGCCGGCATGCAATCTGTGATACCTGCGTTGTGATTTTTGGGACTCCAAACAAAAGCGCTGAATATCGCTTTGACATTATGAAGTGTCCGTTATGCCACAATACTTCTCATCTGACGATCCGTCAACTACCGCCCACGAAACGACCCCTGGTGCTTAGTTTGGACGGTGGTGGGATCCGAGGCATCATTCAGCTGGGTCTCCTACGTGCACTGGAAAAGCGACTTGGGCATGGAATGCGCATACATGATGTATTTGATCTATCTGGAGGGACAAGCGTTGGTAGGTGGCCATCATGGCATTCAGTTATTTCGTTCTTCTCCTTTCTGCCCTTTCCCGTTCTTCCTCGTTGACTCTTGTATTTATATTATCTGACCATGCAACAGGGGCTCTTAACGAAATAGATCTTATGCTAAATGGCTCATCGGCTGAAGATAGCTTTTGGAAGTTTCCTGATTTTGCCAGGAAGGTCTTTCAGCTAGCCTCAGCTCCCTCGCATAAGTTCTCAGTTTTTAGTTGCGCCAAATGGATTAAATGTGTGGCTGGTTTCCTGGCCGATGGTCAATATGATGGAATAAAGCTCGAGAACACTCTCAAAGAGGCAATTGATCCAGCGCGGCGAATGTTTGATGTGAGCACAACTCGGACTGCCGGCATTCGAGTAGCCATTATCACAAGTCGTATTTCCGATGGGAAGGCCTGCGTACTAGCAAATTATCGCGGCGCTGGTCGACGCCCAGTCGATTCGGCGTACCAGTTTTTGAAACCGGAAGAAGAAAGTCAGAATCCATTTCTATGGGAAGCGTGAGTGCTGTTAATCCTTTATCACTACATTGATATGAATGCTAAAAGCATTGCATCCATCTCTTCATGGAGCTGACTCTTGGCATTTTATAGCGCTCGATGCAGTGTCGCTGCTCCTTGGTAAGCAACTTAAATCAAAGACAACCTATCGCGTTGCTGAACTTAATTCTCAAATAGGTTCTTCCAAACGAAAACTCTTCCTGGATTCGGTCCTTTGCAGGATGGTGGAGTGCGGGCCAACAATCCCTTGGCGATTGCACTGAAGGAATCCGCTACTATCTGGCCATCGCACGGAACACCTGATTTGCTTTTATCAGTTGGTACCGGTCTTTCAAGTCCCGAGTATAGGTCTCAAGATACCCCTCTAGGAAGTGTTCTTCAAGATGGAGCTGTTCCGCGCATTATCAGAGCAGCCATGTCCTCGCCGTCCATGGATGGCGAGCAGGGCTTTTTTGAGGCACTCAATTGTGTTCCAGACCGTATGAGAGCGCATATATTCCGACTCAATCACGCTCTGCCTTGGCCTTTACCTAGGCTGGATGATGTAGAAAGATTGACAGATCTTACGGAATCGTCATACAGCGTCCCAGATGAACTCGTTCGTGCGATACTGGCCACAGGCTTTTTATTCTTCGAATTGGACGAAATACCTATCAAAAAGCAAGGAAGCTTCTATTGTGAAGGTTCAATTCTCTGTTCAAGTCATGATGCTGGTCATTTGATCAAGAGGGTGCTCCTTGAGTTCCCGGGGCCTCGGTTCCAAACTGGGAGCGGATACCATCTTGGTCTGATTGCCAACGAGGACAAGTGTCGGGGATGTGGCTACTATCGTAAAAGAGTTGCTTTTACAGTTCATAGTCTAGAAGAGGTTATCTCGATTGAGATTGCAAACTCTTCTTTCCGGCACAAAATTGGTGGCTTTCCAAAGTCGATGCAGGAAATTCTGGAAGATCAACAAGCTTACGCATGTTTCGGACGCGCTGACCATCTAGAGGATTGTTGGCCCCCGAAAAGAATATGCTATTGCACTAGTGGAACTAAACGACGGGTCCAATTTTTGGAGCCCTGCCCGGAGAGAACGAGACGTCGGTTGTAGTATCCCAATCCAAATCGATTGCAGTCATTGATTATGCTTAATTCTTGAGACTTTTGTGTGCTGAGATGAGACAATTTCTACCTTTAACTTCTGAGAGATTATCACTCTGTTTGTAGCAAATTCTCCCAAAATTGTATCAAGACAAAGATATATTTCAACCCAAGGCAAACTGAAGTGCTTAAAAATTAGGCTCACCTCTAAAAAGCATGTAATAATGTCTGAAGATCCGCGAAAAGCCTTCTATCCGAACAAAAAATGAAAATAATGCGAAATTGAGTTTGGTCTTTAGATGATATTTCAAATATCATAGCTGACTCCTTTTTTAAATTGAACCAATTATTCGACAGTGCTACGCTCATTCCAAATATTGGCTAAATTTACGCTTCAGTGGCAGGAGAATTATTGTCTGAGACTCGGAATAAGTATAGCCGCAGTCGTTCTTTATTATTGAAATTACTTATTATTATAACCCGATAACAAGTGAGACCACATTCGTAAGTACTACCCCAAAAAGAATATTTGGGGAAAGAAACCCAAGTCAGTTGTGAGTGAATTTCATGCGGGTGTCTGATCCGGGCAAAAAGAATTCCACCCTGTTTATTCGCTCCTAGCACAAAAGTCCAATAGAAATTTTTGAGGGTTCCAGAAAAAGTCATTGGCGTGATTAGCGTTGGCAAGAGTTAAAACAGCTTCTGCGCTTTAAAATGGAGTCTTGTTCCTTGCAGAAATATTCATCTTCATATCCATTCTCAAAATGTCCTCGGAAGCGACCGAGAATCGCTTTTCCAGTGGCGCTTCTTCAAGCATCTACAGCCGGTCGCCCAATTCACCAAAAGATATTTTGATAGATGATTCGATTCCGCTTCCGACCGGACATGACCTTCCAGAAATCAATTCATTGGACCATCAGATTGCCCTGGTTCGTGGCTCTACTATAGCTTTAGAAACTACCCGCAAACGTCTGAAAGAATCCAAGGATAGACGCAGACTCTCGCTGCCAGAATCACGTCAAGAAAAGCTCCGCCAATGCCAGATTCAAGAACGCGAAAACCATTTCTATCGATCATGCCTTGATATATTCCATACTTTATCCACAGCTGTCGCTGAGGTTTCCGAAGGCTTGACACTGCAATATCTCTTTGAGCCAGAGGCTAGTCCTGTAGGGAATGTGCGAGTTTCTCACGCGGTCAATTCCTTATGTGTGGCCTTGGAAAATTCCCGCGTGCAGGAGGCACGAGCAGAGCGAGAGTGGAAACGTCAATGGAATGTTCCACGAATTTGTAATCCTTCCACACGGTGGATTTAGCGCTATAGAACCTTTATCAGCGGGGTATCTGCAGTCCGAGAAAAGAAGTATGGAACAGTCATTCCTTAGCTGGCTAAACTAGCCTTCGTAGTATATTTTGACCTTGGCAGCGTCCTCCTGGGGGTTGAAGTTTAATACTCCACTTCAAATCAGGGATTAGAACTGGTCAAGGGAACATGTTTGCAACATTTCGATTACAATTTTATATCCCTGAATGGATTAAGTGTTATGAAATACGTCTGAAAATCGGAAAAGATTAATCTTTAACATGGCGTGCTCGATTTTCGGCATTCAAGGAGCGGGATTTAGTGTTGTCCGTCGATTACAGAGCTTTATTAGCATGATATAGGTTTTGAGTTGTGGCGTGTTGGAGCAAGAAAACTCCTTGATTGAGAGATCTCAGATTCCACAGAGAGCTACATCACTTCCCCATTCTCTTTGTTCTATAAAGATTCCAGGATAGGTACTTTAACGAGCTCCCCAGACCTGGGCACTAAATAAAATAGGTCTTGTAACATTGTAAATATAAAATTCAGCTAATTCGAGACCGTTACAGTAAAATTCGAAAACAGTTTACCCCTCGGGCACACAGCCTTTCTTTCCCAGCCCCCCACTCAGATCGCGCTAAACCGAATTAGGCCAGTAAAAGTCCCCACCATCTTTCTCGATGGATTTCTGGTAGATCACCAGAATTACCGTCAATCCGATTCCCGGAGCCTGAGGCAGACTATACTTACCGATGTGGCCCTTTACTGTTAGTTATTATAATTCGAAACCAGATCTTCTTAAAGGCGCTCATGCTATGCTTCTCGCCCATTATACCACCCTTATATATATTGACGCAGGAGTCAGGATTGAGCCTTGATGCATAAGCTCAATATTAGATTCAGACCTTGTCTGTCATGTACAAGATCCTTCTAATACACATAACTCTGATACTACCACCTGACTACTCCAACCCAATATCCCATGATATCAAATCTCCCTGTGATTGGAATTCTGGCATCTGCACGAAGCCATCAGGCAATAGAGAATGATATGCTATGGGGAACGAGGAGTAGTTCATAGACGCAAACCACGTGAGAAGATCCCCGTCCTCGGCACACAGACGCTTTCGTTTTAGATATCGAGGCGACGCAGGCGACGGTGAAAATTTCAAACCAGATTGAATTAGAAGATGTCGCTGACTAGGGAATTCCACGACAGCAAATTGGTCGGCAGGCACCTTAGATGGAATCAACTCTTGGGTAGGTCGGATGCGTATTGACATGTTCTGGTTTGGCAGCTCGCGTTTCAGCTGTTGCTTACCCTGAGACCTCTTATTGCCCGGATAATTGGGTCTGCAGGCAGCTTCCATGCATTCAGGTAGGTTCGCTCGTGAAATCGAAATTCTGTCATTTCCATCTGCATCTCGTTAGCCTTAGCCTAGATCATGTAGCTAACTGCAAGAACCTACCTGTTACCGCATCCAAAAACATTTCCTCCTCCTCTCTAACACGGTACAGCTCGTCCAGTAGTTTCAATCGTTCAATCGGAGAAATGTGTTGCTGAATCGGCTGTCCTGCACCTTTCAGCTTCTGCGCGGTGATTCTGTGGCTGGTCCGTAATTCGCATAGGATATGGACGAGGAGCGCGATGCGCTCTAATTCAAAGGTCAGATAACTCAATACTATTAAGAATAGCTAGTCTTCTCACCAGCTTTAGGGAGATGGTCGGGTTCCCGGTGGCTCACACCAGGTGGCCACCACGGCGGTTTGGTCTCTTCGGGACTGAATTGCTGTGTTTTGCCTGCTCCAGTCTTCCTTCCATTGTAGGGGTATTGAGCTTGCTTGCGAGGCTCGACAAGTCTTACATAAACTTTGGCAATGACTCGGCAATTCTTCTGTTGTAAGTTCCGAAAGACCTTTTCATAGTATTGACGGAGAAACCGTTTATTACTGACGGAAATTGTGGCCGTTTGGACATCGAGACTATGCTCCTTATCCCACAATTTTCTTCTGCGTTGCAAACTTGTCCCTAGTTTCGCTTCTTCGAGAACTGTAGGCGCTAACAGTGATGGGGGTGGAATCAGAGGCTGGCTGTCAGGCAGTGCTGGAGCAGAAGTTGGAAAGCCGCCTTCACTGGATTGTGCCATCGCCTCCAGAAACTCCGAAGTCACTTGAGGGGAAAGAATAGCATGGGGGCTGTTGGAGATAGAAGGAGACGTCTCATGGCAAATATTTCCTTCTCGATCAATATAAACAAGGGCAAAATGTTGATAACATTTTTTATCATGTTGATGTTGTCGCGGCATGCTGGTAGTTTCAACCCAGCCAAATTCCTGGAGCGGTGGTGTAGGTTTCCTTTTTCAAATGGCAGACTTGGTTGGGAATAGCGTCAAATCAAAGCGTACTTAACAAGTGCCCTAAGTGCAGAGCATAGACAATTGAGGGTTAACGCTATTATGAATAGACGCATGCCAGAACCCAGAGTTTTGTAATTGATCTATTAAGCCTCGCGGCGCACCGAATGGCTGGGCTATTGACTTTAAGGATCTTCCGACCCAGACAGGGATGCACTGACTCGCAAAAAAGATCGTCAAGAGATCATCACCGGTCACACATTACTCTTCACAGACCGCAAATGCTCTGCTGCGCCCCAAAATAACATACAGAAGGTTGCCTCAAGAAAGTGTCACCATTACGTCAAGATGATAAGGCAACGAAGGCGCGATGTACTATATACAGTAAGTATCTCAGGCTTGAAAGCTACTCAAACCAGCGCCCTAGCTGATGCGAGGATCCACCCCCAAATTCTTGAGAACCAATCAAGAACGACACAAAACGCAGATCACTTCCCATAGCAGAATGACTGGTCCTCCGGCAACAACATTCAAGCAGATTTCTTGTGTTCCATCCCCCCTTGGCTCTAATTGAGGGGCTCATGTTCCACAAACCACGTAAATTGTATTAAGCTAAGTAAGGCCTACGCCGATTCTGGAAACTGGAATTACTGCAATATTGGCGATCTATGTACCAGAAATACGTCGAGAAAGATGGTGGGGACTTTTACTGGCCTAATTCGGTTTAGCGCGATCTGAGTGGGGCGCTAGGAAAGAAAGGCTGTGTGTCCGAAGGGTAAACTGTTCTCGAATTTTACTGTATCATCAGTGAGACACAAGAGACCTTCAAGCAGGCGGGTTTGGCAAAATGCTCCCAGGATACGATCCATCTCGGGCGTGATCGTATATTATAATTCACTGGCATGAGCAACGTGGCACTGTCGTTGCCAACCTCAATGAGGGCCAGGATATCTCTAATTTTCCACAAATTTGGATCGGCCGAACAGATCAATTGTCTGTGCACAGAGCTGAGTTCATTCAAATATTTCATAACATTAGCTTGGCTAACGAAAAATCTGCCAGAGGCAGCAATTAATGAGCACTAAATCTAGATCAGCCTCGATCCTATGTGGTAGCATGTCCGCTCTGCAAGCGAAATGCAACGCAAATTACAATATTAACTTGTGGCAGTGGTCTTTCTAGGGATAATGTAGGCGAACTCGAAGCATTAAGTAGCTGGCCTTGCTTGCTGTGTGCAATGGATGCCGGAGCACCGTAAGAATTATATAGGTGACGCAGAAACATTTATTCAGCTTACTATAACCCTCCGTAAACGCAAACCCTCACAGTAGTGCTCCCGCACAATTAAACCAAAAAAGGTGACATTCCTTATATGGAGCCATTCATTTGGTGTTTTCAGGAGACGATTTGGCAATCAACATCTGTATGGCTAATAATCTGATTATCGAGGCAATAACAAAGCCCCTTTTGTAGATCCGCTGTCCTGTAAAGGTGGTTAGTTTCTAATAGTATGCCAAAATCCACACTTGATCAACGTACTTAATGATGCAGATGGTGTCAGTTGTTAAGGAAACTCCCCCTGAAGTAGTTACAGTTGCAGTTGCTGTAATGGGTCGAATCTTTGTAGGAGTCAGGGGCTGGGGTGTGACCAAGGACCCAGAGGGAGAAGATTGAGAAATTGCCTCTGAAGTGCTTATACTTGAAGGTACTGCAGGGGCGGATGATGATGTGGTTACCGAGGATTCTACTGGTGTCGAAGACACAATGGAGACCGTAGAAGTAGTCCCCTCTATAGCGCTCATACTTGGAGATGTTGCAGAGGCAGACGATGGACCAGCTGCCGAGGACTGCGGTACAGTCGAAGTCTCCATGCTAACCGAAGAATTAGTCCCCTCCGAAGTACTCATACTTGAAACTACTGCGTTGAGGGTGGAACAAGTGCAGCTTGACTCTGCCGAGGATGTCTGGTCAGATTGGGACTTCTTAGCCAAGGCCCCACTCCTTGACCCTTTTGCAGTATTGTTGGTATTTGTAACTGAGATCGAAAATTCGTTGCACAGAAACTTCGAGCCTTCCATGCCTTGTAATAGTCAGTCATTTGTTAACTATTGGGACTTGCATACCAACAGTTCATAACAGCTGTCTCCAGGTGTTCTGCGCAGTTCTCGGAAAGCGAAAATGATCTTTCGTGGCTGCCCAAAAGATACTGTGCAGAACTGGTCATGTTTCTAGCTACCTCCCAACGATTGAGTGCACTACAAGTATCTTGAGCGAACTGTGACGCCTGAAGATAGGCATTCACCGTGGAGGCTAGCGCCAGAAAAAGAAAACGAGGAGTCATAAGGATAGATGGTAAGATATCTATGAATTTATTTGATTTCCAGATTCAGATTCTAACTGAACCTACCCTGAGCCTTTTATGTGTTTCTCCAATGTTCGATGCCCAAGGGGATTCAAAACTATAACCCGTTACAAAAGGAGACTATCTCAAGAAATGATAATCTTACAACCAAGGAAAGGTTTGATGAGGAAACTATTGCCAGACAAGGAGCCAAAATGTTGGCTGGAAGGAAAAACATGTATTGATGGCCCTTACACATCACATTTCGATGTGCACTGTTGAATGGTAGTTCAGCGGGCTTCTCACCTCAACAAGAACATTAAAGCATCTATTGTACTGTTATTGCTGTCATCCTCATACTCACCACTCATTCAATCACCCATTTGTGGCCCATACAACTACATTACCTTGCACATGCTGCAGGAAAATTCTTCGAGAAAGCTATTTGACTTTGCGCTAGCTGACATATGCCCACCGCGTCTCATTCGAGCAAAGTGACAGAAATCAGTGACCAATACTGTATGGGTTCCAGAATGGTAATATCAAACTCTCTAACTAACTAAAAACTATGAAACTGGCAATTTTGTAGGACATGGTGACAAAGATTGATATGCACCCTTTTTTGTAAGGTGTCTGGTATTGATGTCGTAAGATATTCTGGGTAAATACCCAGAAATCCACATGCAGATCCACCATATTTCTGAGACACAGTATTAAAGCTATACCATTGCACGCGTCCGGAGTGAAATTTTCCTAGGATTGAAAAGCTCCCTCAGATGACGCCACTACCAGAGAAGCTCTTGAAGCCGTTATTATGGTCACTGTTCAAATTGAGTTGGTGTTGTGCGAAGATTGCGCACAGGCTATGAGTAGAGCTTAGACCGTTAGAAATAATTGCATTTAAGTGATAATACAGCATCTCGGGGTTTCCCTCGTCAACAATAGTATTTGAGAATCCTAGTCAAATTAAACAGCGTAATTCAAAATTAAAGTTGATGCTGAAAGGTACAGTGATATTCGAATTCAGTTATACTTTCACACTCTTACTGCTTGATTCTCGGAAAATAAATCCGACGGTCATGAGTTCTGATTGGATAAGTGTCCAGTGTTCCTGCTCTCTAGACCGCCTTCTATAATAGTCTGTATGTCTTACAATACGGTTATAAGACCTCAAGGAATGTATCCACACGACCGGGCTTTACGCAACCTGCCCTCCATTTGTTGAGTCAGACTTTCTCATCCACCACACCTTTCTGCCTTGAGGTCTCAGAGTCAGTGAGCATTGGAGCTTATATTACCCAAGAAATAAAAAGGGATTTGAACGGAGAGAGTTTTGCTCAATTTGGGCGCATTTCCAGGATCTTACAAGCCAAACCGAGAGAGGATGACGCTTAAAAATTTTTGTAAATAATCTGCGATATCCGACCTCGCAATCCAGCAGCGATTTATCTCCGCCATGCCAAACAATATTCATATCACAGTCTTTCGCCATCTTTCCACATAACCACCTGAGCAGCCGAACCCCTCTTAGAACCACTGAGGCGTGTAGAGATGCTCTTTAGACGTTTATTCAAACAACCCAATGCCATTTCATTCCCAGCCTCTGAAAATAACCAAACAAAGCTTTCTTGGGAACATATCCAGCATATTGTCTTTGCCAAGCTGCCGCAAATGAGCCCTCAATTGGACCCAAATCTCCGAACCCAATAATTTCAAGAGCCCATGGTGTCAGCAACGCCAAAATACCCAATGCAATGAGGGTAGCATAAACGGGATGGTCCGTTACAAAGTCAAAAGCGGCATCTTTACTTTGGGCCGCAGCATCAGCCGCAGCTCGCGCCATCTCCGCACCAGCTCTGATTGCATTCTCCAGACCGTGAAGAGTAGCTCTTGCTATGGCGTCGGACCAGCCGTTTGTGGAGATTTCCTCGTTCAGTTGTTTGTGAAGCTCATAGGGCTCCTCAGCATTCAGGATCTTTGTGACGATACTGGAAGCAACGGACTCGGGGGATCGGGAGGAAGTGGGAGGAAGTGGCTCCCTCGCCAACTTGCCGAGGACACATTCGAGGATGGAGCTGAAGGGTATCATGTTTCAGGGTATATGCTTGTTTCTGTGGCGTAAACTCGACTTTTGGGTCGGTGCGTCGGTGGTTTAAGACGATGGAGAGAGGAAAGCTAGCGCCAGATCAACGAAGCAATTCTGGATAGATTCATGTAATATGACGTTACTATGCGATGACTCAGTGATACATACGTTACGATGACAGTTCTGCCCAAATTTTGAAGCGGTGAGCTAAAACAGATTATAGCATCATTCGGAATTACTTTTTCCCGAATCAAGTAATAAGAGCTGGGGGGTATAGCTGTTTTCGAAAATTACTGTACGAAGGCTAGTTATTCGAAATCTTATACGCTGCTACCTTTGAGCCCCCCCTTTGCATATCCCAGGCCTTGGCATCCATATCTCTCTGCGCCGCCATCTTCTCCGGAAACGCCAGAGTTTACGTACACTGCGAGGTGTATCAATGCCACCAATTGAAGCCAAGTCTTTGGGAGGAGCAACAATTGACAGTCGCATTCCAAGACTGGGTATTTTTAAAGTGCCAAGAGTGAGGCACAATGGTAGCATCTGGTTAGATCGTAAATATGAACCCATGCAATTCACAAAATCCCTGATATGACTGGTAAATATCTAGTGGATACGCAAGTACTCGGAAGATATATTCCTTCAATTCTTAGTTGTCGCGTCGCTCAAGTGGTAGATCGGAGGTTTTGCCAAGCTGAGTGGGACTTTTTTTCCTGTTCTAACAGCTTTGCTACTGAATTTTGCAATTCGGCGGCAATATGGTGGATTGGCAGGAAATCATTTGATGGAAATAGTGTTTCGTATTGTTGAAGACAGCGCAGGTCGTCAGATGATTGGGCCACCAAGTCCTGCAACTGCTTGAGAAGTCCATAGCAGGTACGGTAGTATGAATTGTCGGTCTGCTGCCGACCGATCTCACGAACAATTTCGGCGATCTCCTCCATAGTTTTTCTTTGGAAAGGAATCCTTGGGACTGGGTATATAGTAAGATTACCATGAAGGGGATCTATTTGCTTACTATAATGGTTTCTCTATGGAGGATCGGTTTGAGACCAGCGATATAAAACTAAGCGCCGTCACTTTTCTCTTGCAACTTGGCTCACCCCTCCAATTTTTCAAGCCGTTGAATTAATATCACCAGCTATAACTTAGTTTAATTCCGTCCAAATTCTAGCTATGTCAGTCGAGCCGCGAGAAGTATAATCTCGAGGCATCCGCCAGTGGTGAGCCCTAGGGAACTGATGCTTGTGAGAACTAAACTCATCGTTCAACTATATACCAATATATCCAGCTAGGTTAATATTAAGTTTTTTAATCTGATTGAGTAGATTGTTGAAGGCCTTTGACTAATGGGCCTTCATTATTGTTATTTTCTATTGTGTGAGACTTGTCACGCAACGAAAGACGACACCTGATTACAGATACAAAGCTTGGATCAAATGATAAACAAGAAACTATCTTTCAATTTTGCTGACCTTGGAACAAGACTTATCACATTGTCCACTTAACCATTGTTTAGGTCTGCGATTATCCCTGCATCCCTAGAGTTGGTGATATTCAAAGAAACGTATGTTACTCCACTCGTGTTTAGTATCAAAAATAAATAAAAGAGGTCCCAACCGGGAGCATGGCCCTTAAGAAATGCGTTTTGCTTTCTATGCATTAGAAAACCACTGCCTTCTTCTCGGCAGCATGCTTCAAATTGTGCCCTGCGAAGTAATTTTGGATATCGCGGACTGGGTTTGTCACCAAATGTGTATTTTTCCACCTTTTCTAACAACTTCTAAGCTGCTGCCTGGCGACCTGCGTGCTTTCAGTCAAGTCTGTTCGAGGGTCAATTCCATTCTGGTTCCCCTGATCTATCGCACTGTCACGTTTCGTGCTCCGAGTGAGTGGGCGCTAAATGTACTCGATATCGAGTCATTCTTTTGGAACCATACGCGTTTACAAGGCCTCAGCTACCTCCGGCATACCAGACACCTGAATGTACAGGCCCCGATATGTATTTCCCGGTTTAGCCGCTGTGCAAATTATAGTATCTTTCGCGCATCGGGGCTCACACAAGCCTCATGTACCCTCGGCACTTGCGATGAGGTAAAGGCGCATCGTCATTTTCTAGATGACATTACGGAACAAATGTATTCAGTCTTCGCGTGTCTCAAAGAAAATAGCCTCCGTTCATTCCAGTAAGTCTGTTGGTCAGGGACTGCTACTGCTATTGCCTTTCTAATGATCAATGTATTAGGTGGGGGTTAGGCACCTGCCTTCCAGCAGGTATCCTGGACAAAAAGGGATATCTTTGTCGGCACCAGAAGAGCCTTGAAAGTATTTCGCTCATTACGGATGGGACTTGCCCTCAGGCGGGAGGTGCCCTGGATGGTCTATCTGAGTTCTCGTCATTGAAAATGTTGGAGTGGGAAGGTATACAGCAATCTGCTGAAGTCGACTCTGTGCGTCGATGCATCCGCCAGAATGCTGCACAATTGACAGATCTGTCGATTGGATTTGTCAGATATTCTGATGCCTCGGAACTTTGCGAAGAGATTTTTGGGCAGCAATCCAGGATATGCCATTCAAGCACTCTTCCTTCACTCTCATCTTTATCAATGCGCAAGATTTCCTTTCCGCGAAACTTCCAGCCGAGTCCAGCACTTTTATATGGCCCGCTTAGAGCTTTGGTTCTGCGCGATTGTCCAAATCAACTTCAGTTCCTCACTTCCTTGACTCGCTCAAAAGGCACGCCACAACTAGAGCTTTTCGAATTTTCGAGCGACAACTTTCTTGATGGTTTTGGCGAGGATCTAACCCCAGTGTTGAGATTCTTGGTCTCTTTCAAAGGACTAAGGCATCTGTTTCTGAGGCTGTCGAACTTTGAGGATCCTTCTCGAGTGGAGTCAGTTGTCAGATACCACCGATCTACACTTGAGACCCTTTGTTACCACGAACGTCAGCTTGTCTCTATTGATGATGAAGGTGTTTTCGAAGAATACCGGGATGTGTCACCGCAATGGATTCCCGGTCAATGGGATATCCTGGACCCATCTTGTCTCACCGCTCTAGCCCTGTGTACAACTCCACCTGTCGTGGTAAGTCATGGGATTGATATTCAGAACGAGCTTTCGCTAACCGTCGCAGAGGTTATTTCTTGAGCCGTTAGCCACCTGTTCCACCATCAGGATATTGCATATCCGGTTCAGTGGGTCGGAGAGGCTCCATAGAGATATCCCACATGAAATCAGCGCCCGGTTACGGACAAAGCAACTCAGGAATATGTGTCAGAATTACCAGATCGAAAGTATCGGGCAAGGTTGTTATCCTAATAGCTGGAGCGATCTCGCGAATATCATAAATGATGACTCAACTTCGCCTGTCATCTGGGATATGGACCAGTCGGACAGTGCGGGAAAATTCCTTCCGGTCTCCGAAGCGGACGAGTTTGTGTCTTTTGCCGAATGGGCCTTCGGGCCGACCGGTCTTCCAAATTTACAGATCCTGGCCCTCGGAGACTTTTCCCACAAAGATCGATTCCAAAAACAGCAATGTCTAATCAGGCGGAGATGCCATAAGAAAGAGCGTCGATACGAAGACTATCCTCGATCCAGCTGTGGTCATGAACCTGAATTTAGCCCATGCTTCTGTGCTACCAACGCCGCCGACGATCAGATCTGGGGGGGTCCCTCAGTTGGAGCCCGACTTCTTTCTGCATGTCCAGCCAGTGGGGTAATTGTATCACCTTTTGAATGATAGCCAGGTTATTATGTAATTATTGTAAGCTACTTACCAATGATTAATTGGAAACTAGATGTTGAATTGTGTTCCGTAGGCGGTGTTATCGCCTCCTCTCTTCTGGTCGGCAAATAAAATGGGATCTCGAATCGAATTCACCGGTCTTCATCAGCCCAAAGTACTATATCCATATCTTTCTCAAGAGAAGTTTTAATGTCAACCTTTTTCCAGGGTTGCATGTCCTGTTATTAAAGGGACAAATATGTAACACCCAGATCTTGCATAATTAGAAACAGCTCAGTTGGTCGAGTTTGGCGCATCAGGTATTTTATTGTCCGCTCTCCCACTCATCAAACTCCACTTACTGAAATTTGTACTGCACCGGACATTTCGAGCCCAATGACAACTCCAACCCTTTTTGATTTAGTTCTCGAAGATGAATATAATACAGCTATACGTTCCTTTTTATCTTATTGATTGTAATTTATGTCCTTTGGACTACCTCTCCGCCTCACGCCGAATTGTTAATTGATACTTCAATTTTCATTAAAGTCCTTCAGCATGCTTTCAAAGCATGCTGAAGGAATATTGGTAAAATTCTCAGGCAGGGACCATGACCGCTTGGCTGTCTGGGTTGACACAAGGGCATCCGGAAAACTCCACGCTCTTTTACAAGATTGAAAATATCAGCGGTATAAGGCAGAAGAGTATTTTTTACCGACTGAAAGTTTTGGGGGCTGGTGAGTAAAGATGGTTATTAGCTTGATCTACTGGGAAGAGAAGGGAGTGAGTGAATGGTGATTCAGCTAGTAGTCTATTTTTACGCAAATTCTTTTGGATAATCGTTCAACTGGTCTGGCCTTCGATTCAATTATTGGGTCGTGTTCGGATTCTTCAAAATTTGGTGTGTAAAACGAGTAAGTAAAAATAACTGTTTACTCAAACCCTCGTTGAGTAGAATGTTTTTTTTTTTGTCGGATCTACAGTCCACTCCCTTCCATTGGTTCGTTGCCTCTTGCCTGTTTACAACTATGGTGTCCTCAACCAGTTTTCGCATCCCCTATGCTACTATGTTCAAGTTGACATCAACATCATTGTTGGTTAATGAAAGGCTTTGAATTATTTTTGACTAACCATGCAATAAAATTGTGATACTAAATTGACCAACTGTTCCCATTTTCCTTTCAAATGGCTTCTCTGTCACTTTTATAACAGAGAAATAGTTGGCCATCTGATTTCCTTTTCTGATTTTAACTTTGTGTATTTTTTCATTTTGACTCTTTTCCAACTGCGCAATCATCTTTTTGTCTTGAACTGAACGTTTAATCTTGAAAGGGTGCAGAAAATTCCCAAGTCAATGCTCATCTCTGAAACCCCTCACTTTACATACCAGAACTACCATCGGCGTACAAATCCTGGGTGAAGGTGAGAAACCCTGTGTTCAACGGAGAGAAAGATTTTCAACGCCATAACTTGATGAAGCTGCAGGTTCTTTTGGAAAGATGCTTTTGAATGTGACCAGAGATACTACTGAAACTCCTCGATTTTTGAAGCAAAGTCTTTATCGCACAGTGTATAGCCTTAGTCTAACAGGATAAGGTAATGATCACCCGGGAAAACGAAGTTCTGCTGTCTTCGGTATAAATACCAACGTGTTCGTCCCCTCCAATCAGAAAGCACAATTCGACATGAACCAACGCAGCCCGCAAACATTTGCAAAGCAGGAATCACCACTCCTCTCTCCAACGACCGGCACGATCTGCTATCTTTGTATGATCCGCCAAGATTGACGCGGCCATTCCCAAATCTCAATCCCGCGTTGACTATCTACCATCCTACTGGCATAGAAGGTTTTTGTTTGCTTTATCAGTAGGATTAGGCTATAGCTAACTGCTCCAGTGTCTACTGGACGCGGGCATCCCGATACACTCATCAGTTTCAGTAACCTGGGAAACGTGCTCTCCATGCAAGGGAAATATAAAGAGGCGGAAGCATTGCATCGACAGGCGTTGGAAGCACGAGAGAAGGTGTTTGGATGGGGGCATTACGATATGTTCATCATTGTTGGTAACCTTAGCGATGTGCTATCCAGGCAGGGGAAATATGAAGAAGCGGAAGCAATGCATCAACGGGCGTTGGAAGCACTAGAGAAGGTATGGGGATGTGAGCATCCTGGCACGCTTACGATTGTCAATAGCCTTGGCAATGTGCTCTCCGTACAAGGAAAATATAAAGAGGCGGAGGCAATGCCCCGATGAGATCTGGAAAGATATGAAGAGCTGCTTGGACGGTAATCAGGAATCAGTGACTAGTCTCGATAAAGTAGTAAACAGCGCATTTTCAAGTAGTGCGCGTCGTCCTGTAATTCGCCACTCTAAGGTTGCATTTCTTTGTTTGAAAAGAGGAACATATCACTTAAAGAATTAATCTCGAACTTTGTATATGTCCAGTGACGGCCCCCATAATTATCTTCGCAGCTCGTGTATTTGCTTGTCTTTTGGGACGAAATAACTAAATTGCTTTTCCCAATAACTTCCAAGTTAGATATCTTTGACAGCGCATATTTGGCGATTATCTCGTTTAAAATAATCTCAACTTGAAGTGATAATAGTACAAGATTGATCGTGTTTGGCAACCATTTACCCCGGCCCATTGCTACGCTACGTAATGGACAGACTATCACAACTATCTTTATCTTTTGTATGTTTCACTTCCCATTGCTTGACAAGGAATTGAGGTCTTCTTCAACGCCTCTCGCTTTTGGCTGTCCTTGTCCAAGAGGGCCTAAGGGTTTTGTGAATGAAAGTACTTATACTGTAAAGTGGTGAGAAAGAGTAATTTTAATAGAAAATTTCTTACTAGAATTGCACACATGTTTTAAGGATCAGAAAATCACTATCACCGTTTGAAACTTTCGTGCTCATTTTGAATAGTCATGAATATGGTAAAGCTGGGCTGGCGCCCCCCATTTTTCAAGCTCAACATTCCGCCAATAGTTGAATTCTGACGTTTACAAGGAGCTGTCACGAAGATGGCGGTGTTGATTTTATACATCATTTTTCAAAGGCGATGTTAGACTCCTTCATCTTTGGATCTATGCATGTGATGCACAAGACCTCATAATATTAATATTATTCATGTTGCTTTTTGACCACCGGGCATCACATTATGTCTTATTCCTAGCCTAGTTTTCCTCTAGTTTCCCAGGATAGTTAGAACCTATATAAGATTAGTGTTGCGCTCTGCTTACTGAAGGCATTGCAACCTGCTCTTGGAGAAAGCTAATATGCAAGCTGAAACATTTCCCCAGAGGCGCCCTATCAAGCGAAGACGCCGTTCTTCAGGCTCTCAAAGCTCCGAGAGGCCTGAAAATATCATTTTCGAGACCATTCTTCCAAAATCTCTACCACCGCAGATGGCACAGGTAATAAAATCTCTGACCACAGTCATATTTCTTTCTGACAGAAAGCTTAGATGACCTTGGTTGTTAACTCTCCCTTGACAAATGAAATCAAGCTTCTGATTGAGAAGAGTCCAGCTCTTATCCCACAAGCAAAAAGGCTGGTTGATGTTTACCAGTGCCTGTGGGAGGCCTACTTGACGGAATACGCAAAGGCCAAAGAAGCTGGAGAAGAAAATAGTCTTCTTGGAAAGTCAAACAGCTGGCTTGAGGAAAACAACGAATCTCTACGTCTCATCTGTACCGATAGAGAGGCAAACTTGTACGACAGCCGCCAAGCTTTCCAGTCAGTCCGTCAAGGTATTCTTAATATCTTTGAAGATACTTTCAAAATTCACCAGCTTCTACCACTGCCATAAATCTCATCTTCACATTTGAAATACATTGAAATCATGGGGAATGATCTTAATGAAATGTATCAAAACGCGTTATCGTCTTTATGCATCAATAAGAACAGAGTTCCTGTAGTATTTACTTTGGAAAGTCATAATTTAGTCAAAGTAGTGGGAACTTATTAAATCCTGGAATGCTAACAACAGAATAACAGATCCAGCAATTCAATGGCCAGTCTTTAGCCCAAGGTAAGTATGCCACAGGAATTCCAGTCTCTCTTATCTTAGGGCTAAATATTTTAATTGAGATAAACGCCGAATTTTTGAGCCTTAAACAGATTTTTGATACGTCTTTTGAACGCTCGTTTCATGGCACTATCAGTAACAGTATCTCATTGGACGAACAACCAAGTAGCACTCAAAACACGCACGAAGAGGTGGCGTGATTGTCGATTCCTCTTTTTTGTAGTAGACACATATTTGTTGGATGTCACCGGAATATATAATGCCAGGTCACCATGATCATACTGGACGCCGAGCATCACACAAGCGCAATGAACGAAGATATTGGGCATAGTCAGTCCTATTGATAATTCTGTCTCGTGTCTCGGAACTGCTAACGAGATTCTACTCCAGATTATTTTCTGCCTTTTGGCGAAGATTTCCCTTGGGGGAATTTTTCGGACAACACATTATCGCCTGTCCTTCGAGCACCTGGTCACGATATTTTCCCAGTCTTAGCATGGAGGAACCAGCTTCCAACTAATGGTATCAAAACAGTACTGCCGTTTGTTGATTGCTACTATTTCTCTGGCTACAGCGGTCAACACTCCTTCTGCCGAATGGGGCCAGATGTTCTATCGGATTCCATCAGTAGCGAAGACATCTTCCTGTTCTCGTCTTTCCTCTCCCCGGTTAATGAGGTCTACCGGTTGGAGATACTCTTCACAGTCTTAGACAAGTCTACGAGAGGGGTTCTTGGTGAAAAATCCTTTCTTCTACATCGCTGGCTGGGCAGTCTCGCTCGAATCCGTCAGGAAATTCTAAGCAACCTCGGCTATCTCAACGCCTATGGCCTTGGGAGTTTTTACTTTGACATACACCTGTCGCCAGGACGAGACTCGACCTGCTTAGAACCAATGGCAGGTATAAGCCCATTCATGCAAAACCTTCCCATCGATCCCATGGCTTTTGTTCAAAACATTATTGGGAATTTCCTGTGATTAAATTCCGCTTGAATTAAAAAACAAGTGGATTCTCTTTACTTGAATCGGGCTTTGTATTGAATCCATCATAGCTTTTACTATTCGGTTGGGTCACTTTCTGCGTTTGGATTTTATGGATTCTTTTATCAGACGTCACCGTTCAATCTTGAAATCTATTGTAGTGCTTAGTCCAATGTAGACTTTGCAGTTAATATGGGGCCAATGATATTACTCATTATGTCCATTGAGTTTTAGAACACTCAATCATCGCGAAAATGCTCCTTTTTCCAGTTTGCAACGCCAAGTGCCCCTGAAATTGATGTCTGGTGTGCATAGCCCAGCAAGGTTGCATTTCAATGTATGACCAAGTGCAGTATTCATCTTGTTTGAGTATTTCACAGCAATGAAATCGTCGGTCATCTTATACAGACGTCCCGAATTGACAGCACCATGAACAAGGAAATTCTCCAATGAGGAGAGTACTCCTATTACATGACATCTTACTTTGCATTATACTGAGTCCATGATAGGCAAAAGGTATAATCAAGTTAACCAAGAAGGGGTTCCCGTATCAGAAATAAGATCAAATCGAACTATGACCAACAGGATTATTGATACAATAGATACCATGAAAGAAACGGCGATAGTCCTAAATTCTCATCGCCTCATGAACCCCTCTGCTCTTTCGACCAGGCGACTTTACGAGTCGAAGCTACACCAGCATTTTATAGTTGAGTTAGTTCCCAACGTCCCTATTGTTTATTCACTTGTCTGTAAAGCTAGTCTTGCCAATAAACAAAATTTTGCGGGTCCTAGACACACTTTGCCCAACTCTTGCACCTCGGATAATGATAAACGATGGCAAAGTTCACTCAATGAACTCTGATTTGCTGAGACTTCTAGATATACGACCTTGCTTCGAATTATAAAATCAGAGAAATTATAGGTTTTCCCGCCCTTCTGAGTCTAGTCCATCTTTAATACCCTTCTCGCTAAAGCAAAGGGAAAGTGTATGGGGTTTCTTTTGCCAGCTCGCACTTTTCTTCACATCAGAGGCCGACTTTCACATCACTATGCATCTTTTGCATGGAGTTAGGCTGTGGATATCCCACAAGTATGTAAAATTGACTATACAGGTCAAGATTTTGTTTACGAATATCATTTTTATTAGCCTAGGGCGCATATCCATGATTGGGAGACGCGAACGCAAAACCTACATTTGCTCTTCAGATCTCGAGCCATCCCCTCATCAGTTTCCAATTCCAGTCTATCAGCAAATGGAAGTGCTTCGCTGTCAGCGCTGTCATGGCCGCCGATCGGCTTCCTACCATCGCGGCTATCGGGAGGACCCTGGCACACATCCTCCGATAGGCATCTGCTCTCGAAGAAATACAAAGTGTGCTGCGGCAAAAGCAGATTTGGAGGTTTCTCGTGCCTCTCATCACTTCCGGATCTACGAGCTGCCAGTGAACTGAACAGATTAATGATCTTATTTTGCGCCTTTCTTTGGTCAGCAAAACAAAGCTATCTGTATCCTTGACTACTTTGTCACAAGACATATTATCAAAGATGTGGCTATTTATTATTTTATTCACAGCAGGGAAAATGCAGCTCCTGAAAATGACATATATATCGTCCTAGGGGCTGCCGTAAAAACATTGATCTATGGAACTGGCTTCTTCGCATTCTTTTTGCTCTTCCCATCACACTTTCTCATTCTCATATGTAACAGATTCTCAGTCCAGTAAACAGCCCGATTCATCTTTTAAGGCTGTTTGTCCAAATCTCAAAAGTTAAAACGAACACAGATAATTCTAGGAAGATGCTGCATATTTTGATCCTTTGAGAGCATATTCAGTATTGTGATTCCCACCACGAGCTAACAGCCGACCACACAGCTTTAACGCTCCTAGGAGCCCAGGTAGCACCTGCCTAATACGGTATTAATTACCAGCTACCGGTGCCACAAGTGCAAAATAAATAATTTTGTAGTTCACAGATATATTCTGCAGCCCTCTTTACCTAAGAAATCATACAAAAAGAACCTGCCATGGAGGTTCCCCCGATAGCACATCTCATCTTGGATACAATCTTGCTGTTTATCTATTTACTTCACACTCTTCTATGCAGCCGAACCTTTGCGAAACTTCCGCTCTACCAGAAGACCAATTTTGTCGCTTCATTCTTTACTCTTACCTTATCTGGCGTCCTGTTGGGTTTTACTTGGGCAGGTAAGGATGAGAAAGGTTTGTCAGTCCTCACCAACATTCTAAGAACTCAGCTCACCGTTACGATCGAACAGTCCAGGGTATCTTGATTGATACATTCAGCATATTTCCATCTTTGTTTGAGGTAGGTCGTCCTTGAGAGCTTTGGCCAGTATAGTTGTTTTTAACTGGTAGTACCTCAATAGGGTCTTCGACTTAGCAAAGCGTTGGATATGCCTTTCACTACGCCCCGCGTTGTTTGCTTCGCTGTGGCGGCTTCCTCTAGCTTAAGTAAACTGTTGGCTGATATTCTGAGTATTCATATTTGCCCACTTTTGCGATGCGGCATTGTGGTTTTATTTGTGCTTGATTACCTCTGCCTCGCGCTAGGTTTCTACTGGCTCTCTCGAAAATCAATTCCCGGGCATCTGGGTCAATCACAATCGCAACGTGAAATGTACCGATTGTATCTAATAGCCGTTGTTCTTCTGATTGTTGCGGTACCGGGAGCTATTTTGGGCAGCTGGCGGCTATGTCTCGAGGTAAAAATCTCTGACTTCCCTAACCTATGGATATTTACTGACTGCTTCAGCTTCAAGTGATAAGCTCTGGATCGTGCTATCTTCGTCATGTTAGTTTCAAGCGATCAAGAACTCTCACGGAGCGGGATTCGCTGCCAAGCCACAGAGGTCGTTCAACTTGCACGGACGGAGACTCTCTTACATACGAGAGCATGATCCTCGCCATCTACGATGAGGGTATACGCAACGTCCAATGACAGTTATGTCATGACGAAACTACTTAGTTTTCAGAACAGTATGATATTCATTCTTGGCAGTGTCCTTTGAGAGGTTTCTTGTGTACTGCAGTCAGAGGCTTAGAGGTAGCAATATAGGGAGCTTCCTGGTCTACCTGATCGCCTGTCTCACGCATCTGTTCAAGAATGCCACTCTCTGAGCTTCCTAGGAGACTACCAATAGCCGTGCCGAGACTGTCAAATGCTTGTCCAAAACAGGCTAGTTCTTCTTCCTGCTTAGCGTACCTAGTTTTCATATATTCACGTTCTTGGCACAATTGAATCTTTACTGTGCGGAGCTCCCCATTTGCGCTCTCAAGACGTTCGCTCTCGGACTTTTTTGCGAGGTAAGATTCATACAGCCGTCGGTAAAATCTCACGATCTGGGCAGCCTGGTGCGCGAATTGCGGGTCACCTGGATTCAGCCGCTTCAGCTCTTCGACAAGCGATTGAAATGGCTCCGCGTCTGAAGCTTGTGCTTCGTTTTGGGGAAGTTGAAAAGGTGGTGGCTTTAGCCTAAAGTTAGTCCACAGCTGCACGGTAGGCAGGATTGTTGCTCACCAGCTGCTGGTCATGGTCCTCTCTCGCTGGGAATACCGCGGGCTCATTGATGGGTCTCGGCGATGCGCTTCCTCCGCCTTCGTCGTGCTCAGCTTTCGTTTCAAGCTCGTTATGAAAATCGTTCATCCTGAGAGTTGGTCGCTTGGTAATTATTTCGTGCTTGGGCATGGGGGCCTCTTTATACCAAACGACCGTGCCAAATTCTGATGAGCAACAAACCACTATGGCGCACCGTGTTCCTAATGTCAGTGTGATGTGTATTCTCAGTCTTGAGGGTAATGCACCCATCCAGTTAGTTGCTGGCTCATAAACACGTTTGGATGGGGTTTAGAAAGACAATTAATCATATAATTGCGGCTCCAGACCCACTGACTAGATCAACCCAGAACAATAAACGGCCAACCCGTGCAGAATTCTCCCATCCAGTTTCCATTGTAAACAGCAAGACAGCTAAACTGCCGCAGAAAGAGTTACGGCAGCGTGTTTGAAATTACTTATTGCTGAACGCTGCGCTGATTATAATAACGGTGTTGTGGCAAGCCTCGTCATATAGGTGGTATGCTTTTGATGTCCGGAGCTAAAGGACTTAAAAGCGGAAGCCCCCTCCTACAGGAACATGGATAGAACTGGGGGAAACAGCCTTCCAGCACGGCATCCTGCATGGTTCTGTCGCTGCTACTTGGCACGATCATTTAGTGGTTGACTCCCAGCAATAAGATACACCCCTCTTCGTGGTGCTATGGATCAGTACTCAAACGACCAGTCGTTTCAGGAAGCTATGATCTGTCCTTGCGAAGTGCGTTTTTCGTGGTCTGATAGACTTGGCCTTCTTTTTCTTTTTCAATTGATTTCAGTTGTTTCCTCGTATTGAGCAAAACTTTGACTACTTTGCGGTGCACATACAGTAGATTTCGAAAACGGATTCCCCTGTGGACACCAACGCATTGTTTCCCGGCCCGTACCCGAAACTACGCTAATCCATATAAGGCTAACTCAAAATTTACCCCTGCTTAGCCGTATCGTAGTATATAACGTATTGAGATTATGTGTCAAATGAGTCATTGTTAATTACCGTACTCGTGCATGGAATATTCTAGGAAGTCAATCGCCATGGCAACGGCGATCTGGCGATCTGGTCTCATCCATGCCCACTCGCTTTCTTAACTTTTCTACATACAGTAGCTGTTGTCGTCTACATCAACATACATGACAAAGACCCCGTAGAACACTAACCTTGGTAGGCTAAGCTGGTTCTCGTTTATGTTCCCTATGGCACTCGATCCCTATCTCAACTTTCGTTCGTCATTGGACTTCTTGCGAAAACTGGCACGGCCCACTCATGCTGACAGACCTCCAGAGCTTTGATCGTGCGTAGATATGAACGGCAGCCCCTACCATGATGATTACATCGCTCAGGCCCAAGAATACGAACCATGGGAACAGGATTCACAATATTCGCCCCCTACCCCGGGATACTTCCGAAGCCCATCTGCTACATCTTCGAACTGCAGTCCTTCCCGGTCCATCCCATTCGACGATAACCCCAGCTCCGCAAGCCAACCTCGGCCCAGTACTCTACCTCTCCTACAGGAATCTGAATGGCAGTCAGACAAAGCCTACGACGAGGATCCTCCAAACTGCATCCACTATTTCATAGAATGGCGAGTTACACTCAACAACAAAACGGTCGTAAAAGACACGGAAGAAGATCTTGCTTTGGCTCCAGGCGCCTACTGGAAGTTATTCCTGGAAGAAAAGCTGCACACTGTTCTCCAAGAGAAAGTCTCCCGTAACAAAAGGGTCAGGGTCGATGACACGGCAATCATCGTGTTGAGACGTTGTTAGTGACTGACTTTGTATCATATCACGAATAAAGCAGTGCTTTGACAAATGTAGATTCGGTGCCATATTGTGCATATGATTCTACTCAAAAGGTGGTGCTGCAAAAGGATGAAAGTCAGGCATAGAGGGGCACTGAGGGTGGCAGTGTATAGGGGTTTCATGTAATATACAATATAATACGTAATGAAACGGTTCTGAAACTTATAGCCATCCTATTCTTAGGACATATTTATTTTCGCTTTAGCCGAATAAAGATTAGGGTGGTTTCGGGTACGGGCCGAGAAACAATGCGTTAGTGTCCACAGGGGAATCCGTTTTCGAAATCTACTGTACGACACCAAGGAATCCAAGGTCAATGGGAGAAGGAATGGAAAGAGTCAAATACCGGCAGTCACCTGCGCCAGATCGACAACACATTGCCAGCCAAGTACACCCGACGTCTCTACGGGTCCCTACCTAGAAGCCGGGCTTACTTACTAACGCAATTGCGAACTGGACATTGCTGGCTATCAACATACGCGAAGGCCTTCCGTTTCCGCGATGACGACCTATGCACCTGCGGCGAACGAGAGAGTGTAACCCATGTTCTGTTGGATTGTCTGGAGCTGAGAGATCTACGGCGAGAGCTCCGAAGGAAGGTCGGCGAAGCCTTTAACAGCATATCTACCTTGTTGGGGGGATCTGGCGTAGAGGGAAGGAGTAAGATCAACAGTGCTTCACGGGCTAAGACAGTGGAGGCTGTCTTGGACTTTGCCGAAGCATCACAACGGTTTCAAAGCCGAGCAACATGAAGGCAGCAGGTAAAACAAACCGGCTATTGAGCCACGGCAGGCCTCGGCGAGGCATCAAATTCGCTTAGGAAGTGGGACACGGCATCTGCATGCATAGAGATATATATAGTTGTAGATCCTGCATATCGTTCGCGAGGGGTCAGGGTAAATGAAATCATCATCATCATCATCATCATCATCTACTGTACGACACCTACAGGCCAGTTCCCGGTCATATTACCCCAGGCCCAACCGCTTCCACAATCATTAGCCTGAAGCAGAAACGTGCTACTCGCCTTGGCTCATCCTTCGTAAAGTCAACTGATAATATGTATACTGTATCTATAGTGTCCAATTTGGTTAAGTAAACATGGGTGAAATTAAGGACGGACCGCTAAATTAGGGAGTGTTTGTGCTAAGGGGTAAACTATATTCGAATTTTACTGTGTATCGCCGGCAAGTGAACAGAGCAGTATATTGTAAATTTAGAAGGGTTTGAAAATATTTCCTGGCCCATGGGCATGCTTAGGGAGCTATTGGCATCCTTTCAGCCCACGGGCATCGGCGAGTTCAGCCTCGTACACCGTCGGCTCAATTACTGTACTGGATAACACATACACACATTATCATCGATCGTATATTTTGGGGAATCGCAGCGGACAAGTATACCGTTCATATTTGATATATTAGTTAAGGAACTTAATCAAACGGTATACATACACTAAAGTAGGGTGTATTCCATACCAACCGTACGCTAACGCTGCGAACGCATGGCCCGTTTTAATCATTCATTGGGTATCTGATTTGGTATAAGGGATGTTTATCTCAGACTCATATCAAGCAGGAAATTGAAATGAACCCCAACTGATTTTAAGGCTAAAAGTTATACTTATATCACACCGGTTGCGCCGGGCTTGCCTCATCATTCTCTGTTCCTTTGGGTACAGTAGAAACCATATTGCTCTTCTGTTTAATTCTACCACCGAAGGGAAATTGTGGTTATAATGCGGGTCGGTCGATTTCCTCAGTCTCTGTAGCCTTTGACCAATGATTTACAACTTCGCTTTACTGACGTGGTCATTGAACTGATTTTAAAAAAATTGTGGCACGAAAGTTGGAACATGACCGGAAGGTCACACCCTCAAAATGCCTCCTGGGTTACCACGGCTAAACGCATCGATTTCGTTCAATGCAGCAATTGATCATCAAAGTCGACACACCAGTTCCTTTTCGCTATATGAACGTTGTTGCTCCACCTTAAACATTAATGGGGGAACTGATGAAATTTTCATTTCCAAATGAGCAGCGTTATTGTAGGATCCTCATTCTTAGTTTCCGACTGCAAAGGTGAGCGCATGCTTACCGCATCTCTCAACCCCACTGTAGCTGATCCAGCCCTGATTAAGGGTTAGTTCGGCTTTGCGTTGCCGGCAGGTTGAACTGAGATTATCAAATATTGCTTATACTATTGCTTGCCTTCGTAACACATTCAATTGTGCTTTTGGTATATGTACAACTCGTGATCGGAAGGTTTGTACCTTTGTGGTTATCTCGGTCCCACGGCAATCCCTGTCTTTTTGAAATGAAGTGAAAGAGAAAATCGGCGTGGGTGGTCACTTAGTTGTATGGCCTGCGGAAGGGAGCTGGTTGCAGATGAGGGCTATCAATATCTACGCAAGTTTCAAAATTCCAAGATTATCGCTGTCTGCGCCTCCTAACAGAAACAGCACTCTCTATACTATGTACCATCCCTACTATAGACCCGCTTATTCTACTTAAAGGTTCGTCCACCTCATATACCAATTTCTGGCATAGCAGTCCAAAATTCCGTCTTTGACAATACTCAAGCAACCATTGCGTAGAGTCACGCTGTCTCTTTCAGCTTTGTCCGTCACGAACACCCTCGTCCCGTTCTGCCTAATGGGGGACACGACACCAAATATCATCTCATAGTAATGGATCAGTTTGACGGCCGGGTTAATTTTCTCTTCACCCCGTGCCTCGCTTTCGCGGAGCAACTGAATCCACTCTTCAAACGTCACTGTCTGAAACTGGAATCCGTTTCGTCTGAGGGTCGCCAGCAGCTCAGACCAAGAAAACACGCGCGAGTTGTACACGTGATAGATCGAGTCGTCAACACGGACCACTCCAGAGGGCTCGGACGCGCGGTTTGGTCCAACATCGCGGTCAGGCGCAGAGCACGATTCAGCTAACTCGAGCATGACTGAAGCCAACTTGTCCACTGGGAACCACGAGCACTCCTGGCGTAGCTCAGGCAGGGCTCTCAGGGTCAGTGCCGAGCGTATCATCAGAGGGATTACCCCGGATTCTTTCCATAGTCCTTTCTTTGAATGTCCCGAGACTTGGCCCATTCTGAGAGAATATGTCCTGGCTCCTGACTGACGTGCAAGGCTGATCATCTTTTCTCCCACTAACTTGGACTGGCCGTAGCCCATCACCGCGCTGTCGAGGTCGAGGGGCTCCTCGTGGATCGTGGCAGAGGAGGCATCTAGCGCCGAAGAGGCGGAAGAGCAGAACAACATGACCGCAGGCTTGAGTCTTCGAACCGTAAGCGAAAACCCAATGAGATGGTAGAGTCCCCGGATGTGGGGCTCGAAGTGGGTGAGAGGGAGGTTGAAGTTGACCGGCCATGCGGTATGGATGATCAGAGACACCGAGTCTTGCATATGACGAAAGATCCTCCCTACTGGGTCCAGGCGAAAATCAGGCCGCTCCAGTGAGCCATTCAGACCCACAACCTTTGAAGTCTGTTCCGGCGAGAGCAGCAGGCCCCTCTCGAACAAGCTGCGGCGTACTGCCTTCAGCGGAGATGACTTCCGCGTGAGACAGTATACGGTCGACACCGAGTCATCGTTCAGCAGTTCAAACAGCACGTGTGCACCCACTGAGCCAGTTGCTCCTGTCAACAGCTTTGCATTGTCAGATTGATGGATCAGAGTCAGACTTGCAATGACTTACGACGCTCTTTGTTCTCCGTGGGGTTTCCGGACACGGCAGATGTTTCCGAAACAGGGAGTATTTCTCAATCAGGTCGTTCATGAGTGAAACAGTGTCTTCGGCTGTGGATATGATACCTCCGCTCTGCAACGCACAGATATACTGGGCCAGCTGCGATATGGTGCCCATTTCAAACACCAAGTTTTGACTGTGAGAGTGACAAGGGTCGAACCTGAAATGCTGCAAAATCAAGCGGCGGAGATGTGTTGCCTTCTGGCTATCGATACCTTCCGGAAACAAGTCGGCATCCACGCTCGAGATGGAGATGCCGAATTTATCCGAACACAGCCGAAGAAGGTGAGACTGCGTCGAGGCCAGGTCAAGTTGGAGACCCGCCTCGGCGCGTGCTTCCGCGGTGTACAAGGTCTCGATCAACTCAGCATATTGCTGGTAGACCTGTGCTCGGACTATAGTCCCGTTGTCCGTTCGGGGAAAATTTGCGGTGTATGGCAGAATCGCCACCATGCCCCGTGAGATTTGAGCAGAGGCGTCTGTGTGGCAATTGGCTTCTTCAATGGACGGCCAGACCGCATTGAGGTAGTCTTCACCAGTCGGATAATGGGTCCCAGCTTCCTCGGAGCGCAGGATGAGAAGACCGGGAGTGGCTTTGCCCACTCCCACCACCACCGCTTCATGGACCAGCGGATGTTGGTTGACGTAGCCTTCGAAAGAAAGTGGCAGGACTTTTTCGCCATTGATGAGGGTAATGCGGTCGTCCAATCGCGCCACAAACTTCCATCGCTCCGGGATTGTAGGATGAGGAGCAAAAAGATCCTTAGAGTGGAAAGAGCCGGGCGGGTCGTCTGAATTGGATGTGGTCAAAGCCGGGTGACCGGCCAGGTAAACGCATTCGTAGAGTGATTCGGTCTCGCTGATGGGTTTCATCCAAACATAGGGTCGAACACTGTCAAAGAACTGCAGGTAGTTCCAACAGGGATCATCTTCGGGCCGTGAGATCGAATCAGCCACAATACCTGCCTCGGTGCTGGCCTGGATGTCAGCGTGGAAGAATCACCAAGGAATGGAACTTACAGGCCGAATGATCCCCCAAGATTGACACCTTCTCTGATCAGGCGATCCCCCAATTCGTCAGGGCAGGCAGCACCTCCGTAAGTGACCAGTGTGCAATTCTGCAGCGCCGCAATGCCACGGGGATCATCCACCAACAGCTGAATCATATATGGGACTGCCGCTATCAGCTCCGGTCGCGCCTCTTTGAGGGCGGTGAGCACGCGCTCCGCTGTCATCGGCAGAATGGCATTCCACATGTACGCGATCTTCCTCATCCACATGGCTTGGAATGCGGTGGAGAGCCCATGCAGATGGTGCCAGGGAAGAGGGCTGAACGACGTGAGCCCAGGACCCTCCAGAAGGTATGACATGAGCGCTCGATGGGTCAGAAACAGCGGTTTGGGGGGACCAGTGCATCCTGAAGAATGCAAGATCACAGCGGGTGTGTCGGGGTTGCGATCGCGGCAAAGGAAGGAGAAGCTAGCTTCGGATTTATTGTCCAAGGAGCATCGAGGTAGTGAATGGCAGCTGACTAGTCTCCGTTGCAAAATGTCGCCCACCGTCGTGCGAATGCCGGGGGTTTCTCCGTACACAATGGTCTCACACCCCACCGCCTCCAACAAGGACACACACGCCTTGCCCGACAGTCTCGGCGAAAGCATCATGACAATGTAACCTAGTCGGCTCAGCGCAAACAATGTCACTACCATATCGAGATCTGACAAGGCGAGGAGGGCGACAATCGATCTGGTTTGCTTTGGCTAGTGAAAAGTTGTCAGACCATGTAAGGACAGGCGGCCTCAATGTACCTACCGTCTGAAAGCCAAAGTCCATAAGCTTTGCCGCTGCTTGATTGATCAGGCCATTCAAGGCTTGACCGCTATAGTAGTCATAGGCCGCGGCATGGTTCGCTGATCGGGGATAGGCAAGGATCGGATGTTGGACAATGTCGGCCGCTCGCAAACGGATCAGGTCATCGAGAACCTGAAGCTGTCCAAATTCCCGAACTAACGGATTCTTGGTATCAAAGGAAGCAGCCGGGGCTGTCTGGTCGCTGCGCTGGATGCCCCACGCGCCTGAATTCAGCTTGCTGGCTAAGTATTCCTCATCCCAGAACCAGCGGGACTTATTCTGCCGCTCCAGAAGCTGACTTTTGATTTCGTCTTGCCCGTTCTGAGCAATGAGTCGCTCGTTGTATTCCCTGAGCTGTCTTTCTCGATTCACGCGTCCGCGGGCCCTCTTTCTCCGGCATGCGCCTCGGCGGCGAGCTTGAATGATTGGTACCTCTACCAAACCTCCTGAAGACACACGCTTTCGGTCTGACGTCACTGTGAATCTTGTCTTTGTGGATTTCGGTTGCCGTTGGTTCTAATGGAAATTTATCAATGTACGTCGTGGACAAGAAGGAGCAAGAAATTGGAAGACCTGCCGGTGTTGCTTTTGGCTCAGCAGTGTCAATTATTCCACTGCTCATTGAGCTGATAGAATCTTTGAGAACATCTTTGGAAGTATGCAGCTCGGCATTCGACTTGAAATCTGTCATCTTTGATACCACGGATGAGACGGAGAACATAAAGACTGAGAGTATCCTTGTACTTCCGAGTTGTAGTATAGCATGAGGAGCAAGGTGCAGGTAAAAAGAATCAGTGGCCAGTGGAGCAGAGCCATTCGCGGGCTTGTGATAGATATTGTCAGATTGAGCGGGTCAATACTGGGGAATGGACCGAATAAATGCGGAGGGGACACATCCTAGTGAGCTAAGAGCTCGGTAAATTCACCCGATAAACGGTGTCGGGGTGGTAAATAAACAGAAATGGCACCTAGTCTAGGACCGTTCGTCTCCCGTGCTGTGGTTTCTCCCTGGTAGCTCCACTTTAAAATCGATTACTCAGTGATTGTAGATTTATTTCTATTTTAACAGTCACCATGCAGCCTTGGCAGGATGTTGATTTCGCATTGACAGGTACTCCGCGCCATTGATCATTTAGGTTTCAAACACTCCGGTGATACCAAGTCAATCGATTGACTTCCCGAATGTGCTCGCTTTCAACGCAAGTTTGGTAAGTTTATCTGTATGGGTCTTTTGTCGTCTCCCATTGGCTGTGAGGCCGTGGCCGCGCTTTGGGCCTTTGGCGAAATATTTGGTTGAACCAGATCAGGGTGTTTAACTATTGGACCCAATCAAGCAATCACAGCAGCGTTCATAAAGCTTGACCGCGGACTCCATTGATTCCATAGTAATGAGAATGGAATCCTATGGGTGGTATATAGAAATGTCTCATAAACATAGCGACCGCTTTTATTCTTGTTTTTTTCTTTCTGTTTAACTCGCTGTAGTCATTCGGTACGATCAGCAAAATAAGTGATATTTATCGGTCCAAGCCAATGATTTATCAATGCGCTTTATGCTGTAATGTAGTCCGTCTGGTTACTGCTAATTTCCGACATTGAAACCGACATTGAAAGGATGGTCATCACCCTTGTCGAGAATCAATACCGCAGGATGTCGACGGGTGCGTGATTCCATGAAATGGTGAAGAAGTTTGTATCATAAATAAACAGTAAAAACACCACCCTGCAAATCAATAGCAAAAATTGACCCAGTTAAACACCCTTTAAAAATATCTGGCTTCACAATATTTATCTCATTCCAGATGATGGGTAAAAAGAGGCGAACCACTGAGGTGAAAAAGATTTTGATCACGCACTTGAACAATCTGGGCATTGCATTTCGAGACTGAAACGATTCTAGATTTTTGAGGTACAAAGTTATGAGGGATGAAGATAATTTGGATATTGGTTTGAGATTCAGGACAATTCTAACCGAGGGGATTATTCTACAACATGGATCTTGAGGCCCAGATTAAAGCCAAAACGGCTCTAGAGATGTCAGACATGAAATAGCAGACATGGAAGGAGGTATCCGGGGACAGATCTTGGTTTCCTCAAACGACTTTGCGATTGAGTAATGATCTCCAGCACCACAAAAAGGTCTGTCCGATAGCTGGAGGGAACTAGAGCATGATGTGAGCCCAACGCTACAAAGCTGCGGCCCCCTATGTGCTTCACCGTGAGCCACGCGAGCAGAGAACCCAACGCTGAACAGCTGTGGCCTTCTACAAGCTTCACGGTAGACAACGCCACGGTGAATTAATGGCAGAATAAAAGCAAAGTGAGCAAGGGTGTTTGTATAAAGTAAAGTTTTAGGTAAATGGAGGAAGTGTTATTGTTAACACCCAGATCCAAATGGAACTAATTTAGATTGACAGAACTGGTATAGAATAGCAGGCATGGAATGAGATAAACTCGGACAGATCTTAGCTTCCTCAAACGATTGCACGATTGAGTAATGATCTCCAGCACCACGAAGAGGTGTCTGTCCTATCGCTGGAGGCATCATGTGAGCATCACATGAGCAGAAAACCCAAAGCTGAACGGCTGTAGTCTCCTTCAAGCATCACATGAGCAGAAAACCCAAAGCTGGACGGCTGTAGTCTCCTTCAAGCATCACATGAGCAGAAAACCCAAAGCTGGACGGCTGTAGTCTCCTTCAAGCATCACATGAGCAGAAAACCCAAAGCTGGACGGCTGTAGTCTCCTTCAAGCATCACATGAGCAGAAAACCCAAAGCTGGACGGCTGTAGTCTCCTTCAAGCATCACATGAGCAGAAAACCCAAAGCTGGACGGCTGTAGTCTCCTTCAAGCATCACATGAGCAGAAAACCCAAAGCTGGACGGCTGTAGTCTCCTTCAAGCATCACATGAGCAGAAAACCCAAAGCTGGACGGCTGTAGTCTCCTTCAAGCATCACATGAGCAGAAAACCCAAAGCTGAACGGCTGTAGTCTCCTATAGGCATCGCGGTGAGTCCCGGCGAGCCATGGTGAGCGAAACAAAATTGAGACCCGGGGCAAGCGTGGGCTTTATATTTCTTTGTACGGTACTCGAGGAAAGCCACGTGCGCTGTTCCGAGTCCAGCCTCCCCAACTCCGCTCGGACACGCTTACTCACTCACATTAGTAACACTTTTGACTCGCAATTAACCACGACACGTTTATCACCTTCAATCCCCTTTGGCACCACCATGTCCGGCATGAGGCATTCTTGAGGGATCTCCGTCCTCAGGCAAAATCCACGAAATTCAAGTGACTCCAACCAACTATAAGAAATGAAGCAGATTACCGCAGTTTATTATTGATTTATTTACGTTTTTGCTGCATGGGATTAAACATGATCTTAATGTGGGGCTGGGAATAGTCAGTCAGCAGGTAAATAAACAATCATCGGTCATGTGGGCGTTCGGTTGTAAGTGGTTGTCCTCTATTCTAATCAACGTACGCACTTTGGTAAAATTACAAGTTTAAACTCGTAAGGTGATCAGTGGGATCAATCTCGAGCTTTGATCGAGTACAGTAAATTCGCTCCGTTTACCTCTCTCAACAACCCACAGTCGTTGTCAAAGTGGAAGAGCGATGGGCTCAATCCGCCACACCCTGAGCATCAGTATGTTTGTAGGTATATTTTTAGCATAAAATATTACGTGTCTTGGGTATTGGGATTGAAAAGCATACGCAGCTTAAGGGAACAGGAACACATCTCTAGGGAGCATTTATTGAAAATGGCAATAAAATGGCCTCATCATCAAAATATATTTTGTGATTATATATTCTTGCATCAGTGCACATCCGTATTCATCTACACCATAGACGTTTGCCAATTATCAATATTTTAGTATGAGAACTATTTCATGACGAAATGGATACAGTATTATTGTTTAGTGATTCTCCGTTTGTTTTATGTAGTTGTTGGATTACGGTGACTATGATAGACGGAAAATGTTGGGATGAATTTGAAGTCATTAAACCCCCCAGTTGAGAAGCTTACATAAGCCAACTATTGTTGATTGCCAGGTCGCTTCCCCTTTCATGGTGAAAACCAAGCACAGCTTCGCCAGTCTAGTCATCCAAAACATGCCTCCATGACTTGAAGTGTACACTTCACAAAGGTCATCCGTCATGCGCGAATTGATGCTCGTACCTCACATTTTTGGTACACCTCTGGGACACGTTGCGCATCTGAGAGCAGAATGTCGACTGATTTGGCAAGAGAAGAACCTTTGACATGACATCTGTAGAGGAATTTTCGCAAACTCTCCTTATGACGCCTTATCTGCTCACGTAGACCCTGATTCTCAATTTGGCCCTGGGTTTGTTGACAGACAAGCTGCTTGTTTCGAATTTCAAGCTGCTTGTGCTCTAATTGAAGCTGCTTGTGCTCTAATTGAAGCTGCTTGTGCTCTTGAAGCTGCTTGTGCTCTAATTGAAGCTGACGCGCTTGTTTCCTTCGTCTCTGTCCCCTTTTTTTATTGTCTTTCTTGCAATTGCCAGGGCGGCGCTGGATGGTGGACGCTGCTGTAGACTGGTCGAACGAAGTCTCTAGCCATTCTGAACTTTGCGTTTCTGAGAAACTGTGTTCTGTGACTGACGCCTGTGCAAATTTAGTCGAGAAAATGTTAACAGCGTGACCAAATCAAGACCAGCGATAATAGAATGACCTACAGGTATTGATTTTCCGTGCACAGTGACAGGCAAGCGCGAGGGTGGAACGTGAGCGAAGTCCATAGAGCTCCTGAAGCCAGTTCTGGAAGCCTGTGGCCGGAAATATGGTGCGGGATGAGCCATTGCCGGTAGGGTTGCGTTTCAATCGACTGAAACACACGGAGTATGGGAGAAAAAGCCTGGGTCCCGGCGAGGAGTGCGAAACCCAGTTGATGGGGTCAGGCACGTGTTTAGCAGTAAATGAGACCGTGCGCGAGATTCAAAGCATCGATATGAGAAATGGTCAATTTGAAAAGCCAACCTTTGACACCGTGCCCGCTAGGCTTGCAGTAACGAAGCCATATTATTACCAATCCAGAGCTCATTGGATGAATGTGGACTAGGTCAATTACGCAAGTCAGGTCTTTCTGTCAAATGAAGCAAAAGAAACGAGGTGGAGAAAATATGTGTGAATTTCATAATACATGAAGCAGTACCTGAACGGTAAATAAAAAGATTACCTGGGTTTAAGATAAACAATTTAGCGAGCTCCTAAAACCGGCTATAATTGTAGTCATAACATAAATTGTGTTTAGTGGGGTGTTAGTAAAATAAAAATATGAATCCGTAATTAATTCCTTCGGTGTACAAACGGGGCAGAACTTCAATAGCGCATATAATGATCCACCTCCAACCGTTTGCGGATCGGAGATGGGGCTCCCGGGTATTGATCGACGGAGAGATTAAATTGCTGTATTACCCACACCTGGTAACTTACTCACCTGCCATCTATCAGCCGATGAAGCCCCAGAGTCATGAGGACAGGTGCGAAAAAAATGCGAAGCCTGTCTCTTTTGAATCCCAGAACGTAGTGCTAGAGCTCAGTGAAGGTAGAGGGGCTGTCTAGAGTCAAGGCTCTTTGGTAAATGACACTGGCCATTCCAAAGCTCCGTCTTAATTACCTTGCCGCCACCCCTGCAATTTCCTATTCGGGACATCTTTTGCAACGAAGCTCCCACAAAGAGGCTAGCCCGGGAGTTCAGAGATTTCAGTCGCATTCAAACATAATAGTAAAGGTAGATCTGCGGGTAGAATCGTCAGTGTCTCATTTCCTGCCCCATCTTCGCACTGGCTGTTCCCTTTAGCTCGCGAACGAGGACGAAAATGGCAAAGGCATGAGAAGCTATTGCTAGTGTACCAACGTGTAGTCCTCTTCTTAGTCCTCAGTGCTCGGATGTTGGCGGAAATAAAATTGATTCTCTGTCTTGCGTCTGTGGAGATTTCTCAACGCGGGAACAAAAATCGATTTCTCGTAGCTTGGAATTTGTTTCAAATGAACATGCTTCCACAATCTCGCTGGGATGCCACGAGATATCAACAACCGATAGTGTTTGACTTCTTCGTTTCGAATCGATTATTCGCAGATAATTCAACACGTTATCAAGCGGTTATCATAACGATGAGTGGCTTGAGCAGTTCATTTCCCAGAGGCCGAAACAAGCCATGGGTACGGTACTCTCCATATTTTGCACAGAGCGGTTGAGCTGTACATGTGGTTTACTGTCTCCACCGCCTATTGTGGATCGGTGAAATGACGCTTTTCTTAATCCGACCAGCACAAAAACGGAGATGCTGGCGTGTGATTAAACGCAGTGATAATGTCAAGCGAGTACGTGACATGGTTACTACCCGACTGAAATTGCATTTAAGTCTTGTTTTGCCCACCTCAAGCGAGCTGGAATACAGCTATTTCTCCTTTCTCTCTCTTTTGATCTGTTCAGTGCGGACATTTGTCTTGCGATATCCGCCAAACCATTGCTCACTATGCCGGGAATGCCAACGGCATCGCATAATCCTGCCGTGCCAGCTCCCACCAGGGTGAGAAAGACCAGAACGTCTGTCACCCGCCCTGTGCGACCTTTGCCGGCGAGCGCCGACGATGTTGAATCCAGATCCATCCCACGCGAAGCCCAATTGCGGCAAAGATTGGTGAGTCATTTAAATTACCTTTGAAGGATAGTGGTTTGCTAACATCATCATCCGGTATAGCGGACACATGCCTCCCGGCCGGAAGACCATGTTGATTGTATCAAGTGGCTTGAAGCAGCCGAAAAGTCCCACCAGCAGGATATCGCCCGCCTGAACGAGCGAGGCCAACATCTTGCCGCGGAAAGAACCCAATTGTCAGCAAAAGTCCAACAGCTTACCGTCGAAAGACAGAAAGCTACGGACGAGAGCCGCAAATTGGAGAGCGAGATCGTTACCTTGAAAGAAAGCCTGGAAGCGGCCACCTCCCAAGACCATATGCCACGGGAAGAATACAAGAAGTCCTTGAGGGAGCTCCAAAACTCCGCTTCATCCCTGACCAGCGAGATCACAAGAATGATGAATGAAAGTGACCAGGCATACTTTTCCACTCTGCTGCCTTCATCTGATGTGGCACAACACTGGGAAGACCAAGACGCAAACTACCTGCTTGATCCTCCCGGTATGCCGGCGCAACCTCTTCCGGGCTATTCCTCGTCCGAGCTTCCTACGATTCCCCAGCTCGGTTCATATCCACACCTGCCATGAGGCATTGCAGTCTCCCCGAGCGAGTGGACCGTGGTGTATGACTGTTTCTAGAGATACTGTTATATGATCGGTTAATATTGAATACTAAATACAAATGTGTTCCTACACTTAGATTGGCTCTGAGTTCACCTATTTCACCTGATCACTGCGATGTAGTCTCTTGGCAGCGGAGAGTCGGAGTCTGCAGGGCCGATCCTCCAAAGACTGCTGTGGAGGCCAGGTGGCTTGGTGCTAAGCGCACTGGTCTCAAAAACCCAAGAATTAGCAAACGGGGAACTACTCACTACCTCCGTGATGATCGTATACTCCATCGTACGTCTGCGATCGGATGTCGATCTCCGTCAAGCCGAATCTGACCAAGCACTGGGTCAGTGGAGTATTACGATCCGACTGGCGCGAAAGCCAGATGACATGCATTAATTCGCCGTGTTCGGGCCTCCTCCAGATACGGCTTAGAGTGTATTTTATCTTTACCCTCATTGGCTCGCGCGATATCTCAGACTCCATCAATAGAGGCTGGCAAGAAGGTTTTCAGGGGTCGAGAGAAAAATAAAAGGGTTCATATTCTGTGCAGTACATTCGCGAAGTGGCGACAATCATATTGGTAACTCATAATGAATGTTCAGAGCTTCTGAAGGGCGACCGTTGAGGTAAGTAGACGCGAAAATAGCGTTAAGTCAAGATTAAAATGCATAAGACCGTGCATCATCGATCTCACCGTTGGGCCGGCATCTCCCGCGTCTCATCCTGCATGCACGCACGCACTGCCGCATATGATTTGGTGTTTTTCCCGCGGAGCGCTCGCTTAAATTTTGTCGTTGCAGCACATATAATTTGTTTTGTATGGTCGTTACCTCCCCCACTGCATCTCCACGGACGAATGGGGACTTTTTGACGAAACCCAATGTGCCCGAAAGAGCGTGAGTTTCCTAAGGAAGGAGGTCGGCGTAGATCGTAACCTGTATTGGTCTTGTCCGGTTTACCTTGGCCTGAATCTTACCGAATCGGGCACTCCGGCCGTCGAGGGTAGATCCGACCATGGGTAACTGGATAGGCGGGGCACATCAAGTAGCAGAGATAACTCCCCATGAGAACTATTACTCCATGCTTATGTGACCCCCAAAAGAGGTAAACGAACTGGAGGGGTCTTCATGTCGCTGTTTCGGGGTCACTATTGTATGAGAAAGGAGACAGGAAAGGAGAGAAATAAAATGTAGGTGTTCGAAAATTGCATAGTTCGCAGAGACTGGGGTATATCTTCTCCCGCAAGCCCTTCGCATGCCACATGACACAAAATCGACGGCTCTGGCCGCAGGCCGATCAAGGCAGGATCTCCACCATAGGAATTGGGAATTTTGGGGAAGTGGGCCCAACCAATTTTCCATGCTGTCATAGCAGCCAATGGAATATATAGGATAAAAAAGACGACGGATTGGCATTCAGGGGGTGAGGTCCTCATTCCGTGGGGACTCGCAAACTCGTTTTATAGTTGTATTCATTTTTTCCAAGGCCATCTAAGCTATACCGGACGGATGTGCTAGTATAAAGATCGATAAGGTATTTGGAATTGCCTTTTAGGTTGTATTGACTGCACCACTATATTTTGCTTCCGGGGTCCCCGGAAGGATTGCGGGCCGGAGGAGGCTGATCAGGCTGTCGAATAGAGAGTTTGGATTGGCCGCCCTAGCCACAAATGTCTCAGCCGCGGAAATTAGCCGCGCTTTACTTGAACCTGATTCTCCGTAAAGAGTGTAGCTTGGGGAACTCGTTCCCCTCACATCGAAAAGGGGTACCTCACGAGACGAAGCGAAATTTTTCTTGACTTTGAAGCCGACGTTCCTCAGGAGGGTGTCTCTCGGAGTAAGGAGTATTGTCTAGCGACGTACTTTGAGATGGGTCAGGTCTAGACATCGAAAGCAAAAACAAAGCCCACTTTTCTCAGGGGCAGTTCCCCATAATAAAAGATGGGTACGCTATGGGACATGGGCGAGGATCGCAAACCTGTATACTCCATGCTCGGTGATTGGCTGGTAATTAGTTCAAACCATCCAATGAAATTTAAAAGTCAGTAAAATTCAATGAAAAAGAGGATGCAAAAAGAGGGATGGCTTTGTGGAACTCGCCGTTGTGTCGCACTTTAGAGTTCCAACGTCTCGTGGCGCAACGCATTGGCTTTCCCTAAGGCATTTTTGGCAGCCACCAAGCGCAGCGCAGCACAGATCGCCAGTTGGTGAGAAATTTCGTCTCCCGGTTTCCTTCCCGACTTCAGGCGGCAGGTCAATCAAGCACGAAGAATTGCAATTTGCCTCAAGCCCCAGAGCCATAAAAAGAGGAAGATCGGCGGGGGATCATCGTCGGGGGCCAGCCGACAATCTAGATTCTTGGCAGTTATCAGTCGGCCGCAGAGCTCAGCAGAGGCATGGATTGGCATATCGGGTAGACGGGGCAAACTTACAAAAGGGGGTCGCGGCCTAGCCGAGACTTCCCAAGTGTACCATGATTCATACATTAGTATTACCATCGTAGAAAGATTTGCAAGCCGACAGAGGCTCTACCCAATTTTCTCAGGATCAACCACCCTCTGGGAGGTGGGCCACCGCGGCACGGGTCGGGTCACAGGCAGGATTCCCACGGCAAGCGGGTCTGAGAGTCTCCATATAGAGTCGACGATCTGTACTGTGGTGTGTTGGAGGTTTGAAGACCCCCAAGAAACTGGTTGTGCTCGGGATAAACCAAACAGCAGCTCGACATAGCAAGCGCGAAGATGCATATGGAGCAGGAACAGAAGGGGACTCACCAAGTATAGAATCCGGTGGCAGTCTAGCCTAAGCGACCACTGCATGCCCCCGAGACGTAACGTAGGAATGCCGACATACCCGCCACGATGCCCGCTAGGGAACTCTATTGGGGGGGGGAAAGACTATACCTCGCAAGTGGAAGCTATTCATAAATACTTGAATTTCAAACTTCGTCAATTTCTTATTGGTGCAATATTCCCAAGCTTGCATCGGGACGATGCAACATCTCCCCGGGAGTAGATCCTCTTGCCAGGAACCATCTTACCCTAAGCGAAGAAAAGTCTTTCAAACACGCCAGCGCAAAGATCGAAGTGGGTTGGAGAGCAATAGCTTCGCTACACCCTGTATTTTCTGATTTTGTGCTTGTTATCTCGGTTAGTCTCGTATTCGCCAATATTTCTGATGGATGCAGACAGAAACGGCAATGATCGACCCTGCACGTGTAACAATCATCTCCGATCATGTGGGCCGTTCGTTTTGTTTCCACCTCTCCGCGGTCCAGGTACCATCGTCTCCCCAAAAGCGCGTAATCAATCCCCAAATTGGGTTGCGAAGCGCAGTGGCGCTCTGACAGTAATCAGTCAGCGGACTCTCAAATTGCATTAGGTTCCTAACGGCGTAGATCTCGGACCCGCTACGCACGGACGCTGGTAGCTCCTGAAGCCCATGCCATTATGGGTGTACGTATCAAAATGCGTTGAAATGATCACTATCGCTTGTTTGTTGGCCTCGGCCTGTCTAATTTTGCTGGAAGCGCGAATGAATAATATGTATGTGCCGCAAGTATTACGATGTCATTCCCTGCTCTCCCTGCCTTCCTTCTGCGTCACGCCTGGGGCGTCCGGGTGGTCTTCGCCCCGTGACTGGGCTACCCTTGGAGAGAGAGTCGAGCTGTCTTCTCAGCATCGCTACCTCTTTTTCAGCATGGCCGACTCTTCTCGGAGCATCGAGACTTCCTGGTACCCACCCTGCATGGTCTTCATGCCTCGTGCCATATCGTCGTTCCAGGGATTTTGTTTTTCGAGCTGACGTTCCATGGACCTGGGAGATTCCTATTAGCTTATTTTTGCAGCACGCATCAATTGGGCACCCACCGAACTCGTTTGTCTAGACTAGAATGACATTAGCCTCACTCGTAACTCCGGCATGTAGGGGGGACTGACTCGTTCAAACAGCTCACACACCTGTCAATAGACACGGGAGCATCAAACGTTTCATTAGGGTCCGCTGCGGGACCATGATCATCCGCACTTTGGGTCTCCATAGCCCAATCGGCGTCTGATCTGTCTCCTGCGTCTCCGTCTCCTTCGTCTTCATCCATCGGCGCATAGCTTTCTCCTGCGCAGGATTGTGTTTCCATGTCATAAGAGCAGTCCTCATCTTGGGCAAGCGGATCCGACCCGGGAATGCTCCAGATGTCGAAAGGCTTGGAGGCAAGCGCAGTGCGCAGTTGCCTGGAGAATGGATTCTGCACGATATCCATAGCTCAGGTCTTATCAAAAAGGCGAATGAACTCCCAAAGGATTGAAGAAAGGGTGGAAAGCTACAGCCAGACCTTCTGACCGACGTTGGAGATCGCACTTGATTTATAGTCCGGATGGGGACGATGATGGAGAGCTTGTACCAATCAGAGGACTAGAGCTGTATGCCCTACGAAATCCAGGCGCCCTTTGATTTCCAAGTATACCCCACAATCAAAATATAGTTGGCTGGAATGTGATTCTAACTGCAGGTCTAGACTCAATACGGGGGTCTAGGGGAGAGACTCGATACTACCTTGAGGCCCCTCGGAGAGAACCACTCGGCCTGCAGGCAAAATCCTTCTGTTCTTGTCCCCGGATGGATTTCCGGTAGACAATATCAGAAAACAGCTATCGTCCGAGCGAGTGTAGGCTCACAAGTAGGGCCTTTTCCCCTTCGACCAATTGGACGCAGCAAATAGTTGATGCAGCTCGGCTGGACTGAAGTTCAGAGATCTCAACGACCCTTTCCTCTCCGAGAAATCGAAGGGCCGATAAACAACCAGGGAGGGCCAAAACTCGCTTGATCACCGTTGCAAGAATGTGTAAAATAACCAATTCTCTCAAGTACAGCCTTTTACGATCTAGTCGACCTCATTGTAGCCGGCCCCACTTGAGCAATTCGAGTGGGCATGAAGGTGATAGACCAAAAGAAATGGTGAAATAAAATAGAAAAAAACTGTGAAACGAACTACACTAAACTCGCTTCGCCAAAATTGAGCTGGTATTAATTCAATGACCATCAAATATGCCCGGGAAGATTAACTCCGCAGATTCCGCCTCAGTTCAATTACTGGCGAGGAGCATCCACCCTTCGAATGAATTAATGATATACTTGTTCAAGATAGGAATGGTGAGTTGGAGTATACAACAGTTAAATTGATGTCGTCCGTCGTTCTTCACCCCATGTCTTCCAGTGCCCTCACTGCTTGATTTTCTTACCGAGCTTGACGGTTGATCTTTTTGTTGACACTTACTCTGATTACCACAATGCCGAAAGGTGCCTACATTCCTTGGACTGCATCCGAGGAGAACAACCTCGAACCATGGTTATCTGAACACCGCTGGATGTCGTGGGAAAGAAGGGCCGAAGAATATTCCAAGCAACACAACAAATACCGATCATTCGAGTCGCTGCGAGGGAAATACAACCAGCTCCAGAAAGGGATTAGACGACGGCGTCCGATCTCTAACAGACTGTCCGCACACACCCGCACGGTGGCGCGTAGGGCTCGGTACCGGCATCAGAGGCTTCCAAAGGGCTTCCCTCCTCGCCCTCCTGTCTTTAGGCCTCAGACCCCGGATCCTTGGGCTCGCCGAATCTTGCAGCAACAGAAAATATCTGAAACCTCACTCCCGAAAGCTTCTACAGTGACCTTGCAGTGCCAGGATGACCGTGAATCCCCTAGCCCAGCATATTGTGTCACCCCGAGTAGGTCGTCGTGAAGCCCGCATTGAATCGCATTGACGATTGCTGATTGCCTCTTTAGTCTACATTAGCCCCAAGCCCTTCTTTCGTCGACGTAAACAGCCACTGTTTGTTTCACAACTTTGGGAGAAAATGCGCCGCATCCATATTTCCACGGGAGAAACCGGAAGTGACTGATTCAAATAGTATGGACGGGCAATACATAATGAGCATGGTGGTTTTGTGGCAGGAATGGATATGTAATAATGCGGATGGATGTATACAACATCTTAACATGGGAATATAAATATTGGATCAAGCTCCGTTACTGTGCTTTCTTGGCCAGTCTTCTCCCATTCTCAAATCTGGCGCAGAGCTTTAGGCCAGAGCTAGTGATGGTCATCTATCCACGAGGGCGGAAGTACGGGTAGTGGGTTCATGGCAATGGAAGAAGACTGGCCCAGGACCTGTTTCCTGTCCTCCTCCTATGACCTGTGCTTCTGGATTAGGGCTAATAATGTTGCTTCGTAGCGAAGTGCGTTTGCACTTTACAATCGGTTATTTTCACCGATATATCTGTTCCTCTCGTAATTATACACAGGTACATCGTGGCTGTAGAACTGACAGGAAAGGGCAGATTGACTACAGTGATCAGGAAGAAGGACTATTTCTGGGCTTTCATCTCGGCTTTCATCTCGTTGGGGTGCGAACGAGCTGCTCTAGAGTGGAAAAAGGGCGTGGACAGTGTAAGTAGGCAGGTATATTAACAAAAAGATTCAATTGCTAGCAGCTACGAGTCGCTCCACTTCAGAACTATTCCTGCCTTTGCGTTATACCAAAGCTTGATCTTGATATCCGACATAGCTCCAACATGACTAAAATGCCTCTGTTACTTACGTGAGTAACCCCAAACTTACGGAAAGAGTTCAGGAGAGGATTGCATTTGTCCGGTGTTTTCCCGAAGCTTGGAGCCGAATACCAACTCGAGCTTGAGCAACTCGGATTCTTTCTTTCCTTTCTAGATCCTCAACCAAGGTAGCGAAATGGATAGACCGGTTGCTAATCATGCATGTAGCCAAATTGGGCTGTTTGATCGCCAGGGGTAAGAAAAACGGCCCTCGTACGTAATTACAGGTATACCTAGAGTGGACCACGCCCAAACCCCGAGCGGCTCGCATTGCACGCATTTCCACGGTTCGCCCGTCTAGTGGCTCCACAATGTCCCCACCTTCACTGACAATATGACTGAAGGCAATAATGTTTTGGTCAGTTGGAAATCCAAAGCCGAGCAGAAATGAATATAAAGTAGACATTAGGATCTAGCTAAGATGGAAGGTGGAAGGCGCCTGAATCAGCAACAGAGGCAATCATCCCCGCGACAGTTCGAGAAGTAAACATTGGTCTTCTACCCCGTTTGTGATAATATCTATGAACTCTAGTATATTAATTTAATAAAAAGTCCAACGTCTGAAATTTAACGAAAAAAAAAACTACAATTCGCCCAAATTGTATTATTATTGCCACCAAAATGCAACTTAACAAAGCTCGATCAAGGGGAAACCTACAGAGGTACAATTTCGAAAGCCTAGTTTTCCCAGTAGCTGTTGAAAAAATGGCTCGGCAATCTTGTCTGTCAATAATATCTGATTTCTTCCTCTTCGCTTTTGACTAAACATTCTAGATTGAAACATATTGCCAATTCATGCAGAACCAGGTTCTTGCTTGATCCTAGCACGCCTCTGGCGCGCCGCCTTGGGTAGGCGCGCTGGATTTCCCTGAATAGTCGAAATTCCCAGCGACTTGCATATGCTATTCACACGAGTTTTCAAGCCGAACTCTCTCTCTTTGAAGCCATGAACCTCGTCGCGCAGTTGTTCCATTTCTATCTGTAGCCTAGCGTTGTACGCTGCCTGCTCTTGGAAGCAATTTTCGATTGTTCTGTTTAGATCAGCAGCATATCATCTAAAGTGCTAAGCAACGACCCCGACCAAAGCCAAATGAGCATTTCACGGGGTGTGATAGCGGGGAAGAAGGCACTCACTGGGTTCGCTCATCCAATCTAAGAAATATCAGTTAGCAAACTGAACGTGATTTACAGGGCGCATAGATGCTATGAACTCACTCCTTGACACATGCGAGCAAAAGATCAAAAGTATTTCGCTGTGGAGACCCTGAATTTCAATCAGCTCTGACCTTAGTATTAACAGCTGTACCTCTCGGTACTCACGGCAAATATTCTCCTCGCTCAATGCAGTGATTTCCACTTCTCTAGGGCTATTCTCACTGGGAGGGTTGCTATCGACAGAGGGATTTTCTGTGATATCCATTTTGAGAGAAGAAAGCAGAAGAGTAGTTGCCCAGAGAAAATAATACTCAAGGAGAAAGATGTCTTTATAGAGAACGCGAGTCCTTGATCACGTGACGAGGACCGTCGGCTGGTGATCCCTCGTATTTCCATCTGTCACACATGCTGTATAATAGTGACAAAAAACGCTTCAGAGTTTCTGATTCAAGTCATAGTTGTATAGGAAGTATTCTGTCAAAGCCCCATCAAAGGTACAGTACGTCCCGAAACTGGTGCAACCATTTACACTCGTTTAAGTGATTATTTAGCCCCACTGCCAAGAAATTCTAGTCTATATTTGGATTTCTTCCGACAGCTGTATGCGTACTTCCTCGTACGAAGGTGACATAATAATTTCAATCCTGTATTAGCATGTAAATTTCAATACATGTGACACCTCCATGCCCCTCATCCGAAGCAGCTTTCCTCGGGAAGCTCATTTGACAATCAATCACGAGTGGTTCAACCAAAGATGGCTCCAAACCTAGCTCCTTCCAAGTATGAGCTTATTTATGACATGATCCACAGTGGCGAACTATCTATAACTGAGATGGCACAGGCCGCTGGTTGCAACAAAAGCACCATTTCAAGAATCTCTTCCAATATAAGGATGTTTGGCAGCATCAAAGCACCGCTTAATAAAGGCGGACGACCCCGTTGTATCGCTCCAATTATGCTAGAGGCTCTGTGCGACCATCTGATTGAAAAGCCCGCCTTATATCTGGAAGAGATGGTTATTTTTCTGTGGGACGAATTCGCTCTTCAAGCAACGAAATCTAGCGTGAGTCGCGCCCTTCAGTCCAAAGGATGGTCAAAAAAGACTGCTCGGGTCAAGGCACAAGAACGCAACCTTGACCATCGGGACGAATACCATCATTTTATCTCAGACTTCAAGTCTTACCACCTTGTCTATGTCGATGAATCTGGATGTGACAAAAGGATCGGCTTCCGGCGAACGGGTTGGTCCCCCCTTGGTACCGCACCGGTTCAAGTGTCGAAATTTCATCGTGATCAGCGTCATCACATTCTGCCTGCGTATGCGCAAGACGGCATTATTTTGTCTCGAGTGTTCCAGGGCTCAACTGACGCATCCGTCTTTGAGGATTTTATCGAGCAGCTTCTCCAGCACTGTGGGAAATGGCCCGAGCCGAAGTCTGTACTAGTGATGGACAACGCATCCTTTCATCACTCGGGCAGAATTGAACAGATGTGCTCAGAAGCTGGCGTAAAGCTAGTGTATTTACCCCCATATTCTCCTGATTTGAATCCTATTGAGGAGTTTTTTGCTGAGCTCAAGGCCTTTATCCGGCGTAATTGGCAATCTTACGAAGAAAATCCAGAGCAAGGATTCGACAACTTCCTCGAATGGTGTGTTGACGTTGTTGGTGCGAGGGAGGAAAGCGCGAAGGGACATTTTCGGCACGCTGGCCTAGCTATAGACCACATCTCCCCCACATGCCAAAAACAAACTGACGCCACTACGTCTTGACCGCCACCGACGACTAGACCTCAACTCACACCTCCCAATCCCACACTTACAATCGAAGAACTTCGCCGCCGTTTTCACAACAAACCGTCGTCATTTGAGCTTGAGAAAAGGAAAAAAGAAAGCCAAAAGACCACATCTGCCGTCCAATTGTTATCCAGGTTCTTAAACTCAGCATTGCCAGCATTCCCGCAATTTCTAATGGAGATGTAGCCGCGGACAACTGTCGGTGGCCTCAACCAGTAACTCATTATAGCCGCGCCATAAGGGCAGCCTAACAGTGCAAAAGGCAACGAGGCCACGAAAAGCTTTGCCAGGTGAGGCTCAAAGTTCACCGTCAGGAAGTTTGGAACATTCTCAGGGATCAATCACCATATATTTAGAAAGTAGTTGTCGCCTGTATATCACTTTTTGCGAGGGCTCAGGGTACATGAAATAATCATCACTGTAGCAGACTCTAATCAATAACATTTATAATGACCATTCATCTTGCAAAACTCCCATCCAGATTTCATCCCACCATTGCCCATCTCTCCATACAGCCTTCCTCAATCGGCCTTCTTCTTGAAATCCAACCCTATGGTACGTTTTCAGGGCGACCTCATTCCACCCATACACTTCTAATTGGACCCTGTGTAGATTTGCCATATTGAAAGCCCAGTTGAGAGCCCAACGTAAACCCTCAGTTCCATAGCCTTGGCCTTGTGCGTCGGGTCTTAATTCGATACCGAGATCAGCACATCTGTTTTGAACCTGGCTTGGAGGGATGTTTTTGATCATGAGGATTCCAATTCTCTCTGATTCAGAAGCTGGTGGGTGTTCTGCCGCATTCAGTGATGACTTCTTGCAGATAACAACCCCCAGAAGGGCTGTTTCGAATTCTTTGATAATTGGCTCAACTGAATCTTTCTTCATGGGCTGAAAAATGCTTTTTGAAGTATTGTAAAAGATTCTTGGGTCGGAATGCATTGCGAAATACCATTCTTTATCGCGGGAGGAATCCCAGGCACGGAAGTAAAGACGATCAGATTCTAAGAAATTCATGGCTGACGTTGGCTTCTTGTAACATCGTTTGAATAGAGAAAGTAATCTCCCCAAGTGCAAGAGAGCTGAAGTCAGCAATCTGGGGTCTGTCAATCCTACATTAAATACGGGGTGAGAAATGTGAAGACTCTGTTGAATGGATCGACCCGCTTCAGGCCATATGGAAACCCCGGGGTCCCTTTTAGGAATGACCCCGTATATTTATTATGTAACACTGCTACATTATGATACCACTAAATACCCACAGTAGAAGATTCTGTCGGGCAGACTTAAACCCGATATGAGTCAGCTTATCACCTGTCTGTGCCTTTCAATTGTTGCAGCACTCCGCACTTTATTGCCATTATAGATTCATCTTGGGTAATTTTCTATTCTCTTCGTACCTCACTTTACTTTGGTCTCAATATCCAAGAATATTTCAGTCAGCAGCGAAATCAGCTTCTCATCTTTCACCCTATTATTTGCTTTTTTTTTTTACGGGCCCCATTGCCAAGAGACTAGCACAGATATTTTTTGATGTAGCACGTTCCGAAGGGGGCGGGAAAGAAAGCCTGTGTCAGGAGGGGGTAAACTATATTCAAAAAGCCTACTATACCAGCATGTTGGCAAAGGTCATTAGAGCAATCTTGCCTGATTTGGTGCAGTATGATCGCCGAAAGAATACACAGCTTATACCGAACTTATGCAAAGGGATAAATGCAGCATGCCAGTGCAGACTATTCTCTAATCACAGTATATAGAATATCTAGACTAAACGGATATTTTCGTTACAAGTAGCTTCTTTGCGTTGTCGCACCCACAGGCTGATGTCGCGAACAAACCGCCTGGCGGCACCTACTTTCACGCCGTGCTTAACAAAGAGACCTGGGTCTTGATCCTCATGAATCTGCATGAGGTCGAGACAGTTTTCGAGGGTCACATCGCGTGCTTTGTTGATGTTCTCCCTAAAAGCCTCGTTGCTCACCCGCGATTGCTGCCATTCAGTATACTCGTCCACAGCGACATCTAGCAGGCCGTCGATTATGATTGATTCGGTGTAGCTTGGCCCGGTTGGTATGGTAGTATTAGCAGGAAGCTGCGTCGATTGTTGAGATCCAGCTGGAAGGACATTGATATTAATTGGAGGACACATTGAACCCGTTGTGGAGTTCTCCGCAGCTTTCTTTTTCTTGTCCAGTCGTTGATTCTCTTCGGCATAGAGCTGCTCGCGAACACTACCAGGGACATCAGCGTGGGTCTCGAGAACCCCACCTTGCTCCACATATTTGACGAGGGCCTTCAGATGGTGTGTCTTCAATCTATGGTGCCTTTTTCCCTCTGGATCTTGCCAGCAGTATTGTCCTTCGTGGCGACATGGAGGCCCGGGACACCGCATAATACGATATACATCGCGCCAGACAGAATATTGGCCGGAGACCTGCTCGGCGTCAATCTGAGCGTCCCGGTCAGCGACCATCCGTGTAGTCACCGATGACTTTCCTCGCTTGTCCGTTCTAGAAGGAAGGGGTCCACTGTCCTCTATGTAGTTGATCGATATCTGAAGCCGGATCTTCTTTCCACGAGGGAATAGAGAGGCCCACGCTAGCAGCTGTTTCTCCACCGCTGTCCAATCAACACTAGTACCTTCAAAGTGTTTGTCAATGTTCCGTTGGGAGTTCACCGATAACACCATGTCAGTATCATCTAGTCTCACCCGTCGGCCACGGGCTGTCTTCCGTCCTAGAATATTTAAAGCATCCTCTTTTATCTGTTCCCAGTAGGACCTAGGTGGTTGAGTAAGGTCTTGTTTTGTATCCTTGACCACAACTCGATTGTTCAATTTAACCCTCCACTCGATCTGGTAGTGGATACAGTCCGGAGATTGTTCATCCCATGCACTTCCATCTGCACGTTCAACCATAGGATCAAAACTCTGCTGGTCGGATAGATGTTGATGCAAGGAAGGTGAACATTCACCAACTATGTCCTCGTGATCAGGTGAAGGGCAGATTACTGGTGGCGTCCATTCACGGTCTGGGTAACCAGGGGTGGGGGCATACGAGGGAGTTCGTTCCCATAAATCGGACAGTTCGGGTCGGTAAGCATCATCATCATAATCGTTGAAAGTAGTGTGAGTCATACCCCCAAGGCAGAAGATGCCACTGAGGAGTCTATTAACATGGTTGTGTCAGCTTCCACCAATTGTGTTCCAGAGCATCAAGAAAGAGGACTGTAGCTGACAGGCTGAGTTTTATGATAAGTGGGTTCATGAGTAGTCTGCAGGTATAGTAAGCAAGTAATGCAAGTCACTATTTGCAAGGTCTGGTGCCGTGTAAGTCCCCCAGACCGTCACTTGGACAGGAGTGGGAGGAAAGTGACAGTTCGCCAGATTCTCGAGGCACTTCCAAAACACTGTCGTTTGCCTTGTTTGCATCTTCATGGAAAATTCCAGTTCCTTTGGATCCCAGTACAGTTACGAGACAAGGCACCGTATTTTAATAAATGTAAATCACGGTATCGAGATTGATACAGGAACATTGATATTCCTGGATTAATCTTAATATGGTCTAGTGTATCTTGGCGGTGGGGCTGGAGAAACGTTCGAAGAGTGTCAGCGGTTGCACCAGTTTCGGGACGCACTGTAGGAAAAAACATCTGTATTATATTTTTTTCTCCCTTTTTACTGTCAAAACATACGGTCTTCTCAATCGAGCAGTTGGAAAATTCAAGTTTCAGCATCCTGCGACCTCGCTATCTCGAAAATACCCTTAAGCTCAGATTCCTTCTTTAACTTCAGCAAATAACATGTATGTATCGCCTCTCGCCGGGCCACCGCAATGTTTAGTGCGCGTGCTAGTTTGTTGATTATTGTCGAAAAATTTTATTTTCACTTAATCACCAGACAGACGTAGACCCCACTGAAACTAGTGCGGTTATATTTATCAAAGTTCATTGACCCATTTCTGTATGAGGTCCGTTTTGTCCCGTTTGTATATCACATCAGAAATTCAAGACATCGGTCCTTTCCTGAACTTGGCTACTAAACAAAATGCAGCCCTACTTTAGCGAACGCGTATGCCGCGGCTCGAATGAGCCAGGTCCCCGTGACTTACCCGCAGGTGTTGTCGCAGCCACGTGTTGGAGTTCAGAGCATTGACTAATTGTTATCTCTCGGGGGGTACATGGGACTAGATATACAACATGAGACCGAAAATGATTCTTAATATATTTCGTTCCTCGTGTAGACTTTGAGGGTGTAATTTCCGATGATGCGGATTGATTCCTGATCTGCACCAGCCTCGTATTGCAACTCAAATCACTAGCCGGCATCGTTTATTTAAGACAAAGTGCTCTCTGTGCGCTCAGACGAACATACGAGACTAGGTTCTCGTGCGGCGAGGTGCTCAAGTCGGTCAGACACAGACACAAGAAGCCAGAATTGAAGCGTGAAATATTGATGCAGTCAGTGAGCATATGTGCATCAAAGAATGCCCTGACACAATATAGGGCTTGCTTGAACGTTGACTCAGCATTTGAATAGACCCACGGGGGTAGAACCACCCTCCAATGCCATTGACCAGAGCCAAGAAGATGTAAGATGCCGTCAGTCGAGACATTTTCGAGAAAACAGCGTTGTAGAGTGAGACGCTGCATAAAGCCAATGCTCCAAACACCCCAATGACTAGCATTCGTTCTTTCTTCTCTCTTGGCCAGGTTATCAAATAGGTAGCACAGACCATCCCGGCCAGTGTGATTCCCAGAATTACTGAAGCGATTTTCCCACTATCAGAATTTTCTAATAGCAAGACCGATACGGACGTCCCCCATATGTGTAGAATAATTCCGATGTGGTCCAACAGGAAGAAGGAAGAAGAGAGTTGCTTCCCCGAGTCAAGTAAGTAATGGGAAAAAGCAGAAGTACCAAAACAAAAGAGGTTGGATAACAGAGAAACCAATGCTGTGATCGCATTGCTTGTTGACGAAGAGCACCGAATTATATGGAAAATAAAGAAAAGCAGCATTCCGCTGCCGCAGAAATGGATTTTTGGGTCGACAGAGCCATTAGTGTGAACGGGCTTATGTTGTAGTGCGCGTCGGGGCTTTGAATCGCAACGGCTGGCTTCCATATCGACAAATTGAATTTTCATTGAGGATTTTGTGGCACTCTGGACAGGCGATGTTTTGAGATTGACGGGACAGGATCACTTTAAACAGTCGTAGCGCTTGTCCAAAAACGTCTTCCTTGGGTGACAGGTCTTCATTACTTGATCATCCAAAAAATTGAGGACCACAACTTTGGCACTCATTTAGAAAAGAAAAAACTATTTACCCAAAACCTTAGGTGAGCAGAAACGAAACTGTGAACATATTTATGCTCGGTGCGGTGTGTTGAATTACCAGGCCCATAACAGTTCATGATAGGAAACATACATTATAGGGATGTGGTTAATGACGGTGGCGTTGGCGGGCAATGACATTGATGTTGATGGTGTGTTGATGGTGAGGGGAGTGTTCAACGTTTCGCGGACGAAGGGCAAAGGTTTCCTCGCCATCTTGCCCATATGATAGATCATCTATCATAGATGTATTAATGTACATCATCCATAGTCCGTGAAAAACTATTCCATTTTCTTAACCTGCTAACTTGGTGGAATTGGCATACAGACTCCGATTAAATAGAAATAGTCAGATCATTGTCGGCTTTTGATTTCACCGACGAAACTCACATCTTGTAACAAATCAAAAACTTGAACATGTTCGATGTTTGTATCATACTAATTCCGGATGATGGCAAGACGACGAATTTAATGGACTCGAACCTAGTACTACTTTGAACATGAAGTGCAAATCATGATAACCAATATAGTATAGCTTGACGTATTGCTGTTCAAGAAATGGGATACATCGGGATAAACGGCAACACCATTACACTATCGTACCAGATCTCATAAAAAGCAAGTATCCTTTCACACGTGCTGCAGATATATAATAGCGCACGGAAACGATTTTCGAGGATTATTCTATTCTACGTTGCTGCTTTCTAGCTTCCTCACTTTCGCAATGCCCACCAATGTTCACAAAATCTTAATGCTCCACGGTACATCAACTCAATTATAATGTATCGAAGGGACTAACAAAATGTTAGGACACGGTCAATCAGCAGACATCTTCAAGCCAAAAACTCGGTATTTGCGAGATGTCTTTCGCACTCTGTCCAACGAGATAGAGTTTGAGTTCAGATATCTGTCCGGTGTGCTACCAGCCTATCCCGATGACAAAGATATCACGGATAAGAAAGTCTGGGGCTATGGTGAACCCGAAAATGATAAAATCAACGGCTTGGAGAGATCTATTCAGCACATCCTTGATACCCTCGACCAAAACGGTCCTTTTAGTGGCATAATTGGATTTTCCTCGGGTGCTGCCATGACAGCAATCGTTACTTCGATGCTGGAGAAGAGGAACGCAGTTTGTGGTATCCCGTGGGAGGTAATTTAAAATTTCCCAGCTCTAATTTCTGGATAGAATCCCACCTCTGACTGGTCTCAGCGACGCCATCCGCAGTTACTATTCGCAATATCCCTGAGTGGCTTCAAACTAGAGAATACGTGCTACAAAGATTTTTATTCCCCAAAAATTGTGACTCCGATGTTACATGCCGTCGGGGAGTTGGACTCAACGGTCTCTCCTGAACAGACACGGAGCCTCGCACAACAGTGCTCATTCCCGTGGCTATACAATTTTTTCGGTGGTCATTACGTGCCCCAATACAAAGAGCTTTTGAGCTTTAGTCAATCTCTTGCGAGCTTTCTGAGAGAAGTGTTAGGGCTCGCTGAAGTGGTTCAGGAGGCCTGGGAGGATATTGATATAGTTGACGCGAAACTAAAGCCCAAAGAATAACTCTCGGTACGCATGTCTGCGATAGGCATTTCCATATGAATTCGAAAAATTTTGAGGCGTGTGAAGTTAGACATATGGACACAATTCTTCAATATGCACATACACACAATTTATTACCGCTCGGCGGCTAAGCCGAAAGACCAACTATCTCTGACCTAATTAATATACATGCCATAATATATATATTGGCATGTTTGTATTGTTTGGGCCCAAACCCAACCCATTAGGGGGTTGGGCTGGGTTGGGCTTTGGGCTTTATGGCTCTGCGGAAGTCCAAACCTGGCTTATCCAGAATTGTGGAGAATCCTTCGGTTTTTGTCCTGACGAACTATTCTATTTCGATGGTGGCAGTGTATTGGCAAATGAAATCTTTCTTGGTCTTCGAGAATTTCAGAAAAGGGGGAGCTTGGCACCTCAACGGTGGCCAGTGAATGACGATGGCGCCAGTATCGGTGGCCTTTCTGGCGGCAAGGCTCGCACATTTTGTATAGGAAAGGCCGCTAAGGTCGCTTGCTCGTTGAGCATTGCGAATGATGTGCGGAAGAAGAGGTCATATGATGGGGGTAAATTGGAAATTAAAAACATCTACAACAAGAAAGATGGAAAAGCGAAGGAATTTTTCCAGCGTAAACAATTGGGCCACAAGAGCATAACTAGGCGAGACATAGAGAACGATGAACCGATCTTGAAGCATCGAGTATGATGGTCAACACGTTCTTCAATTTAACCACATTATCCCTAGTAGCTCGGAGGTATCGAGATGAGGATCGGGTTAGTACTGTTAAAATTGGTAAAACCAGAGGCTTTCTGATTGTGGAATCATCCTTGGCCTGTCTTATCCAAAACAGGGAAGCGCTTGACTGAATGGCGTTGTACGCGAACTTATTTGATTAAAATTCCATTGTGCAATAATAAAACTTTCAGCACAATGATCCCGTGGGAGAAATATCATTTTTATGGCATAAATGGACGCAGTGCCAAATAGACTCCGTTCCCTGCTCTTCAAATTCCGACAACTAATAAATTTGCGCTTCTGCCGTTTCAAACCTGCTAAGCGCTCTCAAACGTTGACCCCCAACAAAAAAAACCCAAGGAATAGGTAACAGCAGAACAGCGATAAATCCCAGTACGCTTGAAGCCCATGCAACGCCAAGCTTCGTATACACTACACTGCGAGTCAGTAATTATTGCCATGCCTAGAGACCGTCGAGAGTACTCACTCTGGACTGAGAAGAGAGGGAATGCAGCTGCAAGTCCATACCGAGCCAGGCCATTTGCACTCATCGCGCTTGCCACCGTCAAGCCATGGTAAGTGTCGACGATATACTGAGCCGTGCTTACGAAGACGCAAATATTCCCCCAGGCAAATAGCACAATGGCTACCACAGGACTTGCCCATGATATATCTGCTCGGGAAGTCCAGCCAAACCAGAACAGGCTGATGGGTAGTCCAATGCTGCCAATCAATGATGGGTAGAGGCGAAGCTCAGGCGGTACCTGTTGTTGCTGATAGCTTGTCGCTGTTCGGCGGTAAAAGAATATGTCGCATAACAACACAGTGAATGCACCTATTATGCATCCGACCACTATGGCGAGAAACACAAGACCGGAAGCCTCGATCCCGAACCCGTAAATACCCTGAAAGACGAGCGGAAAGGCAGCGAAGAATGAGAAGAGTGTTGCAAATTCGCATGCCACATAAAGACAGATCAATGCAACAATGGGCTCGGTGAGGATCATCTGAGCTGGACGAAGAAGAGCGACAGTCACAAAATTTCGTAGCTTCAAGGACTGTGATGATTGGGGAATGGACAGGCCGAGACTTTTGGAGCGACGGCACTTGATCACTGGATGAAATGTCTCTCGAGCGATGAGAGTAGTGATAATGGTACACATAGCAAAAAGCAGCATCGTCCACTGAGTCCAGCGCCAGCCCTTGCGATTGATCAAGAAGCTCCCAATGACAGGGCTGAACATGTCAGTGAGTGTCAATATCGTGAAAAGTGGATAAAAAAACTTACCCAAAACCAGGACCGAGGAAAGGAGTGAGAATGAAGATAGTGGATGGGATAGCCCGAGAGGCAGGCTTGAACGTTTCGTTGATGGTTCCTGCAGCAATGGCTAAAGGAGGTGCGAAGCAAAGACCAGCGAGAAACCGCAAGACACAGACCGCTGTAAATGTGTGACTGAGTCCAACGCCTAGGGTGAATAAACTTCCAAGCAATGCAGAGCCGATATAAACGGGGTATCTTCCAATTGTCTCAGACAATGGTCCTCCCACAACTGGACCTAGCGCTAGGGCGAACACGTAAAGCGACAAAGGAAGAATTGCGACCGTACTACCGATCCCAAACTCTTTCATGAATTGCGAATGAGCTGGCGAAACAATAGACACACCAAGCGAGCTAAATAGTTTGATCAGTCTGAATGAACAATATAGCAAAGAGGGGGTTTTCCCACGTTGTGAACGCGGCTGACGCAATCATCAGCACCTGCTGAACTTTCCACTTGGTTGGCCAGTTGTAGGGATTGCTTGGGTCGGTTTCCCACTTCCAATTGGATTGATCATCTAGGGCGTCATCATCCGCGAGTCCCGCTTCGAATTTGAGGCTTGCAGGCCTGGACGGATTCCCTCCCCCATTGTGCTTGTGAGCATTGATATGAGTCATCTTCTATCGGAAAAGATTGGGTAACAGACGCTCCTGGTCTCAATAGTCTAATAGTAAATATCAATGCCGATATGCTGACTGGTAAAGTACGCCAGGGAGCGCACCATGTCTACAAGCAAAAAATACGCCAAGATCCAATCATTTATAGTAAAGATATAGATTGTGGAATGTTAAAGCATTAGATGACAGTGGGAATACAATTTGAACTGAAAATGAACTACCCATGTTGAGCGGATCTTCGAGATTTTCCTTGGTCATTTGAAACTCGACAACTAATTTACCCGACCAGAATTGCCAATGGTTCGGTCTTTCGTGTATCAAGATTTATGCAGGCTACGTTTAAATACTCAAAATTCATGACAGAACAGACATAATCCCGCTTTGTTACTTCAAGATAACAAAATGGATGTACTGTATTCTGGCTGCCGAAGAAGCTATTTATAAGAGACAAACGTTATTCCAAGAGGAGATACGACGATTATATACATGACAGGCCATGCCGTCCTATGGCTGAATATACCTTTTCTGTGGGTAGGTAGTGGCTTGTAGAAGGTGAGGTATTTCAACTGGCCAAGGGGCGTAGAAAGAAGAAAATGTACTTCACCACATTGGAATGTTGCCTCTGCCATATGGGGCTGTTCCCAAAGCATGAAATCCATTTAGACAGCTACTCCCGGATCTGTGATTTTCCGTGTTTAATTGAGGGAGTGCGACTCACATTTAACATAATTTGTGCTTTTGTGTGCAAAGACATACACAATAAAATCCAAGTGACCCCTCTTACCGGCCACAGGGCAATACTTTTTGAACGGCAACTCGTCCACGCCTAATTCGATAGTAGTTTCGTTTTCGAAACGGTCATTCAATGTTATAAATTTGAACCAGAAGAGGTGTCAAACAGATCAACCCTGCACGCCGCCTTGTTCCATCTTTCGACACCAGACGTCGGTGCCACTGAACAACCTCCAAAAAGGGTAGGTGCGGCCTTTGAAATACGTAAATGGCCACCAAAGCTCATAACCCTGTTCTAAATTAGCATGCAGTCTTCGATGCCGAAACACTATTTACGGTGCTCCCCGATATGCCCACACCACCTGTCTTTGCCACTGGCTATGACCACCTTTGTCTAGATAATTCATCTCGCTTCCCATTATTTACTGGAGAAGCAATAGACTACCAGTCGAGGATTGTGTGCGGCTTTTACTCCAGCGGTGACAGCATATGCCTCCAGGAATGGACAGGTCCAGATCTCATGTCACCGTCTACCTGTACTGAGGATGTCTTCCTCTATCTGTCGGCTTCTCACATTTTAAAGAAGCCAGATTGGGTAGATATCAGGCTCTGCATTTTAGACAATGAAGTTAATGAAATGGTGGCGGTATACCCGTTTTTCCTCCCGCGAGAAGAATCAATGCTGGGTAGCCTACCACAAGTTCGTGAGCAAGTCCAGGATGTCATCGCGAGCCTTGATGTGAAGAAAGTCTATTTTCGGATTTCCATTCGGTCTCGCAACCACGAAGCGCCTAATTATCTGAATGCCAGAACGACGTTCAAGTAATCAATACGGCCAATAGCACCTCTTTTGCCGCTTGATCTATGACATTCCGTGAAGAATATAATGGAGGGTTACTTATGGAAAAGGGAAATTCTACAAGATCCCAGGTCCATCTTCAAACAAACATTTTATTAATTTTGTGATTCAAATAAGCGTATGAAATATCAACTAGAGATGCCTAAGCTACGAGCTTCTCATTCATTACTATAGTCGATCGTCGATCCTCCTCTTGTTCTAGCCTCTGTCCATCAGATTAACACGCATAGTCTTTTGCTGCTCGCTTCCCATTATCGATAGACCGCGGTTATTATAAAGACGATGACATGTGAATGGCGTTATATTACAAAAAGCAGTCCTTTCATTCAAAGCGAATTATGTTTGCCGGAACTTGGCGCAGGATTAGCTGTTGCATGCCCTTTCTTCGTCAGGATATCAGGTGGTGTTGTTATAAGTTATGGCCAAGTCCAGCTGTTCTTGGTTTCTAGCGTGCGGTTGAGATGAAAGGGACTTAGGCCTTGAAATTCGACATTTTTCGTGTAATGATGGAATCGGTGAAATGCGTATACTCAAGCTCCCTCATAATTAAGTTCTACGGAGGCGGCGGGTGCAAATCCATTTTTTATGATTTAGCACAAGTTATTAAATACTTGGTCTAAAGAGTGACCCTAAAACCTAGACAATGCGGGCTTTTGAACCGAATTATAATAAAGTACATTAGTAGCCTCATCCCACAGTGCATTCGGATTTTCTCATCCCCTTTACTGCGATTTTTGGATTTGATTTTCTGTTGACCTGAGCAACCTTTCCGGATTCATGTTTTTCGCACCATTTGTGGCCCTGATTGGCCGTATACCCTTCATCTTAGCTTTCTCGTTTCCCACCATGGCTATTTCGGATGAAAATAATGGAGAGAGATTAGTTTTTTGTCATTTCATGGCATGGGACCCCGGCATCCTCTCTTGCGTTGTGAATGCAGTACTGACGCTCCTCAGGTTGGCATCGTTAGCAACCGCCAAAGCGCTAGCGACTATGACGATGATATGAAGCGAGCAAAATTTGCAGGCATCGACGCTTTCGCCTTAAACATCGGCACTGATTCCTACACAGACAAGCAGCTGGGATTGGCCTATAAATCTGCCGCTAAAAACGGCATTAAGGTTTTCCTCTCTTTTGACTTCAACTGGTGGCAGACTAGCCAGGGTAGTGCAGTGGGTGCGAAGATCGCGCAGTATGCCAGTCTTCCGGCCCAGCTCAAGGTCGATGGGAAGGTCTTCGTGTCTTCTTTCGCCGGCGATGGTGTCAACATTGACGCAGTCAGATCAGCTGCCGGTCGCGATATCTACTTTGCACCGAATTTCCACCCTGGTCGAAGTGATTTCGGTGACCTTCAGGCTGCTCTGAATTGGGCCGCTTGGGGCAATAGCGGAAGCAATAAGTCCCCAAATCCCGGCAACCGGCTCGCTGTGGCGTATGGCGACCGGGCTTACGAGACAGCTCTTATGGGGAAGCCCTATATTGCGCGTGAGTGGTTCGAAAAAGCTTTTACTTCTTATTCTGACCGAAACTTAGCGATTTCACCTTGGTTTTCGACACACTTCGGCGGCGAAGACTCTTACACCAAAAACCGGGTTTTTCCCTCTGGTCTCATCTGGTACAACCGGTGGAGAGAGATCCTAGATACCAGCCCCCGCTTCGTGGAGCTTATCACGTGGAACGACTACGGTGAATCGCACTACATTGGCCCGCTGTCATCACCACACACAGATGATGGAGCCTCCAAATGGGTAATCGGAATGTAAGCAGAAGAAACCCAAGAAGTCAAGTTGGGGACGGGCAATAACTAATAAACAGGCCACATAACGGCTGGCTTGATATAGCCAAGCCTTTCATAGCTGCCTACAAAGCTGGCTCAAAGCTGCCAATTAATTTCCTTGACGAGGAAAGGCTGGTCTACTGGTACCGACCGACCCCCAAAGACGTCGACTGCGACGCGACCGACACAACAATGCAAAGCTGCCCCCACAGTGGCAGTGACAATCCTGTTTGTGGCCGACCTGATGGAGTGGATCATATGACCGACGAGGTATTCATTGTCACAATGCTCGAAACGCCCGCGACAATACATGTGCAATCCGGATGCAAGACGGAGACTTACGAAGCAAAGGCCGGAGTATGGTCACATTCAGTGCCGATGGGCGTGGGTACCCAGAGCTTCAAGGTTGTGCGTGACGGAGAGACGATTGATTCTCTGTGTGGGACTAGTTTGAGGGAAATTACTGAAACATGCCCCTGTGGCATTTATAACTTCAATGCTTATGTGGGAACTTTGCCAGCGGATGCCTCTGTTGACCGGCTGCAGCCAGCTGGACTGTCACGTTTGTCGCAGGGATTGAAAACTTCTTGTTCGACTGGTAGACTGTAGGCAAGAGTGATTGCGAATGGGAGAGACTGAGTATGCGATAAATAAAATTTCAGTTGTTGATATGAAATAGTAGGGGTGTGAAAACCTAGATATCAAATCTTGGATAAGTTTTTCGATTGCCTGCAGTAACTATAATAAAAGTGTTTTGGCCTTCTGTAAAGCCAGCTGATTGAGGGTGGCAACATAGGTCACGGCAAGTAAAAACGCATCAAGAGGCGTTTTGTTTCCGCCCATGGGCCATCAGGGACCAGATCATGAGGCAATTTGCCATCATTAGACATGGCGTATCGGTCAGCTCCGGCCGTTAACAATTCCGCAACTGCTTCCCAAGCCCCTTCCTTGGCGACAACGCTATGCAGGGGTGTGTGTCCGGAGTTATCCCGAGAGTTCACATTCGCTCCGTTTTGAATGAGAAGTGCGACGACCTTGTGGATTATGCCGAAATACGCTTCCGCAGCATAGTGAAGAGGGCATTTGCCGTATAGATCTTCCGAATTGGCAGAACCTCCACGTTCGAGTAACAATTTTGTTAATTCCACAGATCCCATCTGTGCAGCAAGGGAAAGAGGTGTTAACCCATAGCTATTTCGGAAGTGAATATCAGCTCCAAGAAAGATAAGCATTTGGACACACTCTATCCCTTTTCGGTCATGGGAGTTTCGTATAGCACAGAAGATTGGAGTCTCTCCGTCTTCGCCGCCAGCACAATTCACGTCAGCTCCGTTTCCGACAAGCCGGCTCATCAAATTAGGACACCAGCTTCGTGACGAAGCAGCCAAGTGGAGGACAGTTTCTCCATTGGCGTCTCTAGGCGTGATGCTAGCACCGCAATCAAGGAGGACTTGCGCTTGTTTGATGGCTCCCCGAGAGATCGCTTGAAGTAGGGGTGTCTCCTCAGAATAATTCTTAGAATCGAGCTCAGCTCCATGCTTAACCAATGTTCGAATGATGGTTTTGTTGTCACTCCTGGAATTGCTAGATTTGGTCGCAGCGTAGAAAAGAGCTGTCCATCCATTCCAAAACTGGATCTCATTCTTGAAATTCGGATTGGCACCAAGACGTAGTAGCAGAGACACAGCACGTGTGCTTGAATAAGTAACTGCTACTTGAAGCGGTGTTCTCCCCTGGCGGTCTTGAGAGTCCATTGGTATACCGTTATCTATCAGCATCTTCATGATTCCGAGAGAAGCGTTCTTTGAAGCTGCGATGTGTAGCAGGTTCATCCCCGTTCGGCGTTCCAAGATGTGTGCGTCAGCCCCATGATTTAGCAACAATGACACTTTAGACTCTTGGTTTGACCTTACAGCCCTCAGTAGTGGGGTATGTTTGTCAAACGCAACTGAATTGGCCATGGCACCATACTCTAGGAGCAACTTGGTGATAGCTGTGTCGCTACGTCCATCTGTCGCCAAAGCCAAGGGTCTCATGGATTGAGCGTCGGCCGCATCTGGCAAAGCCCCATTTTCCAAAAGAATCTGCACGACGCGGGTATGCTTGGTGGTAACAGCTTGCAGAAGAGCCGTCGACTGTGCCCGATTTGGTGGCCGAAGGTTGACATTGGCCCCCGCTCGCAGCATATTCCGAACTCCAACTTCATCCCCACGACTCACATACCATAAAAGAGCTGATCCACCATCGGAGCGAACATTTCTTTCGTAGAGCTCATTGATGAGGAGGTTGTAGAACTTTCGGCTAGCTCGTAGCAACCCGAGAAAATCTTTTGGTGAGTCCAAATGGCTTGTGACGAGCAACGTAAGTTCCGGTGGCAAAAAGAGAAGACACATCGCAGGAGACTAGTAGATGACTAGGTTGTTGTCATTCATGAGAACGGGTGATGAATATTTGGCATCGTCCAAGCTAATTGATCCAAGAGTGGATGGCGTGTCGTGTTTGGTGATGGCCAACTGAAAAAAGAATGAAGAGCAGTGGATGCTTCAGCAGAAGCCGTCGCCTAGTGCCTATCAAGTACTGTTATTGAAATGCGGGAAGAGGTCTCCGTCTTGAGTATTATTATAATTGAACAATAGTTTCAACTAATAACAGATCCTCGTATTCTATGTCGAGAAGACGTTGAAGTTACTAAATTGGTTATGCCAAACCCCATTCGCTTTGCTTGACTTATCATCAGTGCTCAGAGACCACTTCAATTCCTAGACCATTTTTGAGAAGAATTAATATCTCTACTTTGGAATACAAAGCATTTCACCGAGTCTATGTACTACACTGATGGGTGATTGGTACAACTGGTTTTTCATAGCTTCTAACCCTCGGTTTAGTATCCAACCGCTATGTACCAGTCATCTCTATTTTTACCATCCTAGCACACTAATTTCATTCTTTGGGGCTGTCAAAGTGATATGGTACATAGTTCATGCGAAGCATAGGTTTAATCCGTCTCGGTAACATGCCTCAAGTTGACAGAATTTACTTAGCGAGATAGCCAAAGAAACAATCACACAAGCATATCAAGCGGCACTTACAATGGCCTTTGCCAGGGCCTACATATGTTTACCCTACCGTGCTCTATTTCCTGACCTAGGAATGATTACTCGTTCATCCTTTCACCGTCGATCGACCGCAAAGGATCCACTGTGTAAAGCAATACTAATTTCCAATATGTTGTTGATAGATGTTGATAGAAGACGTTGAATCTATGTGCAATACCAAAGCTCCCCCAAAACAAATCTTCGATGCCCACTGTCCTCCAAAACAGAAAGAAACTTCCCAGGCCTAAAAAAAACCGACAGAAATCAGTGACCAATATTGTAGAGGGTCCATATGTAATGGTAATATCAAACTGTCTCATTAACTAAAAACTATGAAACTGGCAATTTTGTAGGACCTGCTGGAAAAGAGTAATATGCAGGTTTTTTTTGTGAGGTGTCCGATGTTGATGTCGTAAGATATTCTGGGTAAATACCCGGAAATCCACATACAGATCCACCATATTTCTGACACAAACGCCTGGGAATTTGCGCTCAAGGTTTAGTTTGCATATCTTATCTTCTATCTTGCCAGAATATGTGCTCATATGTCATGCAGCTCACTCTGGTCATGCTCTTGAATTTCCTGCTTGGCCACGATCAGACTGGCAACGAACGCGGGTAAAAGGCGTCGGAAAGCATCGATTCAAAAGGTCTGTGAATGTCTCATAGCTCCAATTCTTTGATATTTTTGTTTCATTGCTCATGTATGTCTCGAGCCCTGTATAAATCACAGGGTTCTTTGCCTGATTGTGCCAGCATGAAATAAACAACAAACAACCTACATATGTCAGGATTTACAGCACGAAAGTGATAGGTCGAGATAGATGGAAAAAGAGAGGAGAGGTAAATCTGACGAATCGAACAATTTGGTCAATTGATTGAGAATAATTGGTTTATTATTTTTATTATTTGATTAAGAGTCTTGTTTTATACTTACTTAATGAAAGAAGTCAAGCCTGCCACTGATCAAATAGACATCGAACATATGCAATTTACTTGCCTCGCGCTTTAGGCACATTAACGTATCCATGCATCCTCGTGAGCAGACACCGCGGTCCTTAATAGGCGTAACCACATCATCACCCAATTCACCACCCTCAATTCGGCGTTTCGAGCTGTCGTACATGCGATCCTGAGATCGTGTGATTTAGGCATTTTGTGTTTATTGAAGCTGCAAGACAAGGCTATTCTCAATGTGTGCGAACGCCTGAACCAAACAATCAACCTTAAAGGTCTGTAAAAATTGAACAAATACACACTGGGAAATGTCTACTTAGTCAGAAAATGAATTCAAAAGTTGACTATAAACAGGAGGGTGGGATTTGCGGACAGAAAGTGCTTGGGGCGTTAAGGTTAAACAATGTATTGAATAAGTAATCTGCATGGGGAAACAGAAAGATGAGCGAGTGGATAGGATAGTTGACGTATTCAATTGATTGTTAACAAAAAGATTATTTTCCAGTCCTTATCTGGCCCTTTTGAAATCTTGGAACATATGGCGTGCAACACGGGGAAATAGAAACAAATGTTTATTGTACATACTTCAGCTCCAGTGGGGCAAATTCTATATTTCGTCGGGTCTACGCTCCACTCTCTCTGCCACTCCGAGACTTTGCGGACAAAAGAAATTGCTAGCATAACGAAGAAGCCCCGTGCAGTAGTGGCTGCAACCATGGTACACGCAAGTTTCATGCGCAAGCGCATGCTCCGAGTTGCTTTGATTAGCAACCATCCATAGCGAGGGAACTCCTCATTCGACAATTACTCCACTGTAGGTGTATACGTCGGTCGTCACGACTTGGTTTTTAAAGTCAATTTAGCTTGCTGATCGACTGTCAAAAAGAAGGTTCATATACATACTCATGGTGGTACATATTGCTTTCGTGGGAGACTACTTGTACCTTCAGCAGTTCTCTTTCGTATACCAAGTCAAGAAAGGCCCATAATTTCAGTCATGTCAACATTCTGCGGCGACCGAAATAAGAGGATTAACGAACGGCCCCGCGGAAGCTTTAGCAGGTTGTTCGTCAATCCACCACACCCGTATGTAATTTTGACGATCTTACTGTTTAACTCATCCAGCTCTCTCAAATGGGCTCGATTGAAATCTTCCCAGCTCTCTAAGCTCTCATACCATGTCATTGGTTTACCATAACTATTAAGCTTCAGAAAATGGGGGAACGCCGAGAGGCACTAAGTATAAGCGAGACTGGTGTAACAAGACTTTTTCATAGTAGATCCGGAAAGGCCACACTCCACAATTGCATGTACATATTAGATCATGCTAGTCAATTAATGAGATGCGGAGGCAACAGTTCCACACGCAGAGGCGCTCAATGAAAGAATTCGTCGTGTCGCTGTTGGAATACGGGTTAATGTGATGTCGTCAAATGTCAAAACCCATCTGCGGTAGGAATGTCCGAAAATCGCAATTGAATTTGTTGCCAAAGCCTCGGCCAGAGGAATACGAGTGCTCCTGATATGAATAAATAGAAGGATTACTTAGGAACCTGTCATGGCCCAGATTTCCAAGCTAATTATCTGAAAAGGTGTAATAGCAATCCACACAGCCTTCTAAAGCAGCATCAAAAGCCTGCGGCAGCGATTCTAAGATGATAAGATACCTCCGCTGTCCCATTTTTAATCCTGCCATCCAACACCCCAAATGTGTAATTATCCCCATAGGTGCAAGCCTCTGAAAGCTTCTTCACAGGTTCAATGAGATTCTCGCAGTCGGTGATGATTGGGTTATGATTCTGGCTGAAGTAAGTATGAAAGATTCGCAATGAAAATTCTTTTTCGGACTGAAGAAAACACACATCGTTGCAGAAAAAAATTCCTGATTCATCCAGATACGCCACCCTTGTGCAACTGTTTGGACTTGCTGCACATTTTGAATCCTTGACATCTTTGAGGTGGTCCAGATTATCTTCTTTGGTAACTTTAGTATAGGCGACCCCATATGTCCAGTCACAATTGGTAGCAGGCTCTGCCTATTTGACAAGGTTATCCCCTGTTGGAGGTTGCCAGCACGTCTTAGCGACTTACACTACGTTTCTCTGTGGAAATATTCGAGAAATGATCGGGAGCGGGAAAGGAAGGGAAATCTATAGTCTTGCTAATTTTAGTAAATAGCCCAAGCAGCCAAGATATCCCATCACTTACTGTCCTGGGAGCCGATCCAGCTTGGCCAGTGCTAAATGTTGGACCGCCGTGCTTTGATGTGTCAGCAACTGTTTGTATTGTAGCTTGACTGACTGACTGCTTGGAGAACCAGAGCGCATAAAATGAATGTCTTTTGGATAATATTCATTTTGAGTCCAGTAGAGAGAGTTTGCCGGAAATACTTTTCAAGTACGTCGACTAATAAGAACTACTAAGCGGGTAGACACTCTTTATATAGAAATTTTGAGCAGAGTTCAATCTTTGTGAGCAGGCTCTCGACGTGTTCCAATGGTTTTTCGAGGCATAACAGGCATAATTAAAGGGGCTCCTCGGAAATAAGAATATTTTGAGTACGTGATATACATATAAAAGATGGATATTTGAGCAAGTTTGCGTTTTTGGATGGCTGCTTGATGCCGGTAATGTCCTCTAGAGGACTTTAACCTTTCCTCAGCCCCAACAACTGGTTGGTCTTGACTAATGGGTGGGCATATTCAAATTTTTGTTTTTCTTACTCTCCCTCCCTCCATACGGTTGATTGACCGTTCAAATTCACCGAAGTGAACGTATCTCAATCTACAAATCATACAAAGCCTGAGGTGATCCAACTAGAAAATTACCAGGCCCAGCTTTGTTTAAATTTAGCCGTATGGTTGATTAAAGCCAACAGTCAGCCCCCGTATCCTGATTCATCTGATCTTCGATAATTGTTTGTGATCCTCTAGTCGCTAAGTTTACTGCATACCAAAGCGCAGAAATTAAATGAGGGTCACCCAATAGACGCACAATTGAATCAACGTCGCCACAGTGGTGAGCTCCAAATACAGTATTTATCCGACCAGATCCAGCCGCCCTGCAATTACCAAGGTGATTGGACGCTCGAAGCAGCTGAAGGAATAAACAAGGTACCCCTCTTTAACTACCATCCCCGTTCGTGTAACTCGATTTCTTCTGTGGCTTTCTTGATGGTTTCTGCCGTGTCGCCCTGAATGCTAAGTTCCGTCTTAGAGTGCGATGCGTACCAACTCCAAACAGTCGCATGACTGACTTCGAGTGATTTTCCAATTTATTAAACCATTTCGTTTCTCTGTATGGCAGATGAACCGACTGTAAGAGTCTGAACCGGAGAAAAGTGTCAGTATCGAATATATGCTGGCCCTTGAGCGACACGATAATTCGTCTCATCCAAAACGACCTATTATTCGGTATCGACTTGTTCTAATTCAAGATCACGTGGTTGTTATCACTCTTTGTTTCTCAACCCTTTTTGTCTATAACTACTTCTCGAAATATATCGCATTGTTCGCATAGTTGTCTTAGTACGACATAGGCGCGGATGACTGTATCATTTCCAGCACTCGGAACCGCGGGAGCTTTTGAATCCGTTACCTGTGGCAGGCTTCCTATCACTTCATTGTGGATATTCCGGTGTAGAAATTTAAAATGCATGCGAACGCCATCTCCGTTCTCGCCGCTTTCCTCGCTGTAGGGAATGTCCACTTTGGGGCGGCTCAGCATGCTTCCGAAGCGCACGTGGACCAACCGCACTGGAATTCCCCGCGAGAAGTCGAACGAACGTCTCGCAACGAGACTCAGAGGAAAACTCATTCCGAATCTGGCTTGGTCCAAAATGGCTTGTTGGACAATTTGATGCAAACTCATGGCTCCTCTCCTCAGCCAGCGGTTACTCCCACTCCGGAAAGCTCGCCCGCTATTCAGACTCAAAAGGGAAGAGAAAACTTTGGTGTAACCATCTCTGTCAACCATAAGAGCCCCGATATCTTACGGCTTACCATTGACAATACGACCATCAGTAGTGAGCCGAGTGCTTCTACTGCAACCACTACAAAGACTGAGAGCCCAAGTAGCAGAAACATTCCCATGGACAACTCCACTGCCGCATCTACCACATCAAAAACCATAATAATGGAAAAATGGACTGTTGAATCATCACCCAATATATCAACTAGGGCTTCTTCAACTATTTCAACCACATCCTCTACCCACAACCCTCCTAATGGCTTGGCCACTGGGCTAGGAAACCTCATTGATGGCTCAACTAGTAGCGCCACATCATCTACTGCCTCCACTGTGACCGCCGCTGCCGCATTGCCTACCAAGACATCTACTTCGCTTGCTTCGACCAAGTCCAACAATCCATCCACAGCCATTGTTGATGATTTACGATCGAGCCTGGACTTCCTTCTTGGTAGCTCAACAAGCAGTTTTGTCACCATGGCGTCCAATGGATCTGGATTCTCTAGCCTCGAGAGTGTCAACAGTGCAGGCTCCAGCAATATCAGCGGCTGGGATGCGGCAAGCTCCACTGCGAACATTGCGGGATTGGACCACCTTGACCACTTTGGTCTAGGCGACAATTCCTCTATCGAGAAAAATATCACTCCTACCGTCTTCAGTAGTACTGCCATTCAGTCTATTATACTACTCAATGTGTCTGCCTCCACAACCAGCTCACTCTCGATCACTTCTACTCCCATCGGAACCTCAAGTTCTAGTAATTTGCTCAATGAGCTTATATCTAGCCTGGATTCGCAGTACAGCACCACCTCCTTTGGGACTGGTAGCACTGCATTTTTCACGACCATGTCTGTGCCCAGTATAAGCCTTTCGCAATCCAAGTCGACCAGCGTCGCTTCTTCCCCTGTGCTGGGGGAAACACGGGTATACTGACCCCCACATCAACCAACCCCATTGAAACAGTCCACATCTCGTACTTACCAAGTTTGAATTTTATTTCTGCATCCGGGATTGAATCTAGCAGTGGTATGAAATCTAGTCCTGGCCCCGCAAACAGTACTAGCACGTCAAGCACTGGCACCGAAGCTAGCACTGGTATGCTATCTAGTATGGGCACCGAATCTAGTAGTGCCATCAAATTTGGTATTGATCTCGAATATAATGAAAGTATTCGCTCTAGCACTGCCTCTGGCCCCAGCAGCTTATTTACCCCTTCCCTCGAGGACCTCACGCTTAGCTATCATTCGTCCTTCCCTCCTATCCCCACATTTACCAACGAAATGAGCACGGCTCAGAGCTCAGAGGAGTACCAGTCTAAGCAAAGTCCTGCTTTCGGGCTTTTAACCTCCAAGAAGGACTGGATGCCATCCACAATTCTTATCTTGCCTGACTTGACCGCCACCGTGAGCTCGACCTCCGAGCAGACAAAAGAACCCAAGGCAACATCGCTCCCTGGTTCTATCATCCCATTGAACGAAATTACCGAGGCCCCCTCTGACTCAGTCCTACTTCAGTTCGGCTTTGACAGCCAGCTACCATGGTCATTTGTCATCAACACCCCCTTGTCTTCATCTCAAATTTTTAATTACACCCCTCAGGCTATTGAAAACGCCTTGCCAAGTCTCTCTTCCAATGACAGCCCCGTCATGTTTTCCCTTGAGCCTTATTACAATTGGCAATCTACAGGCTATAATGCTACCCTCGCTACTTTCTATTTTTCTCGCGACAAGGTTGATCTGCTAAGAGCTCTCAAGGTTAACCCCGACTCTGCTCTCTACAACCAGGCCAGTGAAACACTCCGATCACTGATGTCCAAGGTCGACCCAACAATCCCTCTCGAGTTCTACGGTAACTATCCCAGTGGAGTCGGCGATCCAAGGGGCGGTGGCAGCAATGGTAATAATGAGGGTGGCAGGGATAGCCGTTCAAGTGGTGGCATCATTAATACCGATGGTTCTGCCAGCAGTTCCAAGACTAATCCCACATCGATCGGAATTGGTGTTGGAGCTGTGGCCAGTGCCGCCGCTTACGGTGCTGGTATGTTCTGGATTGCCCGCCGCTACCGTAAGAGAAAGCAGCTCCATCAGCACCTCCACTCAACTAGCAAGCAAGTGAACCAGGGTGGCTCCGCTCCCGGTCCGATACCTGCTGCTGGTGACCGTGCCTCTGGTCGGGGTAGCCGCGGTACCACTCGCTTTCAGACGATCAGCGGCCCGGCTATGGTGGAGAACTCTTTGGGATGGAATTAAATATACCCCTAAGATAAGACAGATGGAACTCTAATTGCATCTCATCCTGCACCCATCCTACACAAAATGAATAAGAAACAAAACAAACACCAAAGCCGTCCGATATATTTGGGAGGTTGCTTGAGTTACCCCCGCTTCTGTTGTGATATGAGGCTGTTACAGATCAAGAAGCTTTCAGTTCTTTCTGCGTGGAAGAAATACATGATGCAATGAGATGCCTTCACTGTGTATACATCCATAGCCTCGTTTCTCCCTCTCGGAAAACGGTTAATCAATATCTCTGAATTGAAATCATATTAATTCCTATAGCTCGGTTGAATCTCAGCAGAACTTGCTGTCATCTTTGGAATCCGAATAACCGTCCAATCGTGCTCTGTTCTTACGTTTTTAAAATCAATAGATGGCTTCAATACATAATGCAAAATCATAATGCCAAGCCATTCCTTGGTCAGTCTTGATTTCGCAATCTTTCCGGGAAATTTTATATCCTTCTTTATATCCAAAACCCTATTCAGGCACGGCCGGAGTCGTGGGCCTTTTAATGATAGCCTTCAGGAGCAGTCATTGAAATTGAGCAATGAAGCAGGCACTTTAGAATTGAATATCGTATGTTTAATGTTATCCTAGAGGTAAAAGTCGCCCCCTATAATAGTTAAAAGGAGAAACAGAAGGGGGTTTTTAGGTCCCGAGACGGGAAGCGAGTACAACGGTATTCATTCTATGAGAAATCCCAAATCTACCATCTAGAGCCTAGCAGTTTCTTGAGTGACGGTCATCAATGGATGTGGAGACAAGGTTTGTGTCTAAATGGCAAAAATTATCGGGTTGACCCAAGAATCGACATGGTCAAGATAGTTTTATTCATACTAAGAAATAACAGCAACGGGTAGCTGCAGCGGAAGGAGGGTGGTATATGAGGAAATACTATCTCACAGTATGTACCTCATTCTGCTTAATCTATGCAGTATGGAATTAATCGTGTTTTGTTCGAACAGTTCGCAAATATCAATCTCTTTGTACTTGAAGCTGCAAGAGGGTGAGACCTTGTATCAATAATCCGGTGATGAAGGCTTTCAGCCATACTCCAGTGAGATTGTTTCCGTTCCTATAAACCTATCTCAACTTCAAGAGCTTTTTGTGTTGAACTACACAGGAACTACCACGTTTTGATGGTGGCCCATGTCCCGCTGAGTGCAGGAGCGGGTGTATATCTTGAGGATGAGCTGTCAGAATTCCATCCTCGATACGTGGATCATGCGATAGAAGAATTTATACCCGGAATGCATGCTTCATGGGATCCTGGTGTGAAATGTTGGGCTTTGGGAGTTTCGCTCCAGGAGGAGGGATGAATTATTAGCGCCCAGGCAGACCCCACATTCCATTTCAATATAGCTATTTGCGGGTGACTAGCCGATTATCTTACGACCAACACATTTTCAAAAAAGTTTTGTTGGTAGATAGGAAAATGCAGACCAAATATAGCAAACAAAGATAATCACCGTACCCGAGGACGAAATTTCTCAGTTATCCCAAGAGCTCACCTTTGAAAGAAACAAAGCTGCAGAGAGTCACCAGCTAAAGAGCAAATTCTTTACAGTAACACAGACCTTGGAAGTGGCCGGCTCCAAGGGCCAATTGATGTGGAAAATAAAAATCTGCGCAGCGCGGCATGCTTGCTCTTTTTGAGGTTATACAGGCTATTGGGCGCGCCTGTAAACACTCGAAAAAGCATTGCTATCGAGTGCTTTCCGTCGAAGGGGTTTGGGAAAGTATTACATACGGGAAATAAGAAGGGCGCATATTCTTGCAACATCAATCATAGTACTCAGGCCCTGATTTATCTATGGATGGCAATTTTGAGCAACCAAGACATATGCGGCAAGATTTCGAATGCTTTCAGTAATTCGTCGTCACGGTATTGCAATAATCAGACTCGGGCGATTTTGATGTTACCGAAAAGTTTCAGTTCAGCCTGACTAGTGAACGCCCGCATGTGTTCAAATATACTCAGAAGCATGCTCTATAGGCTCGGATACATACCAACAAAGATAACAAAAAGATTAGAAGCCAGCCCTCAAGTTATCATATTGGGAGGCAGGGTAGCTTAGCTGATTCTCGCTCTTCTCTAAAGCGCCAGTGCCTCCAACGGTATCTACAACCTGCAAAATTCCCCAAGTCATTCGAATGGTCATACGTCATATGTGAGTGAGACATACCGTGGAAATCAAACTTTCATCACCTTGTTTGTCACCGCTGAGCTCCCACCACATACCCCCACCAAGGCCGTTGGACTTGATATACTCACCCTTCTTACGCGCAACCTCGGGGGTATCATAGCTGATGAACAAACGCGATCTTGAGTCATAACAGTAGCTAGCAGCTTCTTGATCGAGATTTGTGACCGCGCAGCAGGGCTGGGGCAGAGCCTTATAATCCCAAACACCATTCTCCCAGCTACCACCCCCTACACCATTGTAAGCTTGACCAGGACCATCGGTGTCGCTGAAAGCCCGGCCGTACAGAGGCATGCCCATGACAATCTTGTGTGAGGCCACTCCGTGCGAGGTGTAATAATCGATTGCTTGGTCGGTGTTGAAGGGAGTGCTTTCTGGGTTGTCTTTGGATGGGTGAAGGTTGGCGTCGTGTCCAGCTACGGTGTCCCAGCTTCCCGCGTAATCGTAGGTCATCAGGTTCCAGAAGTCAAGGTACTGATCCATATGAGCGAGATGCTCTTTATGGTAATTGGTAGGGCCTAGAACCTTGGTTAGCTGGCTTGATTGGGTCAATTGAAAGAAATTACACGTACCAGCAGGGGATGCAGCAGTGAGTAAGAAATGATAGCCGTCATTATTGGCTGAACTGTATGAATCAAGCGCCTGGAAGACTTAGCAGAGCCAGCAAAAGATAAGCGAAAACGTACCTCACGAAGGCGGCTTAGTATATCTACAAATCGGCCCGCTTCTTTATCATTGGCAGGGTACTATGTAATATCAGCATCAAACGCCGAGAAACAAAGTAATATACTCACTTCAAAATCTACATCAATACCGTCAAAGCCCAAGTTCTTCAGCAGTTCGATAGAGCTATTAGCAAAATTCTGGCGCCCTTCCTCAGTCTCAAATGCCGTTCTGAGGTTGGAAGAATAGGCCCAGCCTCCAATCGACAAAAGAACCTTTAGATTGCGATTTTTCTTCTTGAGTAAAAAAAGTTGCTTAACACAGCCATAGACATTGTTTCCGCTATCAGCCCAGGAATCCGTGGAGTAATGCTTTTCAGTGTCCGACCAATCATCCGACATAATCACCTCTCCGGAGGCCTGGGCATTGGCAAATGCGTAGAGAACATGGGTCAGTCGCTCGACGGGGATATCTTGCGGGTGAAAATCACGAGCATAGATGCCCTAGCCATGTTTGTTTAGTTGTTTTGATCCAGTGATGCCGTATACAAATGACACATACCGTGTTCACAAAATAGGCTACGGAGCGATACCCGTTAATATCACGAGTAGCAGTGTCAGTTGAATTGATCTTGGTTGACGGGGAATTGTAGGCAGTGTTCGCCAGTCGCGCTAGGCACAACAAGAAGGAAACACCAAAGTGCATAATGGGGGATTTACAAGGCTATATCCGATGAGATGGGTCAGTTTAGCAAGCGATAGAAAGGAAGAGTCTTGTTTGAAATAACTTTGAGGCAATGAGAAGCCAGGTTAGTTATACTCAAGGTCGACAAACAATATGCTGATCGTTTTTGCATACAATAGGCCATTATATAACCCCGCTATATAGTCCACAAATAAAACTTTGCAGCGTATATGCTTTAAATCAAGACCATCACTAAGCCAATTATGTATTGTGAGATTTGAACACATTAAACTCTGTCACAATATTTAGACTAGTCCATGTCTACTTTCTCCCAGCCCCACTTGAATGCCATCAACAAATTACATGGGTCTGTCGCTGCTCCTTTGCACTAGCACCCATAATTTCATCTTCCAGCATGATAATCTACACAGCTCAGTCGATGTTCAAATTTTCATCAAACGTAGCTGTTAGATAAGGCAGGCCTTTGACTTTTTCTTGATTACCATAAAATAAAATTTTGTTATTAGCTTTGTCGCCAATTTGTTTCCACTAATATGATCAGTCACTTATCTGGTAAGTGATCCTTCCTTTCCCGCCATAGCAATTTGAATCTTCGATAACAATATTTCTGGGATTCAGGCGAATTGGGACATATACAGTGATATTGGCAATCAATTTTCCCCTGTTCTCTCTCTTTGTTTGCCCTCGCTCCATTTCAAAGAAAGTTGGCCTCATTAGGAAGATTTTTCGCTCACCTTGCCCTGAAAGGAAGGAATGGAGTGGAAGGGGTTACCAATCCTACAGCTGCGCGACGACGTTCACACTACCAAAATCACAGGGAGAGAGACACCCTCCTATCCTGCCAAGCTTCTCTCTCATTGGTGCTCAATTGGGCCCTAGGTCACGTTCCCCCCCATTCCGAGTTTGGTTGTCGCTTTTCGTCTATTTGCTCGCTTGTCCTACTACCTGTATGTGTACTTGCTTTGCAAGGTTCATTTTATCATATTGTGCCGGATATCCTCCCTGTCAGCTATTGCAATAATCTGCCTATGCCAGTGCTGCATCCTCATCATGCTGTCTGCCTGCTGCAGTCTTCCTTCTGGTGACTCGCTTGTCTTTCTGGCTCGCCTAATTACCCGTTCCTTGCACCGATCCTTTTGCCTACCTCAATCTTTTTGTTTTACATCCACTGCATTGGGCATTCACACCACATCGGGTAGTGTACATACATGAACAGTAAATTGACTTTACAAATATTCATAGGGAAGAGATTCGAAGTATGCACACTAGACAGCGCCATCTCCCAGCGTGGGCTTCAGTGTTGGAGCCCCCTCTTATTTTTAGGTAGAATATTTTCTGGGTAACCACTTGCTATTTGATAAAATATCCATTTAGTGAAGCAATCTCAAGTGCCAGACTGTTTGCCTATCCTCGTTCCCCTGTCACCGTCCACTTATCAAATTGAGATGATAATATAGATAAAGGTCATCGTTAAAGCTCGAAAAGACATTGCGATGATACTGCACAAAAGACTTTATAGGCAAGGATATAACATCCTTGTATTGGCTCTTTGTAAGTTCTACTTCAATACAGCAGAATTCGAAAACAGATTACTCCTTGGACATTCACGCTTTTTTTCCCAGCGTGTTGTAGCATGTGTATATTGGTTGTATTGTTATGGAGTTGTGTGGGTCACAATCCAGTAATATAAATACAGGTCTAACCCTATTGCATGAGAAGTGCGTATCAGGATGACAGAACAAGACCATCAAAACAGGTGCTCCAACATTTTGTTAATGTATTTCTGGTAGATCGTCAAAATTACGGTAATCACACTTTGCGGCATTGGACAGACCACCCTTGCCGACTAAATGACTCGAGTAAGCCAAGCGGCCATGTGGTTATGCAGCCCAACAATAACTCACCCCGCCCCGGTGTGTCATTCTCCCTATCCTATACCTCTCCAGCATACGAACTATATCGACAAAGCCGTACTATATATTTACGTGCGGCAATTTTTCGTTATATTTGACCCTCCCAACACTTCAACGCAGCCCACACATAAGTACTCTTGCGATGTCACGAACAACTACAATCCGCCATCTGCCAACCAAGGTCATATGGATGATAACGTATCACCTTGATGCATTTAATCTCAGTTGGCTGCGACGTTCGTGCTGGGCTAACCGCGAATCAATACCGTCTCCTACTCATGCGAAGTTGATAGAAGCGGAAACCGATGACTTCGGACGTCAGAACAACTTGTACGCTTGTCGGGATTGTCTTAGACTTCGACCAAGGGCAAAATACGGGGACAAAATGATAAAGAAGGAGAAATCCAAGTGAGGACGCGATGCGAGTGATCGCTGGTGCGTGGACTGTTGCATCAACCTGCGCCCAGCACCAATCGATACGCGGCTGGCTTTCACATTGAAATCCTTGGGTAACATCATGTTAAATGCCTCCGATGTCGAAGGTTTCGAGCGGGTGCTTTTGAGAACGGCATACCCTTGTCTGTGTGCCAAGTATGTCAGCGGAACGCGAAGACAATAGAGGAACGTAAGGAGGCTGACCGAGTACTACAGGAAAGAGATCAATTGCGCGCGGTACAGGCTGAGCGGAGAGCCAGAGGACGTGCAATTTATGGCTCAGATTCAGAGAATGATGAGAATATTCCCACAAGTCCTATATTCAGTGAGGAGCAGATGGCTATGATCCAGCTCGAAGCCAACAGCCCTGGCGCTGGGTATGACTGAACTTTTGTCAATAATGAAGTCCATGGCAAAAGCTTTAGCTGCAGCGAACATTAGCTGTAGCGAACATTGTCAAGGACCTTGACGGTTGGGAGCGGTCTATCAATTCCAACAGAATGTGGGTTGCGAAGGATAGAAACAGGATTTCTGAAATACAGACAAGAATTCGTGGCTAATTTACAGCGGTCACTATGTACCGATGGATGGGGTGGGAGGATGTGATGGATGGATAGATGATTTTGTGTACAGTAGAATTCGAAAACAGATTACCCCCGGGACACACAGGCTTTCTTTCCCGGCGCCCCACTCGGCCGGCGCTAAACTGTATTCAGTCAGGGAAAGTCTCCACCGTCTTTTCTTGATGTATTTCTGGTAGATCATCAAGATTACCGCAAACACTGTTTCCGGCATTAGTCGGATCCTGCCAGAATGCCCTCCGGATGCCCCGTGGCCATACAGAAAATTCGACAACAGAACTTCTATACACTTTGACCCTACTGCCCCTCCCTGCCTTTCCATCCTTCGCAACATCGCTGTCTGAGATCCGCCAGATTTTGTGTACATCACGGTGCAGTTCTTCCGGAAATCGGTGTCACTGCCTACACGTATTGCTCAATTCGCCAGAAATCCTGAGCTAAGTCCCACTAGCTTATATCAAGTCTGACCCGTAATGCGAACTCTCAATATTAAGATACGCATTTGGTTACATATACCATGACGTAATTGGCTACGTAATTTTGTCTGACGACAGTCGATCACGTGCCGATAAGCGTCATACTTATTGCTTATGAACTAAATACATTATGGATGCGGTACATTTAGCGCGTACTTGACAAAATTTCTATAGAAATAAGATATCATCTCATAATGCAGGCAGATGCAGGACGCAGGGAGTCGCGTCCCGAAGTAGGAACCCTCCCGGCCCCCTCTCTTACTTGAGGCGAAGCCACTAACAACATCTATCAGCCATTGTCTGAAAGTGAAAAACGTCATTTCAGCAAGTATGGAAAATTCTCGCACAGAAAATTGGTTGACTTTGAGGTAGGTATCGATGGGTATTTTGATTTTGGTGTTCATGCGCTGACCGTTGACAGGGCCGGGCCACACTTTCCTGTGGCGATAATGCGCGTTCAGCCACTGTAAGTGACGCTATTCAGCCTCGGGAAGCAAGTTTGCGTCAAGATAGAAGCTCTCGATCCGGTACTCCTGTCTTTAATGCTGATAGTCTCCACAATGGGGCTGTCGGGGATGCGTACAGAAAACTTTCCACCACCGAAAAACGTCTTTTGCAACCAACAAAGTCCAGTGTACAAGATGCCACAATCAAGGAGCAGCGTGTCAAGTTTGTATCCGAGGAAGATGCTTCCGTCCTGTTTCCATTTGATTAGTTTATAAGCATGAAAACCATGGAAAATATATGATCTCGAATTTTCTGTATGGCCACGGGGCATCCGGAGGGCATTCTGGCAAGTAGGGTCTGACTAATGCCGGAAACAGTGTTTACGGTAATCTTGATGATCTACCAGAAATACATCAAGAAAAGACGGTGGAGACTTTCCCTGACTGAATACAGTTTATCGCCGGCCGAGTGGGGCGCCGGGAAAGAAAGCCTGTGTGTCCCGGGGGTAATCTGTTTTCGAATTTTACTGTACCCTAACCACGCGAACGACAACATGGTACGGGTCGCGGGTATTGCGGCAATGGCAATGAGGTCTGCCCATGGAGAGAAAGCGTGTGTGCCCAAGGGGTAATCTATTTTCGAATTCTACTTTAGCCTATTAGGTCCAATTATAGGGCAAGATTTGATGTGACAGGCTGCCAGCATGCTGCAATACCCAACCCGAAAATTTCTAACTAGCCAGCGTCTCGCACTGGCAGCGCGATATTGATGTTACATTGGATGGCGGCGTAAGGCTAATGGAGACATGCTCAGGGTGTAGTTCGGCCTACTTCAGACGATTGAAGATGCGCAAGAACATGTACATGCCGGTGTAGATATGAGCGTTGGAATTTGATCTGCAAGGGGTGTCTCAGTAGCCGATTCACCGGCTGAAGTTGAAGCCAAAGATTGACTATTTGTAGGTGTCGGTGTGAAGATCAGGGTTGATGATTGATCAGCACTGGCTGTTTCAGAAGCTGATCTGCCAATTGCAGTTGAGAACAAGGACAGACTGCCTGTAGCAATCAGCGTGGGCGTCTGAGAGGAACCTGTATTACCGATGCTACATTTACTGGGCACCTTAAGGCCGTTTTCTAGCATACAACGAGACGCGTCTCCTTGTCGGTTCAGGAAGGTCACGGTGCCATTTTTGTTTACTGTCACCCAGGCGACCTGCTCTCCATTTTCAGTGCCACATATATCAACTGTGACCGACTTATCGTCGGAACCAGTACCAATGAAAGCTGGAGGGTGTTAACAATATCCTGAGGGCCTTTGATAAAGATAAGTACTCACTCGAGCAATCTTTGCCTTTCAGCTTAGCAAAGGTTGCTGAATAGCCTGTACAGCCGTGGTTACTATGAGACCACACTCTACAGTTATTTTCGCCGTCAGTGTCATGAATGACAGCCAAAAGGCTACCTGACACGATAGTTCCGATAAAGAAAAGATAATACAGGTCCGCTCGAAATCAGTTTCACCATTTTGTTCTCTTTGATTCTTTCTTAAATCTTGCCGAGACCCACTTCGATGTCCATCTGGCCTAGCCCATCATCGAATGCCGAATAGGAATAAAGTATTGAATATCCACTAGCTATATTAGGCCTAGCTTCAACGAAAATAGAGGTCGAGTATCGATCAAAGAGAACAAATTGGTGAAACTGATTTCGAGCGCGTCTGTACAATGACTGCATCGTGGAATATGTGCAGCTTCAACACAAGCAAGTGTGATGATGCTGCTCCCTGGGGCCGAGAGTTACTTATGTCCGAGACTGGACCCTTCAATGCGACATGTATATGTATTTTTTATATTTATTCATCTTTTTAAAAAGGTAGAAAAAGAGAGATTCCAACTACTTGCGGTAATTTTTTTGTGGCTTAATTTTCTGCGGTACAGCGGACAGGCCGATTCTTCTAGGTCGTGATGTACTTAATGCGAAGGGCTTAGTTGAAGCCCGGTTGAGCACACTGTTGTTCATAATTTAACTGCTAGTTTACTACTAATTATTTCAACCCAAATATCAAAGCCAATGATCTCAACTAGATGCTGCCATCTTCTAAGTTACTGAGTTAAAACTGCAATCAACCATCGTTGTCAAGCAAGGAAGGGCTTGGAATTACCCATTGGCCATGGCATACTCATCCGAATAGGCTTGCTGAATTGATTTATGATCGACTTTCAACATCCCCGTCACCTTTTTTGACCAGGGTGAAGCTAACCATGATTCTGTTTTTCTCTTCCACTGGTTCTCTCTACATGATGGACAGAGGGGAAGGAATACACACCAAATCGCAAAATCCCCTTCTCATCACAAAGTGCGCACGGTTGTGTGCCAACAACTGAAGGAATCAAGTTCAAGACACCACTAGCAGCTTTATGTATCGAATCGCGTGAAACAAAGGTCCTATAAAGGTAGTGTAACTTTCTCTCTCTGTCTGTCTCTCCCTCGCGATCATTACCTCATCCTCAGCTCATCACGCGCCCATACCCAAAATGACCACTCATGCCTCCCAAGCGGGAAGAAAGAGGTCAGCTAGAAAGCCTGTTCAGAAAGCAACCGTGATTGAAACCGCTCACGAAATTCTAAGCAAGGCTGCATCACCTGTCGACAAGAGGATTCTGGATCGGATCCAAAAGTGTCTAAATCGCGCCCACCATGCCAACACGTCAGAAGCGGAAGCCAAAGCCGCTCTCTTTGTATCTCAAAAGCTCATGAGCCATCACAATGTGACCCAAGCGGACCTTATGGCCAGTGACAACAACAGCAATAAGGCACATTATGGTGGACGGAGCGTCGTGAGCATTACAAGGACCGGGAGTTCGTCGAAAAGGGTTACAAAGGAGGCTTTCGCGATGAAGTTGGCAACAACAATGGGTACCCTATTCGACTGCAAATCCTTTTCGACCGATTTTCGCACGAGTTTGCAATGGACTTTTTTTGGAATTGCTCAAAATACTGTTGCGGCAGCGATGGGGTTTCAGTTCGCTCACAACCAAATTCTGGACTGGGCGGGTGCCTATAAAGGCGGCACAACCACATTCAGTTACCGACTTGGGGTGGCAGATGGGCTTGCGGCCATGGCCTATTGTGAAAAGAAAAGAGAGTTTGAGCAAGTGCAACGCAAAGAGCTAGATCTGATTGCGGCTAAAGAGAGCGAAGAATCAAAGAAGCGTCAACGAGAAGTTAACAGACTACATCTTCTACCGACCTCCAAGGCCGATTCAAGCAGCCCCTCAGACTCTGAAGACAAACTTCTGGTGCCAAAAAGCCCGTCTTTAGACATGGCTGACTCCGGTATGGACTCCGATAGCGAGCCCGATGAGGTTGACGTGCTTGTTTTCAAGGCCGACTTTAACATTGACGACGCCCAAATTCAAAATTTCGGAGATGACTTGGACGACAGTATTAACAGATTCGTGAAAGATGAGTCTTCAGAGCCATCGAATTCCATTGAAATTCCCAAATACAGCATGGGTTCAGAAGCCACAGTCAAACCAGAGTCTTCGCCTACGTCCGTGACATCTCCCTGGGAATCTGGAATGCAACTTGCTCAGTTCCGGGCAACAGCGGAGCAGGTTGCGGATGACTATCTGAAGCAGAACAATATCAAACTACGCAGCGGTAGAAAGCGATCATCAAATGTTCGTGATCTATGTGCTTATCAGCGCGGTAAACAGGACAGTTCGAAAATTCAAATCCGTCGACAGCCGTTGGCCTGAGGACTCTCTTGCTTGGCCTTTTCGGTGATTTATCATTCGGATACTAATCCGAACATATCTGTATGTTGATCTTCTCCGAGGAACATTTTTCTCAAACCCGGTACAGGTGGCGGTGGAATCAGACAGGTCAACCAACTTGGGTGATACAATAAGGTTACGATTTGACGGTTGGATTAGCTGTATTTTGATAATATGAATTTATCTATTTTTGAATATTTGTTTGGACCCGATAATGTTTGATGACTCGGATTATCTTCCACTTTTGCTCTTGTTACCTCGAATCAACATTGATTTGTTACCTTTGGAAATCTGGAGTTTGGGATTTCGCGTCTATTTCCTTCCGAGTGGAGGCAAGCTGTTGATCCGGGCTCGGGTGCAGATGCCTAGCATTCCTCATCGCAGGTGATAAATACTGGAAAAACATGCCGCATTGAATGGCTCTATGGTCAACCGGTTATATGAAAATGATGCAGGATGTACGAGCCTGGAGTTTATCCACCCTTGTCAATATCAGAATGACTACATCCAATTGAATAACTTCACTTCTATGTTAATTCAATATGGATGAGCCAATAGAGACCAGCGAGATATTTAAGTGGCATCATGACATGATGATATTAACGGCATTGTGCAAGGTGCTTCCTTACCACGTTCTGGTTGGATCCAGAACTACCCATGGTTGAGCAATGAATTGCACTAAGACCTTATTTCATGCTGATGTCATATCTATATGATCGCGGAAAGGAAACGCCATTCGTCTGTTGTATAGTAGAACGGGGAAATGTTAAACAGAAATTTGAGTGCTATGTATATCCATGCTGTCCCAGGTGTGACCTTCGTAGGAATTATATCAACCAACATCAAAGCAGTCAAAACATTTATCAATCAAACCAAAGCCTATCATACGCTTGGAATTCAATCTTCACATTACAATATCGATCTCCGATCAGTTTTCAGAGAACTCTCTGATTGGTTGCCGCAATAATAGTGTATTGGGGAACCCTGCAATCCGAAAATTACATTTATTCGAAATTTTTCAGACTTATGTGTAGGTATACATAGAAGTGAACATAAAAAAATTCCATATCTAGTAAACTATAGCACTCACTTTATTGAGAACAGTCTCCTAGTTTCCAGAATCTTGTATTTATGTAACATTTCAAACCAAAGTGGACCCGCAAAGCCTTCCTTCAATCAAGGGTCGCTGCTACCCTACATCGGGACTCCGTCTATTAAAGGAGGAGCCAATACGAGAAGCCTCGAGCAAGGCACGGCAATCCTAGCTCCAGCAAACGACGTGGACTAAATATAATTGCCGACGCAATATGGTCTTGCGTTTTCCAAAGAAACTCGGCTCGTGATACATTCAAGTGGAGGGTCCCCTGTATGCTTGTATTCTATTTCGCCATTCTCGAATACCGGTCGGAAGGAAAGGTTTCGGTAAAGCTTTAGTTGCATCTCGTCAAGACGGAGGCCTGGGTGATCTGGGCTCGTGAAAATCCAACACTTGTTCCCAACAAAATCCTTGCCTCTATGGTGTTCCCATTCTGGCCTAGGCATCCAGTCGGAATAGAAAATCTTCTTGTCAAGGTATGACTGAGGCGTGCACAATGGCACGTGATTTAGTTCAAACTTTTTGGTCGGGTGCTTTTTCCGAAATCTTGTAACAACATTCAAAACTCTCCCCATGATATCGGTTTGATTGTTGAAAAGGATGTTCACACCGAGGCAAAATATATCTTGGGAGATCAAGTTGCTGTCAGCCAAACGTAGTGTTCCTTTAACGGCCACATGGAGAAGGCCTATTCAACCCATTTATAGTTTTGGAGCAGATATATCGTGCCAAATTCAAGGCTGGAAAAAAAGGGAATGCTTCAATCGGAACCAACGAACAGCATTTCACATCATTTTCTTGCGGACTCAGAGTACGCAAGACGGTAGCAGCCTTTCTCATAGTCTAACCTTAGAGTTAACCTTAGAGAAAGACGAGAAAAAACAGACATCCCATGCCTCACATAAGTTGGAGCAAACTACTATTTTAAGATCTGCAGAGGTTTGTAAATTATACAGCATCATTTGGGTGGATGTTGAAAGGACTCTGTGCTTTCAAAAACCTATACATCGACAAAAGCTAATAAACAGCTATTACCACCGAGCTTCTCGAAGTTTATCGTGGGATACGCAAAGTTGTGAGGTCTAAACATAGATGCTGATACTATTCCAATATAATTCTTATATGGCACTATTCCTGCCTTCATTGCATCCATAAAATTATTCAAGTTTGGTTTCATTGGCGAATGAAGTTCCATGTTGGGTTGAGAGGGTGACCGGATGGTTAGTTGACAGTACTTCAAGTCACCTGTTCAGTTAAGTGCCTCTCGAGACCCAGGCAAATCACGTTTACATGAGCCAGCAACTGATTAAGTTTACTAACATGCCGAGGATACGCGCCGAATTTCGATCAGTGAGCCAACAACAGCGCGGATAATATGAGGATGGTCGGTGAACTGAGATAGCATCTGGTTTTGCTAGGCGCCCGCGTATCTGTGTACATACCTCTTGTAGCATGAGTAAAGGTGAATTCCTTACCGTGGGGTTTTATGGGTCACTCATTCAGTAATATAGATAATGGCTGCCCTGATCAAGGGAAAAGTTTGAATTTAGCCTGGAAACCGGCAAAGTGCATGGAGAGAGACAAGGTGATGAAGCGATAGCTTAGTAAATCTGGTCAGTTGATTACCAAGCAGATAGTTTTCGTCTTGTGACTTGATTCCCGGAAAATAAATCCCAGGGTCGTGAGTTCTGATTGGATAGAAATCGAAAGCTCCGTCTTTCAGACCGCTTTCTAGGCTGATAGGCGTATTTTACAGTACAGGATCAAGACATGACTAGATGTATTTTTACGGGAAAGTGCTATATGCTTGCCCTGGTGTGCCCCTCAATCCATATATAGCTTCAACATCAATATAACAAAGCAACAATCATTAAACATCGCTGGTATTTTCGGCCTCTCTGTGGGTCCAAGTGATTCCAGGGGGTTCCATGTCATATACGGTACTGTGACGATGACTCATTGCTGACCATACAAATATTACAATAACAGTTTTGCCAGAATTCTGAGGCGGTGGCCTCACTCGGCCTAGCGCGCGTCGGGATTGGTTTCTCCGAATCAAGAAGAAAGAGTTTGGAGGTACATATAGCTGATTTCGAACTGTAGTGAAGTTGCGATCCTTTGTCGAAAATCTTCTACACGGTTGTTCAACTGGTCTGGCCTGTGTTTCTATTTACCTGGTCATGTTCTAACTCGAAGAGCATTATGTGTGCAAAGCAAGTAAAGATGAGTAAATTTTCCCTCAAACCGTGGTTAGTGTTGTGGTTCAGAGGCATGAATTGTCTTTTTATCTCAGAGTGATACATGTGTCTACATATATAAAAATGAGCCAGGTTGATTTCTAATCAACTTGGTCGTCTGTATAGACACTTCGGAGCTAATTCCGACGGTGCGGCTTGGTTCCTGATCTGCACCAGCCTCAGATCACAACAGTTAGATATGGTAGAGATTAAAAATTCCTTGATTTACCACGAAACTAGCATTTGATACAGGCTTGAATGGATTCATGGATAGATGGATGGATGGATGGATGGATGGATGAATGGATGGATGGATGGAGACTGGCAAAGGCTCGTCAAGTTTATTCAAACGCTTCTGTTTCTGATGTGAGAACGGTGTTGATGCCGCTCAGGTATTCGAAGCTCAGAATGAACTCGCCTGTGCATCCTCACTAGGTAGTTTCAGTCACTTGCAAAGAAGACCAGCTTTCAACCATACTTTGCTAGAGTGGTAATTGACTTCTTCGGTCCATCATATCTCACTGAACACAGGGTCAAAGTTTGTGTTGGCCTCACTTCGACATACGATATGCTGTTCTTCAGAACAACAACTAGGGGAGCAAGAGACTAAACAGGAAGATCTTTCGGTCTTAAATAACAGCCCAAGAATGTGCAAAACGTATGAAAAACACATTTTAACAAAAGTCTTTGGTCCACGTGGCAGATTCATGGCTCAACAACTTTGCGAACTAAAGCCGTTCTCAATTCATGATAGGCGAACAGGAAATGGAGATATATGTGTGTGTATTGGTCAGATTGTAGCATTTTTCGCTGTTGAAAATTCGGCAACTAACCCGCCCGCGGGTCAGTTATCAATAACAAAGGAAAACGTACAAGAGATAAATATTGCGTGTGGAACATGAGGATATGAACGTAATTTTTGGAAGGCAGGTAGAAAGTGTTTCACAATAAAACTCACAACCAAAGCACGGTTTTTTTACAGTTCCTCCTGAGCCTTTTCTCTCTGGTCACTTAGCCGCTGGGCGCTTATCTGTTGGTTGTGATCCTGCTGAGCCTGGGATTGCTGGAAAGAGCCAAAGAGAGGATTTTGCGCGGTCTGCTGGGCGGGGTTCCGGTTAGACCCGAAGAGAAATCCTTGGACAGGTTGCTGCATCTGAGGGTTCTGGGTAGATCCAAACAGAGTCCCTTGGGCAGTCTGCTGGGTGGGTTGCTGGCTGTATCCAAGGAGAGATGCTTGTGGAGTTGCCTCAAGTCCAGATTCAGGAAGCAGAGAAGAATTTTCGCCAGACTTTAAACTTAGGCCAGACAAGCTCAAAATAGCATCTTGTAAAGCAACATTGGAATCACAAGTCAAAACTTCCGAAATGAGTCTGTCGGCTTCTTGTGGCGAGATAATCTTTTTGAGAGCCGATCGGGAGAGGCCAACCTCCTTCAATGGAGGATTTCCATTGGGACCTTCAAAAAAAGAAGCCAACTAGCGTGAAAGGAAACTTATCATGCTTGGGATCCACCTCACCAACAGCTACCCAATTTAAGCCGTATGTGCCACCAAATTGCGTTCGAACGAGGTTCCGAAGGCTGACCAGTGCCTCATCCCCTCGAAGGGTGTCAGGGACTCCTGCAGTTCTGGCTCCATCAATAGCAAGCTGGCCCCCAGTAGCAGAGCTCGACATAAGACGTATTCTACCCATACTGTCCTCGACTACGAAGCGCGCACCCATGATGCCAAGTTGTTGGATCATGCGTATTCTCTCTCCAGTTGATGTATATCCGGGATTGATGGAACGTACAACCTGTCGAGGTAACAACGCGATTGTTCTCTTACTGCTGCCAGTAGAGATATGTTGTAGCTGACTGCCTGCTTGGTTGGAGCCAAAGTGAGAAGTCGATGCTTGACTTGACCGATGTTGCGAAGCTAATTTGTGAACGCTGCCTGTCGCCTTCTGAAGATGAGTAAAATCGGCCCACTTTGTTGGATAATGAAATTGGTCGCAGAATTTTTTAACCGCCTCCATCTGAGAAGGTGCTACTTCCGGTGACAGAAAGATGGGTCTCCATGACCCCAAAAGTTCCGTGTAGCGGATGATGCCGAGTTCGGGGTCTTTCTTCATTAGAAGATTGCTATTTTTTATTTTCTTGTTGATTTCGTCAAGTACTTCAGCCGGCTTTCGTATTTCCGCTGGAATAGGCCTTTGGTGAATATTTACACGGGGGTTTTTCTGAAGGCCAACGTAAAGTGACTCAATATGCTGTGTAGCTTCCTCGTGAGCGGCTTTGTGATATGAACATAGGTCCTCCTCAACATGTGGCTGGGTGGCGGATCCTCCTCCCTGAAAGAAATGGTGGTTTTTGTTTACCTGCCCAGGAAAGAGTTTTTCAATTTCCGCTCCGGCCCATTGTACCTCTTGAAACTAATTAGCCAGAGAGTTCGACGTTGATTCTTAAAAGATTCTCACTTTGAAATGCTTTTTCGGCGTCTGCTTTTTCTGAGGTTGGAACCTTATCAGGGTGCAAAATAGCCATCAGTTGCTTGTAATTAATATTGCAGTTTTCGGGAATATTCTTTTCCCAAGCACGTCGAATTGTATTTGGGTCATCTGTGGCACTGAGGATATCTGCAATCATACACCGACGGTCCGAATCACTGGGCTTGTATGGCTCCTCTGCATCGTCCATGTCTGTGTCGCCTTCTAAGCCCCCCGACGGGGAAGGTAATTGCGCGCTTGTCACCGAAGGGGCAGGTGGCTGGGCCTGCCCTAGTGGAACCGGGGCTTGCCCTTCTTCTGGTGGGGCTTCGAGCTGGGCTTGCCGTGGTGGAGCCGCAGCCTGAACTCCATCTGGTGAAGCTGCACCCCCTACAGACCCTCCTACAACATTAGTCCTAGACGCGGAACGCTCAGGTGTGAGACACTGACCATGTTCATCAGTATGGACATTAGTCAAGCCTCCATCGGTCTGCTGCGTAGACATGATGATAGGAAGACTAATTGTCTTTCAGTTCGGGCAATATTGCTTTTTTGATCTGTTCTGGCCTTCAGTATGTTAGCCCCACATATCTTTTCAGAGAATAAAGAATCAGGGGAAGTATTCTCTTTGAATGGTGTCATATCATATCTGTACCTTATATTACAGCAGATGGGTAAATGCGGAAATGATTTTTCTTCTTTTGGGGTTGACTTTTGAGATATGGATTCTGGAATTATAAAAAATCGAAGAGTAGAGATGAAACAATTTATATCTCAGAAAGTCTGGCTAGCGTGATGGAGTGGGTTTCAATTCCGGACAAAATCAAACGCCCTCTTTATTTAACTTTTACAAGAGAAGCATAGCAAGCAGGGATTTGAGGCTCCAATGATCTTGCACGTCTCAGCTCTCATGTTGCGTATTTTTCGAAGCGAATAAAATTGACTCACCCATAAATCTAACCTTGGACATAATACAGGCTGGTTTAAAAAGTCTTGACTGATAACACTATGTATTAATACTGCATAGACCGTTTCAATCACCAGCAGCAAGAAAAGCTTGCTTTTCAAAAAAATCTCGACTTTTTGTCAGGATACTTGTCAGGAGCACTGAATAGAACACCTCTTAGCCGTCAGTATTTTTCTGGAGCGCATCAGATTAGTGGTCTGCGTAGATGGAATTGTGATGGGCAATATTTGACTGTAGGTTGTGCTACGAAAAATCATAGCTATAATTTTCTTTTTCAGGTCGTACCTATGCCCCTAAGGAAAGATCAATATATCTTAACCAAGATATAACCAATCGATCTGGAAAGTGCGTTGCAAGAAATACTCTCTAAACCCACATCCTCCTTCTTCATGTGAGAACAATGCCATCTGGTAAATCACGGCGTATCTTTCACGAAGAAATCATTTAGTGACATCAATGCGCTACCGCTACCAAAAAATCAATAAAGGGAGGGACAGAAGAAAGACTACCAGCTGATATCCATACTTACATTCTGGTCGTGTATCTTCAAATTGGTGACGGTATTTATTGAGGCTCAATATTGCTTTTTTCCATATTTGTGTTTATCTCTTCCACCATGACACATAAATATGACCTGCAGATAGTGAATTTCAAAATAAGCATGCAGTATAGGCCCCGTCACGGTGACATGAAATGCCCTATGCGGTGAAACGCCCACCGGGTACCTGCACATTCGAGCACCGTCATTTCCATGATCTGAATTCTGCCCGAGAAAAACAAAAACAAGAAACTTTCGATTTTCAATTCGATCACTCTTTCCAAGTAAGGATACAAATGCGGGGGAGGGCGGAATACAGGACGACACACGGTACTAGATTGTCTGCTGTTTACTACTATGATGCCAAGATCTCCTCTAAAGGCGTCTGACATGGAGACGAGAGACAATTCTTTACTGTATCATGCGCCTACATATTATAAGTATTGAGGTTTTATACGATCATAATTTTTTTACCTAGGAATATAGCAATTTTGGTGGGATTCTTGGTAGCACAAAAGTACTGATAAGGGGAATACGTGGGATGAAAACAATGTTCAACTTGATATAGACAATCTGGCTTTGCAGAGACGTGTCAGAGGGTTCTTTGGTGCATCAATCTGTACGTAATATTATCATTTATATAAGTTCAACTCTACAATTTCTCCGTCTCTATATTTTGTACAGAGTGACTATGGAGTTGACTATAGTCATTCTCTTGACTAACACACACTAAGTGTTCATTCCATCTATGCCATGCCTCCTACTTGTAGCAGGGTCATTAAGCTTACTGATATATGGTAAGCCTTGTACCTCGCCATGAGAAAGTCCGGTATATGTAGTGCCCCCGGGCGGCCTGATAGCGTTTGCTTTCTCTGGAAAAAAGATATACGTATCTTCGCGGTGCTGGAATTAGTACACAGACGATCAATTGTGGAAATCAAAAAGCTATCGTCGATATTTATACGGTATAAGACTATTTACGAAGACGTTTTGAAGTTTCCTGCCAACCGAGCACTGGGGATGACCAGGATAGTTAGGGAATCTGAGACAAGTATGGGAAATATATGTAAGTGGTCAAACCGTTAGGCGACACTTTTGCAAACACCTGGACACTTCATTGCCGGCAGATGAACATGAATCTAAATTTGGGTCCAGTAATGCTATCATCATATTATGCAGTCATGCATCGATCACGATATTCATAATACTGTAGGACGTGACATTGTACTTGTGTTCAGAACTCTCACAAAGAAGAGTCGTCTAAATTTTTAAACAGAAAGTATTTTGGAGTTAACTCAAGAGGATCTCAGGGCATGAAACCTAGATGAGGCAGACATGGATCAATTTATAGAAGACAAGAGACTGGCCATGCTCGTCGTTCTTTCATTTAAGTAATATAGGTCCGCTCATTTTTTAGACATTCAATACGTTGCTACAGCAATTTTCGGAAACAGTTTACCCCTCAGACACATTCACTTTGTTCGTCGGCTCGTACCCGAAACAAGCTTGACCCTTATTAGGACAAGTGGTAAGATATTATCCACTTATTGAAGAGCTAACCTTACGAACTAGCTGCATCCGGCCTAGCGTTATGCCGGATACGAGCCGACAAACAAAGTGTGCGTGTCTGAGGGGTAAACTGTTTTCGAAAATCGCTTTATAGTAGGTAGATCACAGGCAGCAAGTTGAGCTGACCTACTTTTCGAGTCATATACCTCGAGATGTACGTAAGTCGCGCCAGACAATAAATATCTTTCTCCAATATTCTGAGCTTCAATTCCTAGTTACAATCACACTAATAAAATATGAGCTTTTTGATTTATAATATACGGGCAATATTTACCGGTGAAACAATGTACTAATCGTTAAAGTATGAAAGTCAATGAGAAGGAGAAAATTGGCAGCCGGTATAAAAGATTGGGTTGTTCTAGAAACCCGACTACAATTTTGGTGAAAAAAATAACAAATTGTTATTTCATTCATTTATATGTATTCCTTTTCCAACGCAGAAAGGAATAAGGCAACAAAACACTGCCGACCACAGATCATGCGCATTTCGTAATACACGGACACCTCCTAGTCTACTGGAAGAAGTATCTCATCCTGCTGCAAACTCTATGAGTATTGGTTTATTTATCCTTTTTTGGAAATGTTAATCTTCGTTCCAATATTGAAAAGGACTATCTTTCCTGGACCTCAAAGAACTAAGGCGGCGCAAGCACCGACGGCCACCAAGAGCCACCTATCCCCCAAAAGACGCTTCAACAAGTTCCGGGAGCACTCAGAGCGTGAAATTTGTTTTTGGGGGGTCAGTCAGGATATCGAGAGTTACTTGGATATAAACATATGCAAGAATAAAGAAAATGAAAGGGTCGGAGATAAACAGCATTGAAGGGCATAAGCTCCTAGGCATTATGATTGCGCCCCGTTTCGACGAGACAGCCTGGCTGGACCCATATTGATGCTCATTATTCGTATGCTCCTAGGAATCGTACCAGTAGATTAGCCGAGGCGCTGAAGTTCGGAATTACATTGGCAAAATGTTGCTCTACTCCTCAGAAATCGATGCGCGCTCCTAGGAACTAATATCGAGGCGCATATTACCTCTACCAAGAACGTCCCTTTGACCCGGCTCCTAGGAAGCTACTTTACGGCACTCTGAATCATGCGAAGGCTTCCCCGGCTAATAATAAACCAAAAAGTCTTCTATCCTCGCCGTGAGAGATCCTTCTTGTCAAACATTCAAATTTGTAAACTACTACACAGATCTTTTCTGTCCCGGCTTCGCCATGGTTAGTTAGCTATTTCACTAGTTTCGGGCCAATATTATCAGAGGATTGCTTGCTAACCAACAGTCCTAGACCCTACGCCAAATCTATCTGGACTCGAAAAGTGTCCTGAGTCAAAATACCATGAAGTAGGATACGACTTCCTTATTTTCACTCCTTCAAACGCTTACGCTATGAGCAGCGTGATAGCTGTCCATGGCCTTAACTTTATGGATGCAGATGAAAAGTGCTCAAACTCTTCGTGGCAGCAATCGTCCAACATGGAGCCCACTGAAGGATGGTTGAAAGCCTTCTTTCAAGACCTGTCTTTCCGAGACAGCCGCTGGGGAGTACGGTTGTTTGTTTACGAATACGACTCTATTCGCACTTTTTGCAGCAGTGCTGAAGGTGTTCAAGAAGAAGCGAATGTCATGTTGCAACGACTGTGCCAATCTCAATGGTCATTTAAGGTGGGTATCATCGCTTTCTAGAACCCACTCAGCCATTCAGGGGCTAAGAATGAAAAAGGATTCGCGGATCATATTTCTGTGCCAGGGCCTAGGAGGTGTCATGATAAAACAGGTGAGTTGAGTGAGAAAGTTAAAGCGCTGTTGTTCACAAGATACACAGGCTTTGGTGCACGCATCGGCAGAACGTGCTTATTCCGAGATAAAACACGCGACGTGGGTCCTACTACTGATTCTCGAATGAAGAACGTTTGAAGCTAATGGTAAAAGGTCTGGTCTTGTTTTCTTTGGCACCCCTCACATGAAAATCAATGAGGGCCGCACTGGGTTGTTTGAAACAATTTTCTCGAATCTGTTCCGCGGCGATGCAAGAGAGAAGCTGCCCAGACTACAACTTGACTTGGAACTTCTTAGTACCGCATTTCGTCACCAAGTTGAGGACTACAAATTTGTCTCGTTTTACAGCGAAACCGATCAGGTGAGAAACGGATTGTCGGAGCAGATTCTCTAGTCTTCATACGCAGGTCATTGATATATTTTCTAGACTGTGCCATTCAATTCAGCGGTGTTGAATTTAGCAGGCCACCGAGAAACTCAAGTTCGCCTTTCGGTAGACCGAAGCGAGCTTTGTTGCTTCCTTATCGGCTCGGTTAGCTATAAGAAAGTCACACGAACTTTACGGATGCTTTGTGAGGAGGTCATACAAGAACAAAACATGTCAACCGAACAATAGATAAACAATCGAGCTCTTTGTAATCAAATAAATGGAAGGAGCAGCGAAGAAATATGTCAGTTAGGCAACCGAACGGTCGTCTTGTTTGCTGGATTGCGTTGAACCCCAAGTCCCCTGTGGTGTGGCAACTTTCATAACTGTATCTAAACCTTGTATGTCAACAAAAGAGGATTGCGATTTTACTGGTGCGCCAGATGAATTTTCAGCACCCCCATCTGCCTGATGGTCGTAAGACTCTCAACGACCTTGGTAGTACGGTGCAGGCCTCGCCAAAACCCGCCCACGAAAACCCAACTCGTGGGTAGAGTATGGTCTTAGTCAGCAACCCCATGGGCAGGTTATATTTTGGAAAACCCAACCCAAGACCCAAATAGGTAACCTTTGTAACCCACAAAATAAAGAAAAGTTGACCTGTCACTTAACATAAATTTATGGAGCAATTTTTGATTATATAATATCTTCTTCATTTGCTTTCAGCGCCTCATCTTCTTCGAGTGCCTCTTGGCTCTCGCTCTCTATGGGCTTCTCCATGCCACTCAATTGCTGGTTTTCTAAAGTGAGTCTTTCTGAGCACATATACATCATTTGGTCTTAAATGGTTGCTTTGCGTAGAGACCCTCGGCGGTAATGGCAGATGTCTCGCGCACTATTGAAAGGTCTTTCGACTCCTGCACCTGGAGCGTTTTCCTACACTATCCAAAATTTCATTCCAGCTACGGGTCTATTGGAAAGAGCACGAGCATGAATTCCCAATGCTGTCACGAATTGCACGCGATTTGCTCTTGGTCCACGCTACGAAGATTGACAGGGAAGCGCCAAATTGACAGGAGCATAGTCGCTTACGAAATCTTAAGCCCTACGATTGTCTCGCAATAGTTTGGATGGAAGATAGATGATCCAGCTTGCAATAATCTCGATCAGGAGATATATTTATCTTAGACTAACAACGGCTCCGAGCAACGTTACGAGTGCCTGAGAAATAAATGTGGTAACGCTGAGTATATCTCGCCAGGAACTGCCATTCTGGACCTTGCAAACCAAAACACTTATGTACAGGTGTTCCAATTGATATCAGTCAGCACTTTTATGAGTCTTGGCCTTGGCATGGCCTAATTGAATAAGTTATGTATTTGTGGTTTCTCTGCGGTTGACTGCGGTCAAACCATGCGGGTTTGCGGTGTGTTTGGTATTTTGCTCAATCATATTGAGCGCGTTGGGGGTGTGCGGTTAGGCTTTGCCTACCCATGCACCAGTTGTGGCGAGCTCTGACGCTGAGTGAGGTGTTGCTTGTGACATGTAGATTAGTCATCCTACTGGTGAAGTCTGAATGGAGGGCGGCGAATTGATTTGTGGCCAATTGGTTATTCGCTTTACCATCTCTCCACCTCTACTTGACAGGTTGGTCTCTGTCGTTACGAAGGTTGAAATTCCGTCTCATGTAACCTGACTCTTTGTTCGAGGTGTTTAAGAACTAATTCTCTCAGATGATTTCGTACTTCATGCGATGCGGATGCTAGGAAGTTAGCCTTTGGTTTGGCATTCAAGGTGATGGACTTACTAATAACCAGAACCTCACCGCGGTCTTCATGTGTGTTTTCCAGCCGTTTTATGTTTCGCCCGGAAGCCTCTTCTGATATAATTTCATCATACCGAGGCTTTCCATTGAAAACTGTCGCACGGCGATGCTGGCCGAACGGCTTGCCGTGTTCTATCATCTGGTTCGATGCCACGTAAAAAGACATTTCAAGTATCTTTTTCACATGATCAGCGCGAGGATGTTTGAACAGGATTATTCAACTCACATAGCCATCATCCAAGACATCATCGCTTAACAAGCTGTTGAGAAGTGGTTGTGCTGCAACCGCAATATCTGAGAAATTCAGCATGACTGGCTTGCGCTTTGAACGTGGAGGTCGAACCTACCTAATGTTTGGACCTCCCACACGAAATGTACCCGGCGCACGTGTGATGTGCAAGTGTTATACCCGTAGAGAAGCTTTTTTAGGTAAGAGATGACACCTGCTATACCGAAATCGGTTGCGATTGCCAAGACGCATTCGTAATGGTCTACGGATTTGCGAACTCCATACGGTCCGCCCACAAATGCTGTCAAGGACGTATAGCCATCTAGGGCTGTACGATGGTAAATAGTCTCAGTGAGACCTCTTCGAGGTTGAACAAAAAGTTCCAGTACATCCTGCTTTTCTGGCGACCAAGATGTCACCATGAACGGGTGTGTCTGGGCCCAGGAGAATAGGCTTGCTGCGGGTATCCAGAGACTTATGTATTGGCCTGCCTCGACATGTAGGGGCCTTGTAAGTGCAACCCTTATTTTAAGCGGCGTTTCCTCTTTGCCCTCTGTTGGTGTTTGTTGCACCCGATCACATCTGATAGAGGCACGAGAATAGGGACGCGGCGGGAAAACACCGTTCCTAACGATAAATGGGAAAAGCTCGACCAAAAATGCAAGCAGCATCATACCAAGCGGAATATAAACATACAACCGAGGCAGCAGAGTACTGGATGGCAGATGCCGCCACACAAAATATATGCAAGCTGTGGCCAGGACTTGATGTACTCGAAGGAATGACTCGTAGAGGAAACGGCGAACGAAAGGGAAGGATAACAGTAGAATTGCGGCCATAATCACAGAACTCTGAGAAAAATCAGCGCTAAAGACTTGACAGGGAAGGTTGGGGGAGAGCGATGACAAACAATTAATGCGAAGATGTTGGGCTTCTCACGAAAATTCCAGCTCTTCCGATCAGCTGCCATCGCCATTATGATATGTAAAACGAGGAGAATGCCAGTCATCCAGCCCACAGCTCGGTGAATGCGCTTGCACGTCATCAAAGAGACACCTATGGCATTTGCAAGAAATCCCAGATGGTGTGCCAAGAACAAGAAACTCATGTTGATCACTGAAAGGGTTCCAGCGCGGTCTCTAGCCATTGTTGTTGATGAGGTGTTGAAGGCAATAAGGAACACATTTGTTACAACATACGTGATGTATGTCAAGGCATCGGCTCGAGTGCAAGGAGCAACTAGCCTATGGTGACTCCACAAGTATGGATATGTTAAATGTTTCGTTATGAGAAATGACGAAATTCTGAGTAGGTTCTGACAGGAAGGGGCTATGCGAATGAGAAAAAGTGCTGTCAGTAAGCATGCCGCTGCAATGGCGTAAAAGATCGTGAGTTCCATTGTCAGGCAGTACTTAGATACCAAAAGAATGCGAAGTATTGCAAGAAAATCACGGTGCCTTATATCCAGGATAGAACAGCTCTTTTGCAACGTTTGACTATTGCATCCAATATGTTCTTCACCGTCACCGTAAACCTGTTCATTTCATCACTGTGTTCCCCGGTCCAAGGAACAGTGTGTACTCTGTGCTTCTGTAATCAGCTCCTGTGTACCCCAATCACAGCACACTTCGATTGTTAAACAGGGTGTACTCCATTCCCTGATCGGAATCTGTTTCAATTCTGGTTGACCTCACGATTTCTTAGAAATTGTTTCCGTTCTGATCATGACCTTGCTGTTGCGTTGGCGAAGATGCTCACTCAGACATGGCGACCGGTAAAATTTACTTCAATGATGCAGTTTTGTGGCGGGTTGGGAAAACTGTGGTCATGCGAGAAGTATCGTGGCCAAATGCTTGAAATAATTATCGTTTAGGTCGCGACCCCCAAAAAGTGTCGCAAACAAAAGGGCCCGCAGTTGTAACCTTCCAAGATGCGACTTTTGGGACGTTTCCCATCTCTATCCTATTGTTTATTTTATCTTGTGTCAATTGGATCTCTTCCTTTATTTATCCAAATATCTCGAATTCAATGCCTGTGCTCTTCGCACTTTACTTGACATAAATTCTTCTGCGATCCAGACACCCCTCCTTGAAGCCTACCATTGCGACGAGTTGACCACTGATTTATTATTGTCAGTTAGCAGCACATGAATGATGGTATCGTTTGATCCAGACAATTTAGTCTCTGAAGGCGACCCTGGACCCCATGTATCTGACGATGACCCTGTTGATTGGAATGCTTGGCTCACACCAGTGGCACTCCGTGATGACAACTATATGACTACCTCACAATGCAGCTTTATCAGCTTAAAGCACCATACTGAGCGTCAGCAAATACTGGAACATGCCCCTGAGCTACATTCAGGACGGCCAGGAGTTTCTCTGCCGTCAGATGGGAGTTTACACTTGACGCATTTTACAGGCAGCAAAAAAGCTACAGTGACATCAGGTCTTCAAAAGTCAAGTCCAGGTGCATATGCCTCTGCGAAATATGTAAACACAGAAATCCAACCCCTGGTGATTCATCAAGAAGAACAACTTAACTATTCAAAATCCAGTGAAGATTATTCCAGCGCTTTCGGTCATGATGATCACCGCCAGAAAAGAGTCCTCACTTCATCAAAGCCCAAGTTTCCAGATCTAAAAGAGATCGAAAGAAAAACCTTTTACAAACGCAAGTCAGTCGATACCCAGATCCAGGCAATTGAGTGCGTTGACTGCATCAAAACAATATGTCATATTGCAACTGGCGAGAAAATGAGCGAAAAACAAGCCCGAGACGTCAAAGACTGCGGTGATAGTTTGATCACAATGATACAATCTGACGACCTGATTGCCGCGTTCAAGTCTGTTTTAGTCAACTGTCGCTTGCATATCTTACCTAGCATAGACATGCATGGCTTAAATTCGTCTCTGGTGGCATGCGTGGCATATTTGAGGTACCTGGACTCGTTTACTGGTTCAGTTTCAAAGTCAGACGATGTGAATCGCCGCCTTGCCCAGATTTGGATCCATGTTCATTTCGAAAATCATGTCAATGATTTGAAAGAAAGTGAGAGAAATGGTCTTCCGCTTGATCGACAACGCCGGTCAATCTCCACGATTGCCAGAGATGCTGTTTTACAAGCTTTTCATGGGAGCCAATTCGTGCCGCAAAAAAAAGATCGAGACTTTTTGAGCGATCAATGCCGCTGGGGCGAGCGTTGGTGGAAAACTGCTACTTGCATGGGACTCGGTGTGATTTTACTAGCCAGTGAAGACTTGGCAAATCAAATGTACGCTCAAATATCCTCTTTGGAATGCATGTATTGCTGACTTAGAACAGAGGCAGAAGAACAGCTTTTCAAAATAAAATGGTGGACACGTTGGCCATTTATGTTCTCAATCGCTGCCCAGCCCTAACTACTTTTTATCGGTCATTTGAGTCTATGGTAGTTGGCCTCATGCTCGGAGTTGATAATGTCTTTTCCGCGGACCAACTCAAAATCTTCCTAGAGGCGCTCGTGGAGGATGAAGCAAACTCATGCAAGCTGGAAAAATGGATGGTTCCTAACCTCCACTCTCTATCTAGACTTGCTGCTTCCCATCTGATCTTTCTCCAGAGATTCTAACACTATGGCTGGGTCTGGCAGGTGTTGAGTCAAATATATTATTTTCACGATGCCATTGTCTTTCTCTAATTCTTAGCCCGTAGGGAACCGTGCCCTAGAGGGTGGGGCCTTTTTCGAGAGCGATTGCTGACTCAGAATTATCTTTAAATCACACTCTCAGCTAAAGTGATGCGATCATGTCCTCCAAGCAGTCCTTTATCTTCTCCATACGCGCGCTGGCCCATGGCTGCGGGTGGCACCATCTCGTGTGTACTGTCACTAAGATCTTCAATAAATTAGTGGTTGATACTGTGACTCATTTGAGGATTTTCGTCGGCTGTGGTGTCCCGCCAGTCATGAGTCAACACAGCCATCATGATCCCTTTGTACACCGGTCATCTCACATATTTAAAGCAGACGCTCCATACCCATCTTGATTTTTTGAACGAGACTGAGCCCACGTTCTCGTTTACTCACATAAGTCTGGTATCTATTGATTTTGTATGTACCGTGATGTTCTGATTAGCTAGAATCTGACCGACGTTTGAGGATCTACATGAACAAATATAGCACTGCTTGCTTCTTATTTTCGTTGGTGCTCAGAAGAGCTTGACTAACAGCCTTTTGCCGGGGCACACTAGCTGTCACTGTTTAATGTCTTTCCCGACCTATGATAGATGATATTTTTCTGGATACACACTTGATGCATTTACTGACAGCCTTTTCGACATTACTGAAGGCTAATGGCATTAGGTAGAGCATAGAGCCCTTGAAAGTCATCTGCAGACCAATTCCACAATTTCTTGAAAGGGATCATTTCCTACTACCTCTCGTAGGAATAGAACATCCTTGCAGCGACTGAAATAGACCGAGCAATAAGCATCAACTCTCCTACCGATCGGCGTTTTTCGCGGACAAGCGGTTGCTGATAAACGTCGGTTTTATGTTCATCAAGTCGTGAGGTGGTGGCTTGGGTACGTACCTCTTTTAAGGATTCAATGGATTTTGCTGTCGAGAGGGCGGAAAGAAACCCGAAGGCATCCGAGTCGACAGGCCAACGATCCACGTCATCTACTCCCACCATTCCATCATCTTTCACATACTTCTGCATGATTTCCATCGTGATGGAAGCGAGTGTTTTAATGTATATGTTCTGTGTCTGACCCGGCGGACGTTCCACGCACATCTCCAGGCTGGCTACGGGGAGTTAGAATAATAATCTCGAAGGACGGAACTGCCACTTACCGATCTTGATAACGCCATCTAGGCCAAGAAGAATATTCCGGCACGTCAGAGACTGGTGTTCTAATCCAGTTTCATTGAGGTAACATAAACCATTCAAAATCTGCACTTTTGTGAGCTTAAGATGGCTGAAGTATCGAGAGCCACATACCTGCCAAACCATGGAAGCTAATTCCGCCTCCGTAGGATATAGAGACCGACACCCCACAAGCTGCTCCAAAGTGAGCTGGAGGTCGTTGACGAGAGCGTACATGCAGCCGTCATTGACGAAGCACTCTCGGGCCGTCAATACATTATCGTGGTCAAGCATATCATACAGTCGTCGCATTTTGGCCACGTCGTCTTTGGTGTACTCCCGAATGGCTACTATCTCGGACGGACGGGAACGGCGAGCTGCAATGAACACCTCACCTGCTAGATTACACCTGAGTGTCCGACGATATGTGTCCCAGGGTGATTCTTCCTTCACGATTAACCCGTGAGATGTACCTTCCTCGCACATCTGAGGTAAGACAAAGCGTGTTTGGCCTCCACTTACACCCTTCCGTATATGTTCGCTCCGGGGAGACGGTTTTCTCTTTTTTGAGTTGGAAATACTGTCCAATTGGGTGGTTGCATCAAACCGGTGTGGCTGTTTGCTCAAGGGTGCCTCTAGTGATGGGTTATTCGCAAGCCGTTCTTGGTAGCTCTTGAAGTCAACCGCCGTGCAGTGCTTATCTTGTTTCGACATATTTGGGCCAGATCAAGATGGGCGAAAAGGAAATGAGGTGAAAACGTATAGTGCTTGAAGGCGAAGAGGTCTATTTATAATGCAATTGCATTAATGGAACTAAATTTGTTTGGGGGCCAGCCCCAGCTTTTGCAGTCAGATTGGTCACCAGGACGCTGAATCAGCTTGGTGGAGCCTTTCTTCTCTAAGGCCAGAATCAATTAAATATATATAAAAAACCGATGATCCCCCGCTACGTTTATTCTGCTTCACCAGCACCATGGCCGAGTCAAAATATACAGATCCTGAGTTGCGGATTCTGACAGAAAGGTGTCGGACTTACCAAGGAACAGCCAAGGTCAACATCAGCCAGATTACCCCCCACCCATCCGTCTCGCAACATATGAACATGAAAAATGTGGAAAGACTCTGTGAGATATTTGACAAAGAAGGTTGCCGAAGACTTGATATCTACAACCATGTGAGCGCGGTTGTATCACGGCAGCATCTCCATGAGGCTCTTCAAGCAGGACGGGTAGACGCCGCTGACCTGATGACCGATCAACCGAATCGCTACCCACACATTTATTTCTCTGCTGGGTCCATACAGTGCCTTCATGGCCAACATCGATTAAAGGCCGGAGAACACTATTTACCATTGATCGACCAATGGTGGACTGTTGACTTGTATTCGGATGGTAAGCCGGAAATCCACCACATGCTTTCCCGCGGTTTTGACATCCCCAAGACATTAGTCCCGATCTTCAAACGAGCCTTGTTGATGAATATTCGAATGAGAGAGTTCCAAGCGATGGTGAAATTTACCTCAAAGTTCGACAATATCGAAATGAAGCAAATTCACATTTCGAGAATCGATGGCTGGCGCGGCTGTCAGACAACAAAGCCCGGCGGCTTCGCGGACTTGAGTCTCATCCGAGTGTCCGGGCTGCTTTTGACTCGTTACTTGTTTTGCCCTCCTTGCTGATACATGGAATGCAAATCGGATCTCTTCCGCAGGTTCTGGCTATTTACTGTGACGAGGTAAGGTCGCCTGACCCTGAATTACAGAGGTGCTGATTGCGTTTGTAGGAGATAGTTCACGCGCTAAATAGACTGCTGCAATACTGGTCTGCAATTGTGGGACACGATCGAGCTAAGATGCTGAAAGTTGATCCTCTCACAATGGAGACATTGCAACTCCTGGCACCTGGAGTCTCCTCGAAGGATAGAACAACCGTAAAAGGGCTTTTACACAGTGGCGAAGTATTCTCAAACTTCACAGAATCTGAACGAAGATTGATTTGGAAGCGTATGAAGAGGACAGAGGGCATAATTCCATCTCTTTATACTTTCTTCAAAGATCTCTGGTACCTAGAATCATGCGCGCAGTGCATCAAACGACTTATCACACCTTCCAGATCTTTCCCAACTATTAGAACCGCCATGCGCGCGGCCTTCTTGTCTTTTGATCCCACCCATGCGCAGCTTCTGATACAAACAACCGAAGATGGGTTTAGGACTTATTCGCACTCCCAGGGGGACCCAGCAGAAATTGGGTATCGACAACTCTGGCTCTATGCTATGCGTCACTACCCAAAGTTATCCAAAAAGTCACAGAAGAAAGGGCTTACAGCGAAGCCTAATAGTGAGAGGGTGGAGCCTATGATACTGTATGATATGGCTGTTCTCGCAAAGAGACTTGGGTTTCGATCGCCACAAATCGAGCAACTCATCCAGGAGTCGCCAGATCGGCAAATCGCGCAAGATGCTCTTTTAAGAGCCCGGCGACCAGACTGCTATCGGTACAACGAGGAAGAAATTGAGTCTCTGATCAATACAGTCACCGAGTGCTTCTTGAAGGCAGTCCCTCTTAACCATAAGCTTTCAGTGCAATTCGTTGATGGAAGAGAATGCAAGAAAGAATCTCGATGTGGATATCCGCAAGCAGAAGCTCAATTACAAGACCGTCAATTCCTTTTCTTCGACCAACTTCATGGCGATTCTCCTCAAAGGGAACGAAAAGCTACTTCCATTTTGGTGAGGAGAAGTGTCTACTTTAAATTCTTCGGCGAGCTGCCCAAACCCCGTGAAAATGACGACACAGTGGGTAGACATCCAACTCCAGACTTGCCGACGTCTCCGCTTTTTGTTCCAGGCAATTGTTCACCTCAAGTTGAAGGCGAAGGGTTTAGGTCTAGGGGTACAGGAGCCGGGCAGCATAGCAGCTTAGAGCGGCAATGCTCGAAAGATGCACGACGAGAGCGACGTCAGCAGAAGAAAGCGAAGAAGTTATGGAGACGACAGCAACGACAGCAGCGAAGGCACCGATCCTCACATGCCGACCGTAATCCTTTGTCTTATTCGAGAAAATTATCAGTTTTATCTTCCGGGCCTGACACGGAAACAGCGGGCATTATATCAGAAGGCAGAGGGGGTGGAATAGAAGAGGCATTACAGTCAACAGTCGAGACCGAATCGGGACTTCTTGGAAGCAGGGGTACAATAGTTGGAAACGAGCAGGGTATTCCCGTTATGGAACCCGCCGCAGCCGATCAACTCGAGGATGGTCAACTCGCTGAGGAAGACCATGATTTCAGCCAAGATGAAGAATTGGAAGATAGTCGCGCTGAATTGGGATTTGAGGATGAGCGGCCGCAGGGAGGGAGTGAGGAAAGTATCCCTGGAGAATACCCGGAAGATGCCAGCATGGAAGACCATGCAAGCGAACAAGGGAATGAAGGGATAGAGACAACAGCGCAAATTTCTTCAGCGGAAGAAGTTGAAAAAACACTGGAAATTTTGGAAGGACGTGGGGCATCGGAGATCAAAACGGGGCTCTCTAGGACTGTGGGCAGAAGTGCAGCGCTGCGAGAGAAGACCAGGTTCAGACCATACGACAGCACACAACGACACAGACGAAACACAAAGTTATCAATACCACCACAGGAAATTCTAGAGCATGATATAAACGCACTGTTGCAAACGGCTGCTCAGGAACAGACAACAAGACCTACCACTCAGATTGATTTCCTCGACGCGCAAAATCGTCGTTTGTTGGAGATGGACGAAAGGCGACCTTCATGGCTTGTGGCTAGTCAAGTTGATCTGACTCAAAACCACCAACATGTGCTGGAAGAAAAATCAGACTCAGAATATTTCGAACTACAGCCGGAAATCTCGAGCTCAATTGATCAGAACTTTGAACGCCATGGAACTATGAATGCTCGGTCGGAGCAGGAAACGCAATTTTCGGAGTCTGTACCACCGGTCTCTTCGCAGCAGGTAGCCAAGCATCCTGCTGTGACAATACTGTTTCGTGCCCGTGATAAACACGGCGTCTGGAATCACGTGGTCCACCAAATGGTGGTTGATCCATCTGACCCATCTCCTGTTGAGCGAATGGCGTCCAAGAATGCGCGAGAACGCCAGGCAACGTTCTATGACCAGAATCTGCGGCAGGTCGCCCCTGGACAGTGCTTTAATGCGGCAATTGAGGATGGCACGAACACGATATTTATGACGTTCGGCACCGATCTAGTTGTGAGCGAAGAAACGGTGAATTCAGTCGCACGGGTACTCCAAGCCGATTGTGATCATGATAGGCTTACAAAACGCCGACAGTAGACCTACAAAAAATGAAAGGAAGCACTTTAGGTCAAAATACCTGCGACCCATATAGACTGTAGTCAGAAGACCGAGGACCCTTATGGTTACTAAGCCAGGGTGGCCGCCAGTTGACAGTTCGAAAGCCCACCAAGCCGAAGGGATTTGGACGTACGTCCAATGTGGATCTGCAACCACAGCCGCCGGTACTTTGCCTTGAGTCAACTGTTCTGGATCACGGGGCCTAGGACCAAGGGTTTATGGCCACAGCTCTCCAACCACTGACCCACATCTCCAGGCTTGGGACCTGCCTAGACATGATTCCACCGATCTATTACATAATTGGCTTCATGGCACTTGATAAGTGTTTAGCTTGGACAGCGATCCACACAAGCCAGGAGACGCTTTTTCTAGATCCATAGGGGCCGCAAATCACGCTAAAGTGGGAATACCAAAACACAGATCTTCAAAAATACAGTATCGGAGACTTCCAAGAGGAGGACCGGTTCATTTACTACAGGACCGTTCGTAGCCCTTGTTGATACTAATAGTATCTTAGGTAGTACGCGTCCTGCGATACCATTTTGGTTTCGTTAATGCGAATGAGAACAGCATGTTTTGTCATCTCCTTGGAAGCCAAACATCGACCGGATGTATATTTATTCAGCTTGGGTATTACGGGGATGTGAAAGCGTGAAATGATTGATCCTAGGGGTTTGGTTTAACAGAAATGAGATGGATCCGGCATGTGCTGTACAGTAGTATTCGAAATCAGCTATTATAGGTCACTCTTCTAACTTGATTCCGGGAAAATATATACGAGATAAGCTAAGCCAGTTTAGTTCACCGTTCTGAAAATGCCGCAGAAATGTATTCGTCATACGCGTACCGCAATCGACGAGTAACTAATTGCGCTAGAGAGTGTGTCATCACTTATTTACAGTCAAAGGGCCATTTATCCATCTAGTACTTCTCTTCAGGCGGCCACGCTGACTTTCATCAGGATCAGTGACCAGAATTCTCCTTCCACAACATTTACGGACGGCGGAAACATGTTATCTTTGCTACCAGAAGTCTAAACATGACGTTTGCGGCCCATGCCAGTTCAAACTTCAAGGAACAACTCGGATGGCGAATTATCCGATTGACGGGTATTTATCATTCCCCAGCACTGCTAGCAGACCACGATCGGATTTATATTCCAAACTAACACCGCGATCATGTATTTATCTACTTACTAAGGTTTTCAATACTCGTATTTTTGGATTGAGCTGAGAGCTGAGAAGCGGATACAAAGCCTTCTCATGAACTCCATGAATTTCCTACCCTCTCTCCCGACTGTCCTATCCGATACTTGACTGAGCATATGATTCTAGAGATAGATAAATATTTCGTTCTGCCCCCGAAAATTTAATTTGAGAAATACCCAAGTCACCTGAATCACGATTGCCCTTTCATCCTGCGACCACAGCCCAGCGTCTCTACAGCAAAGGAGCTGAGTTATGAGAAACCCATACGTTTATTTACCCGTGGAATTAATCCGCTTAGTTGCATGTTCTACAGGGGTAAAAAGGGACATCAGCTCTTTAGCTCGAACTTGCAATATTACTATTCTTCCCGCAATGCCTTCCTCTATCAGCACAATTCGTTGCAACGAGGAAGTTCCGCTCTGCTATGGGCGGTAAAGTAGCGAATGGAAAAAACAGCTCCCATCAACATTGAAAACAACGCTGATGCAGATTCCAAGGACTCCAACGGCGAGACACCTCTGCTCACGGCCGCTGGGCACGATCACGAAGCGGCGGTGAAACTCTTACTCGAAGCTGGACGCGTTGATGTGCAGCCAAAGGACGATCCCACTGGTCGAACACCGCTGTATGTCGCTGCATGGCATGGCTACGAAGCGGTGGTGAAGCTCTTACTTGCGACCGACGGTGTTGATGCAGATCCAAAGGACCCCAACGGCTGGACACCGTTGTTGCGGGCTGCGCAGGAGGGCCATGAGGCGGTGGTGGGATATTTACTTCAAACTGGACTCGCCATTGTGCAGCCAGAGGATGGCGTCCGCGGTTGGACACTGCCGTCCGTCGCCACGCAGAATGGCCATAAAGCGGTGGTTGAACTTTCACAATGGAGCGAGTGGCGAAGCTTCTGGAATCGAGCAGGTTGATAAGTCAGAAATTGGTAAACGAGATAAACGGGTTTGAAACTCACATTCCCATTAATGTTCATATTTAGAAGGGCTAGCTTGGGCACCATCTTGGTGTGATAATTGGTGCATATCCTCCCATAGGCATCTGCTCTCGAAGAAAGACAAATAAATAATTGCGAGGTCACTATTGCTGGATAAGTGAACCCAGGCATCCGTACTCGATGTCATGTCATCCTTCTATTTTCGTTGCTTCTTTGTCATTATGGTCAACTTATCGGATCTAAGAAGAAAAGAGTCACCACCGCTTACCGCAACGGTCTAAGTATTAGAGTTGATAATAATTGGAGGATCACCTTTACATATCTTTGACGAGTGGGAAAGCGAACATGCCATGGATTAAACAAATACACAATGGAAAATGACTATCCTGGTCAAGAGTAACCTTTCATTACGGCTGGAGAAAAAGTCGGATTTGCTGACGGAAATGTTGGGGGCTGGTAATTCAATAGGTCTTTCAGCCAGATTGCATGGTCGACTGGGGGAGGATTGATTCGATGGGCTAGTTAACCTGGTCAATCAATTTCCATGCTAAGAACTAACATTCAATGAACCGGTGTCGCCTTACATTTTGGTTTCCCTGGTTAAATTGAAATTTTTGAGAATTGTGATGGTGTGGAACACGAGTAACTATAAACAACTGTTTAGTCCAAACCTCGGCTGAGCAGATTGTTCATTTCATCGGATCTACACTCCACTTTCCCTATCATCAACTAATTGCGTGTTTATTACTATAGTTCTCTTTTCGTTCCATGCAAGCAACCTTCAATTGACTAACTCAGCCATGCGCACTTTCCTGACAAAACTTAATTTCTGGCTTCACAGCCACTTGGTTGACCAGCGCAGTAAAAAGATCTGCTTCTGCGTTTTGTTTATTCGATTCTATCTCTCTGTGTATTTTGTTAATTTGAATCGTGTTACCCGGGCTGCTTCGGCATTCTGTTCGTACGGTACATGCCTCCGTCTGACATTTCAATGAACCTGTCTCCTGAGATAGTATGATCACAGGAACAAAGGTGACCAGCGCAACATAGTCCAGTGTGCTTTTGAGGGTGGTTGATTGATGGTGATAAATTGACCCGCTTATTTGGCGAGGTGTTCTTGCCTGGAGTTGCCTCATACTAGGCCCTTTGTCACTCCAGAGCTCCCTTGACATTAGATCCCACATTTGTTTAGTGCTTCGCTAATTCACAAGACATAATGCGACAAATGTGACTAGTTTCTGATAGGTCCGCATTGGAAAATTGTCCAATAACAAAATTCCGCCCCAATCGACTAAGCAGTAACATCTTGCAACGCATATGCACTAAGGCGTGTGACAATGCAGGCGGACTGGGCAATCTTGTGATGAAAGAGTCACCCACTCGAACGTGCGGATTTCAACTGCGTGTTGCGCCTCGGGTAAATTCCGCAAGACCGCTCATGTTCCAGATAAAGGTCAGAAACGTGTTACGTAATAATTACAGCAGCTTTGAGTGTAGCCTTAGCTCAACAGACGGCTAAGATAAATAACGCACAGGGCGAACGAAGATCTCCCTCCCAACCCAGTAAGTAGTTCAATTCACATTGATTCCTGTCTATCCAGTCGATCTTCCATGAGTGACAATACAGAAATTATCCTCCGGCGTTTTCCTATGCAGTAATATTTGCGACCCTCTCCAGGGGCATTGATTTCATCACAGGAAGATGAAAGATATAAACTTGTCAACCCCATGTTATTAGATGCGGACTGGTTCAACCACACTGCACCTTTAGAGTCTAAAGATATGGATCTACAAGAAAGCTTCGAATACCGACCAATAGACAGAAGGATTCGAACTCGTTCTAAAACATCTAAGCCGCGTTCAGATCACAAGCGAAAGGATGGAAAGCATATCTGGCTTCCCAAAGTACGATAAATCCTTTGTGTTCTTCTGGAGGCTGTAGCCCTTGATCTTCTGATTTTCGCCCCACGACAATATAAAAGACGCCATTGAATGGCATGGCTCCATTAGACTGAATATTGATCTATTCAGTATTTAGTCTTTTCTCATTTGGCTCCAAACATCGCGGCTCACAATATAAAGAGATCATTTTTCCCGGTAATGGGCGCCAGCCGTCTGGATTCTGATATAATTTTGTAAACCTTTTGAACTACGTCCCAATAAGCTTCTTCCATGCTTCTCATATAGCCCACAGCTTAGGATCTCTGTCAAATTTCTCACAAAGTCTTCCAGCAAGTCCAACATTACAACCCGTGCTATGAAGATGTCTTCATCAGCTCTAGAAGAGTCCCAGAAATTCAAGGTCGCTCCTCAGCCTGAGATATCTATACAATAGAAGTCAAAAACAAATTCCCCCCAAGCCAACACACGCTTTCTGTCCCAGCGCCCCACTTTTAACGAACCAAGCCCAATTAGGCTAGCGAAGGCTCGTCGCTCCGGTCTTGGGGCATGACGATTGGCTGAGCCAGCGATCTGATACTAAACTCTTCAAATTCCAAAGTTTAGCTCTACAGTGGGGCGCTAGGAAAGAAAGTGTGTGTGTCTCAGGGGAAACCTGTTTTCGTCTTTTACTATATCCCACGCGCCATTCGCTCTTCATTACGACCACTACGACATGATATACACCGATCATAAAGGTCATCTCCAAGTCCAAGAACCCCGATCTGTTCAGGATCGTGGGTCCAGTGTGATCACTCCGGAGGTCCATCAGAATTTCCTCGAGACTCTAGATCAAACAATCTACTATCATCAACCCACTCGTATGTAAAATTATATCTGACTATCTAAGCACCCGATTCATGTTATCAGTATCGGCCCTAGTGTGTCTCGAATTAAGGTCCCAAAGACGTTATGGTCGCATAAAGTATAGAAGCCAAATGCGAATTGAGCTGTATGGTATATCGACCTTAATCACTTTTCGAGTCCGGATAGATTTGGCGTAGGGTCTAGGACAGTTCGTTAGTAGGCAAGTTCCTAATAAAAATAGCCTAGGGCTAGTCAATTGGCTAACTTACCATGGCGAAGTCGGGACAGAACAAATTTGTGTAGTAATTTTCAGATTTAAAGAAGATGTTTGGCAACAATGATTTCCCACGGCGAGGCTAAACGACTTTTTAGTTTACTGTTAGCCATAGAAACTTTTCCCGTCATTCATAGTGCTGTAAAACAGCTTCCTAGAAACCAGGTTGAAGGAAGCTTCTGGCTACGTATAATCTCCGACTTGATATTAGTTCCTAGGAGCGCGCATTGATTTTTGAGGAGCAGAGCAACATTTTAGCTATGTATTTCTGAGCCTCAGCACCTGGGCGAATATACTCGCTCTATTCCTAGGAGATTATAGGCAATAAACACCAAATTGGGACCAGTCATAATTTGTTTCGGAAAACGAGGCCCAATCATACCTCCTGGGAGCTTATATCCTTCCAGTGTGATTGATCTCGGGCGCCTTCATTTTCCGAATTCTTGTGTATATATACATCCATACAACCCTCGATATTCTAACTGGCTCAAAATAAAAAGGCTTCACAAACATTGAAGAAGCTCAAGGTATGAAAAATTACTCTCGAGGGAAGAAACATCGCTAATCGGCTAGCAATAGGACCCCCTTTTTTTGACACCTCAGTCTGGCTAACTAGACATTCCAAATTGTATTAAACTCAGGCATCATGGCTAAAGCTAAAACTTTTTGTGGTCCATTGAACTCGGAAGTTAATGCTATCGCTACAAACGACGCTACCGATGCCCGGGGCACGAAAGCCAATCCTATCGTCATAAAAGAGGATAGTGAGGGCTCGGAAACCAACCCTATCGTTATAAACGACGATGCCGACACCTTAGGCAAGCAGGAAATCCCAGTGCAGTATGACCCTACCAGGGATACGGAGCCTTTAGGTACGCCAGAATTTTGGGCAATTTTAGGCAATTTGGGCAACCAGGGCTTCCACGTTCCAAAGACCAAAATCGTGGTGGCGGATGTTACTTCTGACTTGCCATCATCCCAATCGGTCCACGGTCAAATCTCCGATTACACTTGTTCCCCTGAGTCTGAGTCCCTTCTCCTCGACCATATAGAGGAAGAAGGATCCGAAGTCGCCAAGTCTGATAATGACAAAGAAAGTACGATTATTCGAACCATTCAAACTTGGAATTTGCTTTGCTAACGAGGCTAATCGCTGTAGCTCCACCGAACAAGGATGAGAGCTGTTGTCGGATAGCAGAAATCAACACGATATCTTGTGGGAAACCCAACCTTTCGTTGTCTAGTCAAGAGAATAAGTCAGAACCACCTATTCAGAATAGCCAGACCGATGATGACAATCCGCCCCATACACAAAGATCCGGTCAACGCAAAAGGGGCCACGAAGAGGAGAAAAATGCTGGGAACAGGCGATCAAAGCGCCTAGCGAACAAAGGGAAATTACGGGAACTTTAGTGTTCTCATCCTCTAGGGCTAGCTACCCAGGTTCTCATTCATCCACCAATCCGAGTTGCTATTGAGATATTACCACAGGCTTTGCTGAGATCAGCTCTATTTGGCACAATTCAAAGTTTCGGCGGAAGTCTGTTGTAATACGTAGCTATCACAGAATAGAAGTATTCCTGCACTATCTATGCGAAGAACCAAGTCGATTTCTCAACAACTTGCACCTGATGTACTTTGTTAAGTTCTTTGTGAGTGAAAGCATTAATCAGCTGAACGACGTAATTTAAATAAGGTCCTAGAGAGAGAATGAGCAAAGTTGATGCGGAAGAAACCGACTCTCTATCCTTCGAAATTCGCAAGCCATGCCGTTGAAAAGCCACCCTATTTTGACTTGTGATATATCTTGTACCTAGGTTCCGCACTCATACGGTGCCTTTGCAAGCCAAAAGATCTTGAGCATTGCTGAACCCGCGCTCAATTCTGACCTCTGTCGAAAGAACGGGTCGATAATCGCGAGCGGCTTTTGCCATGAGTGGAAAACTGAATGCGTTAGCTTTCCACCCCTTGAGAACCCATTCTTTGTCCGCATGGTTGATCATATGGTGGTACCAGGTAATCGGTGGAGAATCCAAATACTTATCATTACCCGGCAAAGAAGCTCCTGTTGCTTCAACGAACGCCTTTAAAGGCGGATGCTCCACCACAGTGAAGGGCCGTCTAAATTTAATGACCCTTCGGATTTGCATTTATTCAACACCAGTCTTCTTTCTCGGTGACTCCAAGAACCGGTCAAGGCTTCCTGCGGCCGTGGGTGGAAAGATGGAGTCATCCCCAGACTTGATACGATGCTTGGTCTGGAGGTACACCAACAAATTCGAAGTGGAACTATAGCGCGCCCAATCTCTGGAGGACCAGCTTCAATGTTTGCAAATCAGCAGTTGGGCTTTTTTCAGTGGGCCACCCCGCCGACACCAAGTGCTATCCAGATCTGTGGTCCAAAAGTGTCCAATGATCCAGCTAGAGTACGACTGGGTTCTTCGTCTTTTATACGAATGCAGACTACTCGTATTACTCCGACTTCCAAAGGCGAAGTTCTTGGCAAAGAATAACACTGCTTCGTCTGAGGCGCGTCTTCGGTGTTCCTAGAGGGAGAGGGCTTAGGAGAGGAAGGGCGTCCTGTTTCATAGGTAGATTCCTCAGAATGCTCCGAGGGTGACGATACCAGGCCATTGTGTAGAGTAACATAGCCTCGACGTGGAAGACTACGCGTCTTCCGAATGGACGGATTAGGTGTCAATGCTATACTACTGTTTCCTTGTATCAGTACTTCAAAAATGAATCGACGGTGATGCATAACATACCTGGGCTAGAGTTGGAAATTGATAGGATACTTGAGCATAGGGTGATGGTTGACAGGCCCAGTCGTTTTTGCGCTTTACTTGCTTTCCTTGAAGTGAACAGTTGATAGATTTCTCTTCTGGTTTTCTGCGGCGCGTTATTGACGATCCCAAACTTAAAACAATCCAGCCAGGATCACGGGAGGTTCTGGGTCATGAGGGGGACGCGCTTTTACTCGCCATTTCCCAGGGCTACTTTGTTCACCGAGTTTGAAATGGGCTGGCAGATACATATGATGTTTACTGATATTCGTGGTCAGTATCGAGTTTCGGGTAGACCCATGTGAATGAGTATGTATCATGTCTCAAAAAGATCCACTATGGTAGGTACATCATGCTGGGGACGACCGTTGCTAAGTCAAAATAAGTCATGCGACAAGGCATTTCATGAAACTCTGAGACCAAATTCATGATATGTCAGATTCAAATATTGGACCCTGCTATACCCCAACCCACACGACTTCCCCTCATGATGATCACGATAGTCAGTCTACCAGTCTATCCCTGTCTCCGCCACTCGCGAACGAAGCATTCTTCATCCGACACCCCCAAACCCACCTCGTTATTACTCTGAAAGACGGCAACTTGTGCCTCCACCCACTCAAAATAACCAACACAAGTTCCCAGTGGCAGATAATCGATACCACGAGCGGCTGGCTTGGATTACGAAATGTTCATTCAGACACATATGTTAAACACAACAACAGCTGGAGCAGTTGGAACTGGAAGTTCGTCGCAGATGTAAAGCACCATGATTTGTGGGGCTATTTCATGACGATACCTGGCTTGAATGGACGCCAGAGCTGTGTGTTAAGCATTGGTGGGGGCGAGGGAAGGGAGCTTGTGGTCGCTGAGCATGGGGAGAAGGGTGTGGCGTGGGAGTTTATCAAGGTTGGCTAGGAGCTAGCACAAGTGGCCTCGTGCACTCAAAACTCTCAACATGACGTATTGAATAGCAGAATTTAGTTGTATTTGCATATATAGCATGCATCGAAATCTGTTTCACCGCTTGCACACGGAGATATTATCTTGAACCCTGTTCCGAAACCACTAGACCTATTTCAGTTTGGCCTGACTTCAGATACCGAATTGTATTGAAAAGTCACGATCACGTGGTATGATCTCTCCTAGATCAGCGGTACTGGGCCTAATGAACCAGTCGAAAATGATAGGTGGTCGTATGTAATCCTCTGAAATGTACTGTATGAAACATTTGAGAGCTGACAGACAGTGAATTTCAACCATCCAATAATAATTTCACTGCAATGTGGTATTTGATACCTTTAGCATGTATAATGATGCCTAGATTGCATCACATATGTATTGATTGAGACGATAGATTCATAAGCAACTACCTGCATGGTATGCTACCTGAACTAATGATCATTTTGATCATGGAAAGGCTTTGATATCCAAGGCATGAGATAGCCCAGAAGCCAAGAGCATCACACATTGCTGGATGGTCCATGGCCCTGAACGAGATGATCGACGACTTCTTGGTCGGTTGGCATGTTCTGAATCTCCTGAATCAACGAGTATATCTCCTCCAGCGTCCCAGAGCGTAGTTTAGCAACCATTTGGCAAAAAGCGACACGGAAGTTGAGCAGCTCGGCGGTATGAGTCTTGCGTCTCCGATCACGGTTTGGATCATACAAGCACTTGCGATTTCCAGTCATACAAGTGGTACAAGGGGTCGTACAAGAGCACTTCGCTAAGTCAGTTCTGGCGTCGAGAAGAGGGACGATAGTTCTAACCTTAGATCGCTTTTTCTGGCACTCGGTACAGGCCAGAGAGACATTGCGTCGCTGTTTTGTCGGCGCGTCCACTCTCAGATACTGATTGCCGACTTCCTTATCATTAGGCAGAAGCTGACGCAGAAGATTATTCTTGGACATTGCAGGATTAGATTGGTGTGGACACTTCGTGGATAGAGAGATTTAGATCTGGAAGTGGGCTTTGGGAGAACATTGAAAATCAGAGACTCAGGGGCTCCTTTCAGGCTCTGTTTGTTTTCCTTTCACATCCTTGCTTGCAGTTCTCTTTGTTTGCTAAACAGGAAATCATCCATAACAAACAAAGAACACAGCTAGAAGACCCACCTTTCGGGAAAGCTCCGCAATATCATTGGCGGATTATTGGATCAATCAGCTCTCATTGGCCGCAATCCTTCCCAGAGCACCCCCACATCTTAACGCGCTCTAGTCTTCCTGCACGATCCGTGGCGGCTTATCTAGACCAGCGGAATCGAGATCTTTACTCAGATACAGGAAGTGCATGATACGATGAGCTCATCTGGCAGTTTGGCCTCTTCGTTGACGCCAAGAAATTACGCCGACTATCACTAGAATCTCTTCCGCAATTATAACGTCACAGTAATGACTTTCTGTTTGGCTTGTTTGTAAGATGTCACAGTTCAAGTACCATGCAGGACCAATAGGCATTTTATTTTTAGGCCATCGTTATAAATGTAACCTTACTAGACTACTACCAAGATCGGAAAGCAGGATGTCGACTTTACTAGGAATCTGGTGTGTCTCTAAAGAGATATCGAGAAAGACTTGAATCGGCGGAAACCCCATCAGTCATTCTGTTGGTCCGGTATTATCAACTCCCTTTAAGATACCGGATTGGCCTAGCCAGAAAATAAATAGACTTAAGCGCAGGACGTGATCATCAGCCCGATTCCGCCCGCTTGACTTGGTATAGTCGCACTCCCTGCGGGCTAGGGGGTCATGTAAAGCTTCGAAACTTAGCAAAATGTGATGCCTGGGCTTACAGCACATGCCAGCTTCATTATGGCGACAATAAGCTGCAGAGTCACATTGCCTGTTCGACTCCTTGAACGGGCTTTCGAGGTGATGATGTGAGAACTTGCTTTTAAGTGCACCTTCTACTTCATGACATGCTGAGTCAACGCTCTAGAAACCCGAAGAGCCAACAGGTCTGATACAGAAAGCTATTTTTGTGCTTTTTTTTACACGTGTATTGCCCTGAAACGAACCAAGTGAGAGTAAGGGTTCTAATGAACTTGGTGGAAGTACATGTGCGAGACTGGGAAAAAGAAGAGGCGTAAGTATGTACGGTTTGTTCCGTCACGCACCCTTGTAATTCGCCCCCTGTATTTTCTCTTCGAGTCTGGTGTGTCAGGGCTAGGGTTCGCCGTGCATGTATGAAATGCATCTTCATATTTTCCTCCTTGTTATTGCTTCGATCTTTGTTCCAGGCCCCTCTTTTACAAGCACGCTCTATCATTTATTGACACATACCGTCCGACGATATTATTATTTCGAATTAGATAGACCTAGCACATCTGCTGACGAGACTTAAGCGTGCTACCGATGCTCAAGATTGCCCTTGTGCAGAATTTATTCTTGAGAATAAGAATAGTTGTTGAACATCTTGTACCTAGCTCACTGATACTTCACCTGCAATAAAATGGATTGTCTAGGTGTTCCTATTGATCATCGACTGCGGTGGGTGATTCATAAGGCAAGACGTATGGATAGGGGCAAGAAAAATTCCGACCATATCCAGCTTCTTCGTAGCTTTTGATTATCTCTAGAGGTCGACAAGAGAGCTACCCGATATGTGACCTGAGCTTCGGACTTGAAATGGCGCGACCGGAATTGAAGGGTGGTGTTCTTATCGTACTGGAACGGCCTCATTCGAAACAGGAAAATTCGGACGGCTTTATGGAAGGCAAACGCAACTGCCGAACCATTAATGCAGTCTCCGATCTTATCTCTGCTGTAGACAATTATAAGTTGGGTTTTGACGATGTCAGCCTATTTGATGCAATACCTTTTCTAGATGAGACAGTCGCGGGGAAAGATCACCGGTATATCATCGATGAAGAAGCACACAATGTTCTCGCCGATATGGTTAAAGCTAAAGAGCCTGATATCATTTTATGCTGCTTCACAACCGAGAGTCAAAGCCCTCCTGTCAGAAAGCTTCAGAGCCGAGGAGTAGGGCAGATACTCTACCATGATGACCAAAAGCTCACCGGATTTGGTCTTTTGTCTACCCTTGTGATTGCATTTCACCCAAATTACGCTATTGACTATTATCCATTATCCTCTTACTTCAAGCAGTTCCTGGCTCTAGAGTTTACGAAGGCATTTTTTTTTCTTTTGGAGGCAGAGCTGGACTGAAGAGCCATGGATGAAGGGATGAAGAGAAGAATGCCGAGTCAGAGTAAGAAGGAAAGTTGCTGGTAAGAAAATCTAAGATGACATACTCCAACAAGTTCTCATGGCATTATACAGAAAGTAATATCGACGGGGGATGGAACCAATCGTATATCAAAGAGCAGTGGGAAGAACTTCTTACCTCTCTGGATGCACAGTTTGAAAAGTGTTTCTTCCAAAATCCTAAAGATATCGGAACTGGGGATTTACAGCGCAAGCTTAAGAATTCAAAGATTACCTGGCTATGTTGCGACATTGCATGGATTCTCGAGGAACTAACTCTCGAAGAAACAATCAATTTGTAACTGCCGCAACAGTTATTGTGCAAGCTTCGAAGATGGAGTCCTAAGTTGTGGCCAGAAGACCAACTTCGACGCAATCCGAACGACTCTAATGGGTACTACGATCACTTACCCCTCCTCTTTTTAAAGCCAAATCAACCGAGCAGACTCTTTGGCCTCCTTCGTGATCTGAAACTCTTCTTTAATAGATTGCACAACGATATTATAGGTCAGAAGGATTTGCCTATCCTATATAGCTAAACCTGGTAGGAAGATATGTTTTGTCTATCCTCATGAGTTATGCTGTCTACTGCCCTTCTCATTGTTACCAGCCCCAAACTTAATCTGGTTCTCCCAGCTAATGTGGGCTTTACAAGGATTGTGATTATTGTGAGAGATGAGCCAATATCGCCTCGATGATGCATCTCAGTCTAATGGACCGAACCATGGGAACACAACTCGGATTGCGCCCCAACACCTGGCTCTTGTGGCAGCCCTTAAGCAGCGATATCCACGCGGAGCCCCTCCTCATCGATTGTAGTAGAAGACAGTATCAAAACTGCGCATAAATGTGCCCCACGTGCTCTCAAATTTTTCCGGCTGTGTGACTGGGAAGACGACAAAGCCTACGACGAGAAAACATCAACATGCATACACTACCATATAGAGTGGCGAGTGGTAGTGAATAACAGGGAGATGTCAAAGGAATTGAATCTTTTCCCGGTTCGCAAGACGCTTACGACACATATCTCTCCACAAAGCACGCTTTTCCTTCCCAACAGTCTCGTGGCTGTCGTCAGTCATTATTAAAGCTCTTAGCCCAGGGTAAATGTGAGCTGATCTCCGTTCTTTATAGTGGGATACATTCCGCGACCCATCTTCCAGTGTTACGGTATCAGGTTTTCCATTCATGACAAGGCAGTGTTACAAGAGGACTTTCCCAGGTAAGTCTAATGTAAAATCATTTTCTTGATCAACCACCTGGGCAGTTGGTCACGCCAGAGCCTGTTTTGAAGTAATTCAGATCTCATATACCTTAAGCGTCATCCATTCAGTATCGCTCAAGAATATAAACTGGAATACGTGCAACAACAAATCTCTTCCTTGCATATCTAGTGAGGATATAAGAGCGTGATGGCGGTTTGACGCAGCAGACGTGTCGGTAGGGTCGATCAAAAGCTTCATGGGCTACTATGCTTCCTGACTATCAGTATGGGAAACTGTTCCTACACTATTGCCTACGATTTGGGCGCTCCGTCAGCTACTTCTAAGGTTGATTTGCTAGGCTTCCCGGGTCTAGACGGCGTAGTTCGAGAGTGCACTCTCTCATTCCTCTCCCCGTCTCTAAAAACAAACTCTAATTCACTGTATATCTCTGATTTCTGATCTCTCAGTAATGAGCGGTCCTCCTGCTAAACTTAATATTTCTTAAGAATTGCACCAAGATCATCTATTTGATATACCGGGGACTTGCCTCGTACGTTGCGTAGAGCTGTACATCCCGAAGGCTTAGCTTTGTTCCGTCTGGATCGTGCTTCGCTTGGAATATCTGAAGATCACATCCCACTATCCAGCAATGGCCAATCTCAACATGTAGCAGTGATGAGAGAGGAACAGTAGCTAACCAACTCAGCAGATTCACACTGTCGTAAAGGTATAGGTATTTCACATCAGCAAGTGCACAAGTAGCAAGGTCTATCAGTGTCATATCGGTGATGTTAGCATAGAAGCCATTAATCTCAAGTGAAAAAACTCGAATCCCTTGTAGTCGTACAGACTGAATACATTCAAAAACTGCTTCCAGATGAAGTGCAAATGAATAGTCCCAATCCACGAAGACGCGACTACTAAACCAAAGGAGCTGGCTAGTGTCAGGCTCAATGAAAGATAGCCGAATGGTGTTCAATCGCAACAAGCGTTGAGCACAATCGCAAAGTACCCGTATATCTTTCCGATCAACCACAGCCTCCTGTTGACTTTCCATAAGATCAACAAATTGGGAGTGAATCGATCCGTAGCGTAACGATTGTTCACGGAGTCCCCAGCCGAACTCCTTTTGATCTCGGGCATACTCCTGTGGGGTATATACACAAGTGGTGAAGTAGTCCCAGTGTTGCACCACTATATAACTAACATTAGAATGACAAATAAGCCATTGGGGAGTGACATACATGGATCAATAATCTCTGACACATCGTAGCAAAGAACCCGTACTTGGGATGCTAGGTGAGAATATGAAAATGCACGGAAATTATCTAGGCCACTAGAGGAGAAGGGAACATGGATTGTGTGAAAGAGGATCGGTATGCTTAAAATACGGCATCTGCGATCAACAAGAGAGAACTCTTTCAAACTAGACGGGTTTAGCTCCAAGCAGACAAGACTGAGTATCTCGAATGGCAAGTCGAGAAAATAACCCGAAGACATGCTCATCGGCTGACAGTAGAGGCTATAGAAGCTTTCTTTGGTGCAGTCTTTCCTTATTAAATGTGAAACTATTTTATTTAGCATGCAGGGGGTCGAAAATGGTTGGCACGGCCTGAGGGCGTGGCAATAACAATGGTGGTCCCGAGGTGGCGGTACATACATACACCTGGGGCCACCCCTAAGTGGATCCGCCGAGGGGTAAACTACTGCGTCCCCGAAACCAGTCCGCAACTTACACAGACTATTGTCATCAGGCGCTGATTATAAAAAGAAGATAGTTAATGCGATACATATTGAAGTCAGATACCCGCTTGAAATTCTCCCAATCATCTCATCGTTCAAACGCTTGACCGGTAATATTCACAAGTCACTTCCCAAAGAACTACGCGTCAGTCTGTCATCACACCGAGTCTCCATGTATATCCTAACGTACAGTATACTTCCGACTGTACGAAGTTCTCTCCTCCCTCAATTTGTCTCTCTTGAAATCGTCGTAAAACTACCCAATATGGTATCAGGGGTCCAAAAACCAGCCCACGAACAAGCAGCAAAGTAAGTGGAATGTAGGTGAAAAAAGCGCGCAGTGCTTTTACAAATTGATAATTACCCATGGGCATCGGGGCATGAAATTGCGACATTGCGGGCTCCTTCCACGTAACAGAGTCAAGATCAATCGAGCAGTCTCGCTGCAGCGGAACAATTAGCCGAATAAACTGCATCCGGCTGCTGACTTCATCAATTACAGTAGGGACTTTCTGCGAGCCTGAGCCTATAGGACCGTTAATCTAGTTCTCTTGCTGGGGGCAACGGGTGCAGTACGGGGCTGAGCAAATCGCGGCAAATTGAACTGTTTACTTCTTTTCTGGGGAATTACCGCGGGCCTCTCATTAGCCCAATTACTTCGTCCTGACACCGGTGACGTGGCAGCGCCACATTAATGAACAATAATTTAGTCAACCCCTTAGTGGGATCCAGGATTTCATTGAACATACCTCGTAGTTTGTGATTTTGTTCGAAAGCCAACTCCAGCCAGAGTCATTTCAGACGGGTCCCTCTGCAGAAGGTGACGCCCTTGAAGGTTCCAAGCAACTTTCATTGCTCGTGACCTTGGTATTCCACCAGGCAGCAGAACAACATGGCATTTGCCCTCGCTGAGAGTATTCTTCTTATTGTTTGGTGCAATTCGCGAGTTTTCTTTGGCCGTTTTTGCGTTTGGATTTATGCAGCCAAAAATCAAATGGCTCTATGCTAGCAACCTGCAAAGCAACATCTCGGAAGCTCTTGCCTCCCTCATTGTGCTCAGGCGAAACGGTACCTCAGCGTCGACCAAATTTCTATGCCAGCTGGTTTTGTTATACACAGACAGCATTATTCCCAGCACCAATGCAGACAGCCCTTGTATAAACGAGCATAGTAATAAATGACTGAAAATCGCCGGCTTTGTTCCTGGGAAGATCAACCATGGTGGCGAATGATACAAGGGCTCTTTTTACATTCATATGGCTTCCACCAATGGGTGTGAGGAAGGTTGGACACGGTGAAGATCATTGGCCGATGGAATGTGCCTATGTTGCTTCTTTAATCATCTGGTCGTAACGACCTTTGCGTCATCGTGTCTATGATGCTGCTGTCGGTTCTGTAGGATATAAAGCTGAGGTTTTCCTTCGTTACATTTCTCTTGTTTCGTTTCATTTTATACCATTTTTTTCAAGAGAGCAAACTCATCAATATCAATATGAGAAATTCGAGCTGCCTGTGCCATACACAATGTCTGACTCTGAGGTTACATATGGCTTTGGAAGGACACCCGCCCACCCACCCAATCAAAGTGAATATCCCCAAGCCTGGCCACCAAAAGAAAAAGTTGCTGGCATCCGCTTTTGAAGATGATAATTTTGTGAAAATCGGAAGCGCAATGAGATGTGCACCATCCTCATATGTAAGTCTCGGATCATCAAAAAGCTGTGGATGGGACTGATAGTATTATATGAGCAGGTCACACCTCTACCCTCCGTATCCGGCCGTACAGAAGAGACTAAGTTTGCTTCCGCTTTTGCAAAAGGTCTGGTTTTTTAGTTTTTGGTTTCAGAGGGAGCGGTGATGTGCTCATTTCAGCGGATGCGAAAGAAGATTACATCAATTCTACAAGGATCTTTCGCAACTACCCAGGGGAACTGTGCCGCGATCAAGATGTACATTTTGAGGTTTTACATTGACAGAAGCATTCTTTTACACACATACACAGAGTTCATTAACGCCCGGCGGCTGAGCCGAAAGGGCAACTATCGCTAAACTACTATACAAGTCATAGAATATACAATTTTGTGACTCATTGGAGCCCATACACAAGACCTTGGCGTATTTGCCATTCTCAGCATGCAGTGTCGCAGCGGATGCTCGTGGGTTAGTAATGCGGTTAGTAGACTGGCTTGAAGGCGCTTCTCCAAGTGTTCAACATCCTACCTTGGGCAGTTGAAGCGCGTCCACCATAAGTAGCACGAGGTGGTTGGTAGGTTAGGTTAGAATGAAAGGGGGGTGATTAATGTTCGTCGGCGGGGTTAAGTGGCCTCGAGGCGGCCTGTGGCTATGGCGAATCGTATTGAGGCCCGTACTGCCTCTAAGTTTGGCGTCCACTTTTGATCGTCGGAAGGCGACTTCCCTCCCAGGTAAAAGGATATATCCCTCGGTGGATGTCGGTACATTGATGCATCTCCGTCCGATGTGCGGTCCACTTCCGACATCGAAAGAGGAAGTGCTCCACAGTTTCCTCGGCCTGTCCGCATGCACACTGATCAGTGGCGGCCGCGTTAATTCGATAGAGGTATCCATTCAGTCTCGCCATGCCCGTCCGGAGTTGGGCTAGCAGTGTCGCTTCCTTCCGTGACAAGCGATCATACAGCTGTCGCGTATGTTTTCCTGGGAGTGCTGCATCTACTCCTTTGGCGTGCTTTCCGATGTCCGCTGGCAGGGTATTTCTGGGGACTGCTTGAGACCGTGCGAGATTCAGTGTGGTTGATTTTATCCTCGGGGCGCGTTCTTGGATGAGGCATCTTCTTGTGTCGCGGCTCTAGCCTGTTCTTTAGCCAGACCTAGCAGCTTGTTCTCTTCACTGGCAGAAACCCAGCGGAATTGAATATGGTTTCCGTTTCTCTGCAGCCTTTCAATCAGCTTGCATATCCGACACACGAAGTCCTGGCCAGATTGTTGTCGAGGGTTCCTGAGTGTGAGAACCGCCGCTTTGTTGCTTGTGAGCAGCGTGATCGTGTAGTCTTTCAGTCCTGTCGCCGTGCTGTCTCACAGTCTTGCCAGTCTCTGGCCAGGAATTCCCTTCTTGGGTAGGCGGTGGTCTCTTCACCGCCCGCGTTCGCGTACTGTACCGTCTGGTTTACGAGACTAGCCCCTTCGGGTTGTGCTTTCGCACCTCCGGCCTATCGCCGGTGGTGCCCTCCCCTCCCGCCGCCTGCGGGCCCCTCCCGGATAGTCAAAATTCCCCCTTTGGGGGAATTACGTTGAGTCTCAAGTCTCAACTTTTTGGAGCAATGTTATAGTAGAGGGTGGGGAACCCACCCTCTGTCAAAAAGTTTAGTCATCCTGCTTGCCCCTACGGCAACCCGTACCTTATCGTCGCTGCGCGACTGGTCTCTCTCGCTCGCTCTGCAACCGCCCTTATCATCCTCGCTGTCGCTCCTTATCTTTCTCATCACGTGAGAAATCTTCTCCTTGGGTACGCCGTACGCGTGCCCATTTTTGTGTCTTCTTTTTACTTACTAAAAAACCATCACCTTGGGTGAAACTTGCGTTTGATTCTGTGTCTGGTAACATCGGGCTTCGCCCCCCCATGCACAGCATGGGGCCCCCCAGTTTTTCCTATCCTCAACTGCCGTTGTATATATATATATATATCTTCAATGCGTACCACACACTTCTGTGTACATGTTACATATGTAACGTATTTCTTCAATCCTCATCATCTGAATCGCGCCCTAAGCGCTACCATGTCCGCGTGATAACGTCGCCCTTGCTCCTTTTCTGTCGCTTGCGTTTGAGCTGAAGTCCCCTGCGTCGTGACGCGTCTGGACATCTTCAGTCCTCCTTTGACAAACTTGAATTTCAAGTTTGCTAAATTGGATTCAGGTTCCCCTGGGGAACCTGAGAATGGAACTCGTAGCGTGTATTTGTCGCCATAGTTTCGTTCGCCCTGAAACTCCGCTCTGCTTCGTAATGTGCTGTGAGGCACTGCGGTGTACCCACGCTCGACGTACTTGTCGTACGCTTGGAGTTCTGTGTGCGTACTGATATTAAATGTACCCATCTGACGAAAGTTCAGCGTGCTTCCCGGAAAAAGGCTGTATATGCTTTCCCATGTCGCCACATTCATGATGTGGCTCGACCAGAAACTGGAAAGGATGTGCTTGAGTGGCTCTCTAAACGTCAAGATAAGCTGCACAGTCGTGCAGCGCTGGCTGTTCTGATAATCATAACACTATTTTCATTAGTACAATATCTTGATATTGAAGCGTGAGTCTCACGCGTCCTCCAGCGTATGCTGTTTCCGTCCGTTTCGACAACAAGTATCCCTCGCTGCGAAGAAACTGATGCCACTCGAGCAAGCCCTGCTTGCTCAGCTTACGCGACGACATAAAGATGTCGAGGTCCGCCGTTTTCCACGTCGGGTTCAATTCTAGCGCGTGTAGTACCGCGCCACCAGAAGCAATTGCTTGCTCTTGTTTCATCAGATGTCGACATCCGTCGACGTTGGTAAAGAATTTACCAAATACCCTGTTCTCAGGTGTCATGCCGTCAGGCATGATGCCTTGCACCTGTGCCTCGTTATACTCGTTGATCGTTCCCATTGTGTGGTATTTTCCTGTGAGTAAAATATTCTTGATGCCCATATCTTATGGGCGGGCCTCCGCCCTTTTATATACAGCTGTCTCAGCTGTGGCTTGTCAGCCTTGCATTAGCCTGAGCACGTGTGCTCACGTGTTACCACTGTGACGTAGTCACCTTACACAAATTGCCCGATAGGGCAATGAGACTCAGTCTCAACTTATTCTGCCCGAGACTGGCAGGAATTCCCTTATCGGGTAGGCGGTGCCTCCCACACCGCCCGCGTACGCGTCCTGTATCGTCTCGGTATCCGAGACTAACCCTTTCGGGTTGCGGTTTCCCGCTTCCGGCCTATTGCCGGTAGATCCTCCCACCCTCTGTGGGCCCCTCCCTCGTATTCAAAATTCACCCAAAGGGGGAATTACGTTGAGTCTCAAGTCTCAACTTTTTGAAGCAATGTTATACAGAGGGTGGAGGAAAATGTTTTCTTCCGGAAAATGACTCAGGTCTCATATTTCAGATAAACATACTAGCTCAAAGCGGTTAGCGCTTGTCTTTAATCTAATCAGTATCGCCGGCTTCTTTCGAAATCAGTTCTCTATATGATAACGCCGCAAAAATCCCTGCCAATGTTCTCAAAATATCAATGTATAAGTCACCTTGATCCTAGAGGCTGAAATTGTCTGGAATCAGTGCTTAAAACTCAGAAGATGGTATAGAGTCATACCCTGCACAGCTCTGTCAGACTTATCCATAATAGTGGAGACTTCTCAGGAATTCATCCTGTTACTTTTGACTCGCAGTTCCTAGGAGCTCGTCGGGGGGAGGGGGGGAGGGGGATGTTTCAAACCTGCTGACCTCGAAAAATTAGACGATCAAGGTCCTTGCTGGGCTGGAAAACCATGTGTCAATTTTGCCATGGCAGCAGCAGAATACCCTCTCGTACTCTATGTTTGTGCATTTCAAAACAGGGGAAATAGGATAGAATTAGGCTGTTCATCGCGTGCTACACGTGATCTGGGTGTTACGGGCTCAGGTCGATTAGCCCCTAAAAGGTGTCGAATTCACCTTACACAGAACTGATCGATTTCTCTATGTGGGTTGCTGCCAAAGATATCGGGTTCTTAGCGCCACCAATGTCACATGATGGTGAACCTAAGGAGATGCCCCGCCTTCAGCTGAGAGCTGAGAAGCAGAAATTAAGCCTTCTCATGAACTCCAAGAATTTCCTACCCTCTCCCCCGACTGTCCTATCCGATAGTTGACTGAGCATATGATTCTAGAGGTAGATAAATATTTCGTTCGGCCCCCCGAAAATTTAATTTGAGCAATACCCAAGACCCCTGAATCACGATTACCCCCTTCATCTTGCGACCACAGCCCAGCGTCTCTACAGCAAAGGAGCTGAGTTATGAGAAACCCGTACGTTCATTTACCCGAGGAACTACTCCGCTTAGTTGCATGTTTTACAGGGGTTGAAAGGGACATCAGCTCTTTAGCTCGAACTTGCACATACTACTATTCTTCTCTCAATGCCTTCCTCTATCAGCAAAATTCGTTGCAACGAGGAAGTTCCGCTCTGCTATGGGCGGCAAAGTGGGGAATGGAAAAAACAGCTCGCATCAGTATTGAAAATAACGCTGATGCGGATTCCAAGGACTCCAACGGCGAGACACCTCTGCTCGCAGCCGCTCGGTATGGTCACGAAGCGGTGGTGAAGCTCTTACTTGATACCGGGCGTGTTGATGTCAATTCAAAATATGCCTACGAGACACCGCTGTTCCGGGCCGCATATTACGGCCATCCAGCGGTGGTGAAACTCTTACTCGAAACTGGACGCGTTGATGTGCAGCCAAAGGACGATCCCACTGGTTGGACACCGCTGTATGTCGCTGCATGGCATGGCTACGAAGCGGTGGTGAAGCTCTTACTTGCGACCGACGGTGTTGATGCAGATCCAAAGGACTCCAACGGCTGGACACCGTTGTTGCGGGCTGCGCAGGAGGGCCATGAGGCGGTGGTGGAATGTTTACTTGAAACTGGACTCGTCGTTGTGCAGCCAGAGGAAAGCGTCCACGGTTGGACACCGCTGTCCGTCGCCACGCAGAATGGCCATAAAGCGGTGGTTGAGCTTTTACAATGGAGTGAGTGGCGAAGCTTTTGGAACCGAGCAGGTTGATAAGTCACAAATTGGTAAACGAGATAAACGGGTTTGAAACTCACATTCCCATAAATGTTCATACTTTAAAAGGGCTAGCTTGGGCACCATCTTGGTGTGATAATTGGTGCATATCCTCCCATAGGCATCTGCTCTCGAAGAAAGACAAATAAATAATTGCGAGGTCACTATTGCTGGATAAGTGAACCCAGGCGTCCGTACTCGATGTCCTGTCATCCTTCTGTTTTCGTTGCTTCTTTGTCATCTATGATCAACTTCTCGGGCCTAAGAACAAGAGTCACCGCCGCTTACCGCACAGGTCTAGGTATTAGAGTTGACAATAATTGGAGGATCACCTCTACATATCTTTGACGAGTGGGAAAGCGAACATGCCATGGATTAAACAAATACACACTGGAAAATGACTATCCTGGTCAAGAGTAACATTTTATTATGGCTGGAGATTTGCTGACAGAAAATGCTGGGGGCTGGTAATTCAATAGGTTTATTAGCCAGATTGCATAGTCGACTGGGGAGTGGGATGATTTGATGGGATACTTAACCTGGTAATTTAATTTCCATCCTAAGAAATAACAGTTAATAAACCGGTGTGGCCTCACAATTTGATTCATCTGGTTATATTGAGATTTTAAAGAATTGTGATGGTGTGCAAAACGTGTAACCACAAACACCTGTTTCCTTCAAACCTCGGCTGAGCAGATTGTTCATTTCTTCTGATCCACACTCCACTCTTCCTGCCATCACTTAATTACCTGTTTATTACTTTAGTTCTCTAGTTGCTCCATGCAATCAACTTTTCAAATCACTCAACCAACCATCCGCACTATCCTATCAAAAGTTTATTTTCTGAATTCCCCTTCACTCGGTTGACCAGAGCAGTAACTTAGCCGGCCTTAGTATTGCCTTTCATTCCTTTTGTTTTATCTCTCTATGTAATTTGCTAATTTAGATCATATTACCCAGGCAGATTCGACACTCTGCTCCTGCGGTACAGTTCTCTCTTTAGCATTTAATAACGAGACTTTCTTCTGAGATAGTCAGATTTCAGAAAAAAGATTACCGGTGCAACACATTCCAGTGTCATTTTGAGGGTGTTTGGTTGATGTTGATCACTTTTCCTACTTATTTGGTACGGTAATAACCCTTTATTGTAGCTGAACATGCCAAAATTTGATCATGAAGGGAAGTAGACAAGGGTAAAAAAACCGGACATGTATGTGACCTTTTAACTAGAACCACCACAAGCATGCTTTCAATGTTCTGTTCATTTCAGTAAGAAACGGCCGTCAATAATGAGTTTGCGGGCATATGGGGTTCGCTAGAGGCCAGCTATTGAACAGAGACTGTTGTGATGCTTGGGCTAATATGGAAGGTCTTGAATATGCACGATTTTTCAGTAAGTAGTACCTCCCCATCTTTCACTTTCCAATGATTCTGCGCATCAGCTTACACTCCATTCTTTCAATATTCCATTTGTAAAATCTCTTCAAGGTCAGATTGTATTGATGTGCGTCAGAAATATGGTGGATCTGCATGTGGATTTCTGGGTATTTGCGCAAGATATGTTAAGACATCAATGGCAGACACCTCACAAAAGAAAATGCATATTACTCTTTATAGCATGTCATACAAAATTATCAGCTTCATAGTTTTCAGCAAGATAGAGAGTTTGATATTACCACCCTGGAACCACACAATATTGGTCACTGATTTCTGTCAATTTGCAATTAACATACATGATATTGAAACAAAAATGAAGTGTCATCTGATTGTGTATGCTAATCAATATCTATGCCTATTCTTTCCATTTGACTTTCTCTCACTATCTGCCCATTTATCAAGAAAGGTATAAAAGACGAACACTGTTAAGTGAATAGCGCTGGAATAATGGAAGAAAGGAACTAGTCAGGCATTATACATCGACATTTTGCTCGCACAATTCAAGGAAAGCGTTGATTGAGGTCTTTGAATATTGTGCCAAAGAGTTCAATGCAGATTTACAGTGGATTTTGAAATCAGTTCTAATTCTAAAGTCTTCTGATTTGATTCACAGGGCCCAAGTGGAGACACCCTAATCTAATTTTAGCTCTCCCCCTGTTAGCCCATGTAGCGCTGTATTGTAATCACTGGTAATAACAATGAGTCATTGTTATAGTACCGTAATTCTTCATAAGATCTGATAGAATCCATTGTCCAAACTAATTAACAAAAAAAAAAAACCCCTGACAATCTGGCAACGTCTTTTCTCATTTTCAGATCTCTTGGGCTATTTTTCATGCGCAGCCTTCACCCGCACTATTTTTCATCCAAAAGGTGGCTGTAGTGAGGAAACAAAGTGATCCCTGTTTATATGATAATGTAAGAATCACCTGCGTTGGTGTTGGCGCACAGCGATTATGACATATAGTTTACTATAGTTCTGTTGAGTGCAGGTGCAATAGACATATGATGTTTCACGAGTTTTGGTTTGCCTGGCCGAATTTGCTATTTGCTGGCTAACACTGTTGCTGAAGCCTGGAGAAAAAGAAGCTTAACTTGTTCAACAACTAACCATTTGTTGTTTTCATTAAAGCTTGCAGTGTTAATTAACGGACGTGACTGTATCTCCACCATCGGTGGGGCTGTGTTATATCAATAGCCTGGTAATGGCCATCAGAATACTGAGTAGCCTATGGTCTCCGAAGCAATTTGAGGTGACACTGTATCTGCGGGTTGGGAAAAGCAGGCACAATTGTACGAAGTTTATCGATATATTTGTTGTAGAAGAAGCTACCAAGTCCTGGTGCCTGGAGGAACTCTTATTCGGTTGTATTGGCCTTTGCTCGCTTGTTGAAGTGAATACTTTGCGGATTACACAACGTTCACTACACTTCACTGGCTTTAATGATTTGCGATTTACAATTACAGAGAGGATCGGAATCAGTTTCACCACTTCCACGCGGGGATTCTTTTTCGAACCCTGTTCCGAAACAACCTATACTTGTTATGGTTACTCTGCCCCTGAACCCCTTTCTTGGTAGTATTTTAATACATTCGTAATAAAAAGCTTAAAAATAGCTTCTGTATTATACTTGTATGGTTCCTAGGGTGTTCTAGAACGTTGATCCATTGGACAAGCTAATAGAGGGTGGGAATCATCTCAAAGCTGCGGACCTCAAAAAGGGTGCCTGTTAGACCATGGGATATTTTTGTCATACTAGCAACAGATTATGATCTCGCATTTGCCATTTTATATTTAAAAAAAAGGGGGGGTTGGGTTGGATTAGGCTAGTCATCCCAATCTGGGTACCAAACTCCAGTTGATTTGATTCCCAGGAGGGGACTAATGCTACCGGGGCCACCCATGATTCTGCCCTTTCTTTCCGTCTTCTAGGACGCATAAAAAGACCACGTTTCTCCCTTTGGAGCGAGCGGCTGTTCTTCTTTTCTCACACCAGTTCTAAATTGACATAGTGCACAGCACAATACATCTAAAATGAAGAGACCGGTTCCGATAGAATCTGTCCAGTCAACAGTTGATCGACTATCGGAAATATTGTACGATCGCAATCCGGCAATGTCTTCATTGTATTATTCCGAGCAAAAATGCCTCCATATCACTGGTTTTCCTGATATGGACTCTTCGGAATACGTTGGAATACTTCGTCAAGCAAAATCTAATGCTTGTGATTTGTTATTCAAGGAAAAAACCGACCAAGGTATCATAATCATCGAGCCCGTCCCTCGTCTAAGTGAGCATGACCGTGATCAAATTGAGCGTGTGTTTGCTCAAAGTGAGCGTGGTCATCAGATTGAGCATGAGTTAGCTCGAAGTGAGCATGGCTTTCGAAGTGCGCTTGCCAACCAAAGAAGCTCGGAGGCCCTCCAGGCTCAAATACGGCGGATCCGTACCGGCCGACAATCTACGCATGAACGATCGAATCCAATTATTTAGCGGACCCTACCACAATTTACTCCAAAATAGAGCGGCAGCTGTCATCTTTCGACGTTCGGTTATGTCAACCGTGTCTACTCCAAAGTTGGTGCCATTTTCCTTGAAGAAATGTACCAGCCCTCAAATAAATCTCTAGCAGAGTATTCTTCGCGCTTCGCTAGATGCTTTGCAAATGCATGCCAAATCTCGTGTTTGCACAAATCCTCTTTGTGAGACGTCTCCCGGGCATGTCTTGGTTCCCCGTGTTTAACTCGAGCGTGAGGAGACCGGAATGAGAATTGTGACAATTGTGATCGTGACGATTAAGGAATCCTTCAACATTGGGTGAGATGGAATATTTGTTTTTTGATACATCTTGCCATCAATATTTGATGTAGCCGACGAGGAGCGCCGTACATGTCACGCTGAATGTCTTGGCGCAGATTATCCAATACCCAATGCTATCAGATATTCCGATCGAGGCTTTTTGTACTTCGCGTCGTTTGCATACCCCGGCCTCGCCGTTCCGTCTCGGCTCACTTAGAGGGTCGGTAGCTGTCAAATTACATTTTCATATCTTGTAATTAGTATCTGATTGCGGATTGAATTTTTGTTCCTGCTGACGGACCAGTCCCGACCTGCTGTCAGAATATCTGGTCAAGGACGAATAGCAGTGGTGGGCCATCTTTCGATGAACGTTGTCAAGATTAAATCCAATGCAGCAAAAGTCTGGCTCAAGAACCAGGACTGGTCGAACGCCGTCCACTACGTGGTCAGTAATCTGGCAGGTCTCGCATCATAGCTAAGATCACGGTTCACGCTGCGGTAAGTGCTTACGAGAGCACCCGACTGTATGGCTAGTTCAATTAAATTACGCAGTAAGCTACCATGTGATATTCCTTACAGTACATTTCGATGATTTGAAAGGCGCTAATCCAAAGTGAGCCTAGCATGTTTCAAAGGAGGGTTCGAAATAAGAATCTTTGCGAGTCAATGGTGAATCTGATTTCGATCCATCCTGTAACATCCCAGCGACGCACACCAGGAAGCTGTACGGAAGCCTGCCCAGGGGCCGGGCGTATCTGCTGACGCAGCTGCGCACGGGCCACGATTGGCTGTCCACCTACCGCAAGAAGATTGGCTATGGCGACGACGACCGTTGCGATTGTGGCTCGCAAGAAACAGTCACCCACGTGCTTGTAGACTGTCTAAGGCTGGTGGAATTGCGGAGGAAGTTACGGAGAGAAGTGGAAGACGCGTTCAACAACGTGTCGAGTCTGCTGGGAGGCTCAAAACAAGGTGAAAAAGGTAAACCAGAAACCGTCTCGCGAGCCAAAACGATCCAGGCCGTGCTGGACTTTGCTGAGGCGTCACAGCGGTTTCGCAGCCGCGCGCTACGGGGGCAGCCTAATAATGGGAACAGCAATTAGGCCACGAGAGGCCTTGACGAGGCTCTAAGGTCGGTTTCAGGAAGTGGATCACTCTACATGTACGCACAGGGATATATATAGTTGAGGTAGCCTGCATATCGCTTTTCATTGCGAGGGGTCAGGGTAAATAAAACACACACACACACACACACTCCTGTAACATCCGTCGACATCTTGCAACCAACGAATGGCATACCTATTTTTCATGCACGCATGTTTGCAGTGGCTGATTCCCCCGACATTGAAGGATTGATGTCAATGGCCATCGATCTGACCTGCCGCACCCTCATGGAGAAACTTGAACAGGATGTGTTTGTCTCACTAGTTCGCGAAGCTTCTGCCCAGAGGGTTAGCTCAACTAAGTTGAGATCCGTTTTAGTTGATATCCTCTTCGATTCTATCATCCGGTCTCCGGTCTGGAACTGGGACTGGATCATGGACCTCTACGACGAACCGCGTTTCGGCAGAGACCTGCTGTGTTCAGGCCAGTTAAGAGAGAATTGAAAGACATCGGAAATTTTTATACGGGCGACGAAGCCGTCAAAAAACGCGGTGCTGAAAGGTTAGCAAGAATTAATGGTTTCAATGACCACGAGAAAATCCGGGATGACGACGAGCAAAACCCAGTCCGGCTAGTAGATGTGAATACGCACGAAAAGACTAATTATTTTTAATTTCTGAAAAAAGACCAAGCTAAGAGAGTACCATTTAAGTCACCATGTTTATACAGTATGCCTTGCTTTTGACATCTCTCAATGAATCATCGTCTTGGCGGGACGCGAAGGTTACATTTTAAGCAAAGTTCTCCGGGCCGCGGTGATCCCGAACTTGGTGTTACGGGATTTTAGTGGATCAGAAGACCCTAAAGAGCCCTACTATATGACGTATTGAAAATGGCTCAACGACTCGACGATCACCGATCATTTTTCCCTGAAAGCCTACAAAATCTTGTTGCCTTATATCAACTAGACGATTATTCGACTAGCCTCTACATAAATCCCCAATTCAAAAAGGTCATCATTTATCATGGACCATGACGAGCAAAATGCCTCAAAACAATCACAAGAAAAAGTTCTTCATTGGATCAATTTATTCACGCTCGAGAATGGCAAGTAAGCTTCAGATAACCTCAGAGCTTTCGCTGTACTGATCAGTCGACTGAAGGGAAGTTTGCAACACCTCGCAAGCCGAGAAATACAAAAGTATGATCGATGAGCTGTTTGGGAAACATGGAAAATCGAAACCTCTAGGCAACAAAATGCCCAAGCTCGGAGAACAATATCATTAGGCGATGATGGTATAATTATGCCCTCTTCCGGCTGCATTTACCAATTATGTATGCATATCCCTGGACGTTACAGTAAGACCAGGGTAAGAGGGTGTAACCATGTCTACCTCGGAATTGTCGTCGGGTTCCAGTGAGACTATCCTGTGTTGCAGCACGGCTGAATGTTGAATCTAGACATCCCTCCGAGGATCCATTGGATGAAATCCATAAATCACAGCTGGAGCACTGGATACTTTGCACTATTATAGGAGATAAAGAAATCACTACCTAAGGAGATGTTTTCAGTGCCGCTACTTTACTTTCATTTTCAATATTGATACATGAAACGCCAGTTCCATTCCTCCTGTCTCCAAATTACCTGAAATGTGGTCTTCAAATTATTCTTCCCAGCCATGGAGACATGAGGAAGCCGCCATGAGAGGGCAAGAGGGGTCCATTGCAAAAAGTACAAGGCTCATTCAATAGTGCTGTGACATAGAGGTCACTTCACAGGCCACTTCACTGCTGAATGAAAAAAGTTCAGCCTCGCAAGGGATCCCCCTTCCCCCCAATCGAGGCTTCCTGATGTCTCCATGACAAGGAAGGACGATTGAAGGCAGGGGGATGATCATTCGGGCCAGGCGAGGCCGAGAGCAGTGAGAACCCTTTCGAGATCATCGCCGTTCTTGGTGGAATCATAGAAAACTGCGCCAATTATGGCTTCCATGGTGGTAGGCATGGTCTTCTTTCCGGCCGTTTTGCCCCACTGGCCCGGGTTTTTCACGATGAAAGGGTCAAGTCCAATGGCAATGCCTCGGTCATACAGATTGTCATTGGAGGCCACCTTGGTGATGACGTTCTGAATCTCCCCTGCCAATGATATCATGCTTAGCATACGTGCAGAATATTCATTGCTAAGGGAGGGGGGCTCATCCGGAGTTTTGTTCCTCTCTCGGCCTTGATCAACGAGAAACTGGCGGAGTGTCGCATCGCCAACCAATGCGAGCGTCTTTTGACCGTGGTGGTTGAAGATACTAGGGCCTTGAAGAGCCTCGCGAATCAAAGCTCGGTCGGTAAAACGATAGGCTTTTCCGAGAACAGAATTCTCGAAAACCTCGATTTCTTCGTTCGAGGGGAGATGCATGAAAATAACCATGGTGAAGATTCAAAGTGTGTTGATAATGATGATATGGTGGATTATCGTGTCAGATGTAATGGGTTGTATGGGAAGTAAGAGAGAAATGAGGAGTACAGTAAAAGAGAGCATCTTATAGAAAATGGAGAGGTAGACAGGAAGGCAATCCAGGTGAGCGCAGCCCGACAAAATGGCTAGGAATAGTGATGTTGGGCTAATGCGGTGCTCGGCCTCAAGTCTCTGTTGGCCGTAACCAGTTCATAAGGTATCCATGCATGTTATTCCTTGTCTGTAGCAGCTTGCAGGTGCATGGAAACGTGACCCAGTATCCAGCTTGTGGCAGATCATCATTGCAAGGGGTCAGGGTAAATGAAAACACACACTTACACTCCTGTAATGTAACCCCCATGTATGGAATTAAAACACTGCCATGTCTATAATACCTAAAAAGGGAAAGCCAATCTGAATCTAGGTTGCCTGATAGTTCGCAACACCCACCCTCTTGAGTAAGCCTTACTGCATGTTCCGAATCGAGCGCCGCTTGTCGCGCTGCGTCGGGCTTTTATGCATGTTGGCGCATGTATCTTCACATGCATTTCATTGGTATGGCGTAAGTTTTAAGCCACCGCCCCCACCACACCAAACGAGCGGTCACGATCTAAGTCCCAGTAAGAGATAGTTATGTTGACCAAATTTGACAGCCAGGTTTATCTGCAATCACCTTGAAAAGTCTATTGACAGTAATGATGCATACATACATACCTGGTTCATTTGGCGCTAGCGTCCAAGCAATGCGCAGGTTTGATTGCTGTATTTGTGACTCCGTGCGACGTATGGTACATGGTACTAAAGCGCCAATTACCACCCACACCCTGCAACCACTTTTTCCATTGCCGTACCCACGTCTCTCATATACTCTGCTAATTCTTCTCCTATCATCATTCGATCGCGGTTCTTTTCATCCCCCGGAGCAACTATCAAAAATGGCGCGAAAATCTAAAAAGTGGACTGAGGTTCTCCTCAGGAAGGCGATTGGTGACGCTATCTATAGTCGTTATCTACAAAACCAGCCAATCGATCGGGAAGCCATCAAGACAAAATACTTGAACAAGAACCCGAATCAAGCAGATTTTATCAGAGCATTTGTGGACAGGTAAGTATATCACTGTAACTTATATGTCCAGTTCCTAAAGACAGCCTAAGCTACGCGAGTCAACTCGAGTTAATGTCGAGAAGCGACAATCGAATCGAAATCGAAGGATCAGCTCAAGTCCAAAGCATACCGTTGCCCATTCCCACTCTTTCACAGCGGTCTCAAGGTCAGGCCCAGCATCCTGTATCATCCGGTATGCCTCGGAAAATATTAGAGGGGCGGCACAGCATAACTGGCTTTGGTTAACGCGCTCTACGTAGATAGAGGTCAACACTCTCATGGCCGTCTCGACGCAGCCCTCGATAACTTTGAGGCAGCAAGCTTGGTCATTGACAGTGATATCGGCCGCATATACAATAGCCGTCTACAAGGTAGAGCTTCCTTTTCCATTCCCTTTTTGTCCGAATTTGCGGTATTCTAAATATCTGGCAGAATTCAAAGATCACCTTGCCGGCAATCTCCATAGGAGGGAAACGGGGACCTCTCAGTCCTTCCCCTCCCTAGAGATACAGTGGCAATTTTTGAGCTTTATTGAAGACCAAAGAGAAGAGGCAATGAATGATGTGCTCAATGAACATGCCATCCTAGTATCTCCCTTGCTAGAAGGGCTCGGATATTCTTTGCCTTCTCAATGTATGCTGCTCGGAAATATTGTCAGTGGGAATGAATTATCAGATTGCAGAGTAATGTTGAATGCGAATATTCCATTTTCTGCCTTTGTCTGCGGCGTTCAAGGGAGTGGCAAGTCGCACACCACGGCTTGCATGATCGGTATGTTTCCTATCTTACCCATAGACCACCAGTCATTGATATTACCTTAGAGAATTGCTCTATGAGTCTGCCGGAATTGGGAACCCTGAACCAGTCTATATCGACTCTTGTGCTGCAGTTTGACGAGTATACATCAACAACGAGCTCACAGCCCAGCGAAGCCGCCTTCCTAGCCAGTGCTCTACCGCAATATGCTCATGAACAGCCGGTCCCACTGCGTGTCCTTGTCTCTCCAACAAATCTTTCTAATCTCAGGGGCATGTACTCCCAGATTCCCAATATCGAGATTCAGCCGTTCAAGATTCACCCTAAGCACCTCAACATAAGCATGATGTTGTCGCTTATGTCTGTTTCTCAATCTGGCGGTATCCCCCTCTACATGGCACAGGTTGCTCGGATCCTTCGGGAAATGGCGATGGAAAGCGGCGGCTACTTTGATTATTCTGACTTCAGGAGCCGTCTGAACAAACTCAAGCTTGGCCGTTCTCAGACACCTTTTCTATATCAAAGATTAGATCTGCTTGACTCTTATCTCGACCATTCTGGCACGGGCACAAGTGACTACTTTATTGACGGCGGTGTCACTATCTTGGACTTGTCGTGCCCTTTCGTCGACCAAGGCACTGCTTGTATTCTATTTCGTATCGCCATCGACTTGTTCCTCTACGCTCACCCTTCCCGAGGAAAGATGATCGTAGCTGATGAGGCACACAAGGTGAATTCTTCTTATTGAGGTATCCTGATTATTCATTAACATCAGCGGGTAGTATATGACCGATACATTCGCTGCGAAGGCGCTTATCGAGACTTTCCTAACTATTATCCGCCAGCAACGACACTTGGGAGTGCGTATAATCATTTCCACGCAAGAGCCGACGATCTCACCCCAGCTGATTGACCTCTGCTCGTTGACTATAATCCACCGATTTACGAGCCCTGAATGGTACAAGACAATCGAAAAGCATGTTCCGATGGGTGGTGAACTAGCTCCACATCAGGCCGACAGTGCTAGAAAAGGTCTCTCTCGAGTTGCCAGGCTCCGAACTGGCGAGGCGATTGTGTTCGCTTCATCGGCGCATCTCGTTGGAGAGGATGGCAACATCATGAATACGCAGCATGAAACATTCAAAGTAATGATTAGGAAAAGGATTACATGGGATGGTGGACGGAGCATTGTTTGCATTCGCTAGACGAGCTACTTTTTTCACTTGGAGGTTATGCTTTCAGTAGTTATTACGAACATACAGCCGCGACCAACGTGGAACTATACAAGCCCCCAGAGGTTCTACATTCGTATCTGCAGGTTAATGTGGAATTTGATATGAAGGCCGAAGGGGTCTGGTTGCATGTTCATGCCCTTTTGAAACGTACTATTTGTGCTTTGTTCAGAATTCTGTGTGATAGGATTTATGATCAGATCTCAACTATACGCTCTGATCCACATGGCATGCCTTGATGGGTGGTGGGGTGGGTATATCCACAGGTGGCCGTCGATGATCGAATTTCGGGGCAAACTTTCCTATCTTTGGAAACGCATATTGGGTGGTCGGTATCGATGCTGAACGACTCAGCTTGCATGAGGTAATCTTGTGAAACTCACATATTAGAATTCCTGATGACTTTGAGTTCGAAGACCGCCTTTTCCCTAGATAACCCACCCAGTACTACGATTACAATGGTGAGCATTCGCTCGGTCGCATACCATATCAATGCGCCACCAGCTTTGATTGTCCCACCCACTTGATATATCCAAGTTTCTCACATACTCTCAATTAACGGGGAAATTCATCATACACACTGTGAATTGTACTGTGGAGAGAAGTGGTAGCCAGTTTTATCTCACATGAGGGGTAGTCTCCGCTGCCAGAAATAAGGAAAGAATTTTTGCTGTTCAACACTTGATCAGTAGCCTCCTTAAAGACTGGCTATTGGCGGCGTCTCGATGTACCATTTCCTTTTACGGTATTGTAAACAGAGCGCCGATTCAATTCAATACGCATAACAAAATAGATCAACAAATTTGCCATCGTGTACGAGCCCCTTCCTCCTCACCGTGTCCCGAAAGCAGCAATACGAATTTCATTTGCCCTTTCAAAAGAAATATTACTATTGGAAGAGATTTCTGAGCTCCTGCGAGCCTTTTGGCAACTTCAGGATCTCTTCCGGTGCCAGTGTTTCTAAAGCAAAAAGATTATTCCTCCTCGTATCCTCGTAAAGAATATGATTAAAAACTTGCTCTGCTGCCTTGCTAATCTCCCGAAGAAGACTTCCTTGCGATTCTTCGAGGACCTCCACAAAACTTTCAAATGCCTCATCCGCCGGACCAAGAATACTTGCATGATCAGTTTACATTTTGTCACGATTCCATAGTGATATCGACTCACATTTTTTCGATAATCATGGGGCTCGCCACGTCACCGGACCGATCGAAATGAAGTAGGCTTAGAACAGCATCCCCAAAGCAGTCCGCTAGAATGTGTAGGCGTTGTCCAAATTTTCGAAATCCCAACATTTTTCGGCGCCTGCTCTTGTAAATAGCTGAGTTATGCTCCAGGTCTGGGAAAAAATCCCTCATCATTTTATTGACTGCTGTAGCCGCTTCAATCTTCCTCGGGTTGCCTCTTGCTCTCGGCTGGCCAATAACCTCATTGTTGGACGTTAACTCAATAGCGAATCTTGAGGTTCGCCCCATTGGACTGCAGGTGCATCGGTAGAAATGCAGGATATGGTTACATCGCAAGATCTGGAGAAATGCCGCGTTGTCTTGAATTTCGCCGATGATTTCGAAGCGTTCGTAAATGGTCAGCTCACGTGATACCCATCTTCGCCTTTGAACGCTAGGTCCTTGGTCCACCAGCTCTCTCGTGTATTTCAGGGCCGCCCGAAGAGCAACAAGTGATTGAGAGCCACCCACCAGAGCTAAGAAGGTACTTAGACTGGAGAACGTCTCTGAACCCAGATTGAGTAGCTTGTCCTCAATTTGGGGTCTGAAGTAAGTGTCTCCGGGTAGCGGCAAACCCAGAGCCCGGGCCATCTCAGCTTCTCGACACAGTGATGATCTGAATCCAATATCAACACATCTAGACTTTCTCTTTCGTGCTTCCATACCCCTAGATTTTTCTCGCTTGCGTGGAAAACGCTGATATGAGGATTGTTGGTTCGCAGGCTGGGCTGAGAAGCCATGTGGCTGGTGCAAGTCAACACTAACCGAGAGGTGATCGTTTACCCTGCGAGGAAGAGCATGCTGTTCAACTTGCTCAGGTGGGATCTCTATCTCATGGAGTTTTTCATGGTGCATTCCCTGATGCGCAAAAGGATGATGAATCCCAGGGACTTGCCTCTCTAACGCCCGTTCACCTGAGTCTTCGGTTAAAGGAGACTGCGAACTCGAGCCGGCAAAAGAAAGCCCACCCGGAATGGTATCTTTCAACAATCCATTATCATTGTAAAGGCATTCAAAGTTAGACAAATCCCCTAGATCCGGGGTGGTCGGAAAATCTGGCAAAGGGGGAATCTCTCGACTCCAAGCATCGATTTCGCTAGTCTGGGCGGGGTCACTATCCACCAAGGAAGGCAAAAGTAGCTGATTACTCTGCTCGTCTTTGAATATTTCCATCAAGTTGAACTGATCAAGCTGCTCATCTAGGACGCTGTGCACAATTAGAGATCTATTTAGCACGTTCCTGGGGTTACTAGAGGCAACCTACCCTAGAGAGTAAAGTCCCTTGGCCACGGACATGAAGCATTTTTTCCTGAGGTATATGGCTCCGATAAGGGCACTTGTCGCTATCGCAAGAACGCCGGACGAGCGAGCGCCAGGCCGAGAATCAAATTTCAAGTGCTTGTCAATGCCAGTACGCTTTGTAATTTCTGCACGGTGTTGGATACCGTTGACACGGGATTTGAGCTTCGATGTAAAATCTTGAGAGTGTCAGTTTGGAAAGACTCGAACGGATTACCAATGGATACCTCGAGATAACGCAGCGAAGGCAACACTGGAATCAATCAAGAACCCGGTCGCCGCCAAGCCCACTTGGGCTAATATTCTGTTTCCATCCGGCAAAAGTTCTTCTACTCCAGCAGCGGTGAGCGCAACGTCTATGTCCGAATTAGTTAATTCTGGACATGCGACTAGCTTTCGAATGAATTTCGCAGAATCCTCGCTCATTTCGAGTGTACGAAAAATAAGATAAAGAAGATGATTGTTAAAAGGTTCCAGATGCAAAGGTTATGAAATTAGGCAAAGGCGAGTTTTGACATCAGTCGTTCATTATGTATAGAAATATGGCCATGTTGGCGAAAGGAAAAGTGTCATCCCCAGCAAACCGTGCGTCTAGCCGACTGGACACTCTTGCATAGAACAGCGCATATCCACGTCGTGGAACTTGATTGGTTATCCCTGGAGGAAGTTTGGCGCCGGGACTGCAAATTCGACGTATCATATGCATGAATTGGTAATAAAAAGGCAAGAGACAGACGTCTACTTAAAATTACATGTAAAGGGACAAAAGAAAGGAAAACAACATCTACTCTACAGATTGCGTATAAAGGGAATACAAAAGTTCTTTTGCTCTACACTGTTTTGGGGGCAGGGATAGAAGCGATGCTGGGAAGGGCAGACAACTAGGCCTACCAACTCCAAATGGCACAACCCTCTTACCCCGGCTAATCTTAACTCATTGGCCAACGTCGCAAGCAGATTTGCAAGGACAGAATCAGGTAGTTGCTGGTCCATAAACAGAGGATGGAGATGAGGCTTGAGAGCCATTGAAACATAGCTTTAGGTTCTTTATCCTTTGAGACATATGAAGTAAACTGGGCCTGGAATCGACAACATAGGAAGTAATGCGAGTCGAGTCCAGGCCATCTGTTTCTATTGAGCCAGTGATCAAAATGCTACGGCATCCGCAGGCGGACTCAACTATTTGAAGACCACGGTACTTTGTCAGCCTCTCTGCATTCATATTCTTTGACAAGATTCGCGCCTGGGAAGCCGTGAACGCTAAAGATCTCTACTACAGTACCATTGCTGACATTGAGTGACGCTGCTTTCCAACATGATAGATTGTGACCATGGAAGCCCTGTCACGATGGAGAGCACGTCCAATTCTATGCTTTGGCAGTGTAAATAAATAATTGAGTAAGAAAGTTCTTGCATTCACAATAACTAAAGTCTATTTCTTCTGCAGCGATTGCAAGCTCGCAGCCTGCATTGATGACATTCAAATATGTATTCTCGCAGATGATGAAAACATTCTTCACACCGATGGGGCCCTCGTACAAATTTCCATCGATCATGCTGGCACTCGTGGTTGTCTCGAAGCTCCTGAACTGTTCTTGCAATTAAAGTATCACGAATACTCTGCGCAGAAGTCGGTGCCAAAGCAACCGAGGGTGGCTCTTCCTGTGTCCCTTGAATATGAGCTTCGTCAATATCTGGCGAAATCTGTTCTCCCAATCGATATTCATGGATATTTGGCAGGGGAGGGGCAGCTCGTGGATGACCTTCTTCTCTATCCACAATTTGGTATGCACGTGCAAGGAGGCGATGTTCGTTCCATTGTTCACATTCACAATTTTTCCATTGCTCCCCACAATTGTAACAGAATTGGGCACCACAGTGGCAGCTATTATCATTCACTGTCAGAAAGCAGGGTAGTGAGGGTAAGATAGGGGCACAGACGTCATATGATTGCAACCGTGATCTAGTTCCACTAGTCGCCAGCAGGAATAACAGCGTTGCCATTCATTTTCTTGTGCCGCTAGTAACAGCTGCCGCATAGCAGAGTCATTCGGACAGTCGCCCGTATGTGCTCGCCCTTTGCAAGTTATACAAGTCGTGTGCTGGCACTCCGGACATGTGGCTACTTCACCATCGATATGGGATTGCTCAATAAAGACAGAACATATAGTAGAGTAGCAGTACGTTCTGTTTGGCGTTTCAAGCTCAATCTTTTTTTTCTCGTACAGCTGGGCGAGATCAGACTTGAGAAATATGCGAGCCGTGCTCAAATGGATGGGCTGGCTGCAGCACCTTGGGGGGAATAGCGATTCGTCTGTTATTGAGGCTCTGAAAAGAGCTTCCAAACAAGAGCGACAATACTCATGTTGACAGGGGGCCCGCGCCACGTTGAAGAACTCTGTATTATCTCCACAGGCAACACATTGAACCATTCGTAAATGTGATTGATGAGATCGTCGAGCTGCCCAAGCAGATGATTCGGGAAGGCCAGCTTCAGTACCAGTCATGCCTCCTTCCTCCCTTTTGTAGTATCCTTTCAAGCCGGACACATACAGAATCTCGAGTTTTTCCAGAGTCTCATCATCTAAACCCGCTGCTTTTGGCTCGAAATCATTGGGCGAGACAAGATGTTCACCTTCCATCCATTGACCCGCAACGATTCGATCTTTAGATGCGCTCTCTTCTTCCACTTGGGTTTCAGCCAAGATGCGCCCATCCGCTTGAATCGCGGCTGCAAAACTCATGACCATTCGCCTATCCTTGAGAGCATGTGAGACTGCTTCCAGTTGCTCTTTCTGTAAATAGAAAGCCAGCTCTTTGTCTGTAGGATCCCGAGATTTGCCTTTGAGGGTGTTCGAGAAAGAGGAGGCGTCTTGCAGTTGTATCTGGATAATCAGCTCAGCTGTAGGCTGATCCAGTTCTAAAATACAAGCCATCGAGACAATTGGAATGGATTGGGCAGATATTTTTAGGATGAAGCGATGGAGGTCATTGAGAAGCAACGTTGAGATGGATTATATGAGAAAACCTAAATGCTCACCGCAGGTTGAGTCTTTGGTACAGGTACGACATATTTACTTCCCCCACTGGTTGGATGCTCGTCTTGGCGACTGAACAGGCTCCGCTTGGTATGTATCGGACAGACTATAAGTTTCATCCAATCCCTCTCCCGAAGCTCAATCTTAATGTTAGTAGTACGTATCAAGACGTCTCGTCGCAGGTCTTTGTGTCTGTTCAAGTATCTACGATGAGTCGGCGCAAGCAACGGTATTTTTTTATTATTGGAAAGCTCAGAAGGACCTAAAAATCAATATGGCTGAAATGTCCACCCCTTCTACTCACGAACCAACACAATAGATCATCAGCATGTCTTCTTTTGGCGGTCAGCTTTGTAGATGGGTGTCCTTATTCAACTTATTATCAAGACTTAAGCCAAATTCACTCCCCCGATCGCCCTTTCGAAGCCAGCAATAAATCTCTCGAGAGCCTCGTTCGCCACTGAAAAGGCTGAATCACAGACTTTGACGGCCAACTGATTCCTGACTCTGACTTCAAGATACGCAAGCACCCACAGTCCTCCAGATTCTTCGACCAGGCCTTTGCATTCATTCCTAGCTTCCAAGAGCAGAGTCTTTTTCATTGGGTTTCCATAGCTGGAAACGACAGGAGTTTTCCCCGCTAGACATAATGCTAAAGATACAATATTTGAAGAAATGTGTTCATTTACCCCGACAATCTGATGGATCACTTCAGTATTTTAATGAACCTTGTTTCGAGTAATTGTTATTGGTTTCCAACTTTTTTGATCGAATATTTGCAATAATCAGCTACATACAGCAGAATTCGAAAACGGTTTACCCCTCAAGTACACTCACATTGTTTCTCAGCTCGTACCCAAAACGGTTGCTGTCTTGAGTTGGATAAGTGATAAGATAACATCCAATGATAGGCTAGGGCTAGTTATAAGCTAGTGAGAAACCAGAAAGACCGCGTTTCGGGTACGAGCGGGGAAACACAGTATGTGTATCTGAGGGATAAACTATTTCCGAAATTGGCTGTTCCAACGAGCTATGCTGTTGGGAGAGATGTGGAAAATCTTGTAGTTCATGGGTGGTCATGGCCCCAAGGTACTCTTATGCTGGTATGATTTCGCGACCGGAGAATGATGTGAATAGGGTTTCACTTCTTTGTTTGCATTCCTTCAATCAACCATCCAGCTCTGACTCGCTACAGAGTCAACCTGGCAATCAATTAGTAACTCAATTCATATATGTTGGCTTGGGAGGGACAAACATTTCTAGCCGAGTAGCCCAATCCTCCCCTGATTTGGAGCAGTGCCCAGCTCTACAACCCTCGCAAAGTTGACTGTTATGAGGACCTCTGCTTTCGCCGGATGATGAAGGCCTCTCCACCCGAATTCCATTCCATTTCTTAATCCAGTAAGCGATTCTCTCGGCGTATGACTGGTCCAAAACCGGTCGGCTCAGCGAGCTGCAAGCTTTGCAGCGTTGGTGGTATACCCTGGCATTGTACTTTTGCTCTGGATAAAGACGAATTGTGATAGCGATCATTTTGCTAGACCAACCTTTGGACTTGCATGCTGGTTTATTGCACAGAAAACGGCCCATAATATTTGTGTCGCGCATTCGAGTGCATTTCGTCTCATCATCATCCTCGTAAAACTCAAAATGAAGACCTGCTTCGACTAGCAGGCTAGATATCTCATTGTGAAGAGCTTGATACATGGACCATGTCGTAACAGGCATTGTGTTCTTAGTCCGAGGAGGGGCAGTTGAGGCCAAAGCTGCAGCAGGAGAAGCCCTGGGGTTCGATTCAATTAAGAACTCCTCGCGCCACCGCCGGCGAAACAATTCGAGCTCGGCATTATCCTCCATGATCGTAGTTGACAGTTCACTTTAGGCACAGACAAAGAGCGGTAATAAATGATGCATGCGCTTCAAAAAACAGTGGAAGACCGGAAGGGGGCGTAAATTTATACTAATAACTGAAATAGCGGTAGCAAGCTTATTCAAGCAAACTTAAATTGAATGCACTACATTAAAATTTGTAGAGGTATCTATCTAAAACCAAAATTACAGACTGATGCACACAGCTCGTGGCTCAGGCACCCGCCTCGATGCAAAGCAATCTCCACGCACTCACGGTTGAACAGAAATGAGACAGGCCAATTGCAAGCGCCGTTATAGAAGCGCAGGCATTATAATGGAAAAGATAAAATTCAATATGTGGGATAGATTCTGAGCCAGGTCATGTTGTGAGGATTCATACAATACATATCATAACAAGAAAATATTTGAATATCAGGGATAATCAAGGGACAGTACGTAAAAATTTTCTCCTGGCCCAAAGTCTCGGCATACCTAAGAAAGTGGCTGATCGAGTGAGAAATTGTCTAGTAAAATGCGTGTTATTGCTTTCGAGAGACACTGAGCAGAGGTGATTACATGCTGAACGCTCAGGCTGCAGATCTATTTCCAAATTGAATTAAAACCATACTCTGTTTATATTACCGAAAAAGGGAAAGCGCATCTGGCGAGTTCAACAAGGCTAGTATGTGCCAAACGTGTTATTCACGGACTTGAATACATGAAAAGGCCTTCCGACGAATTTCGCCTTAGTAATCCACCCTGACTACAACTTAGAAGGGCAGCGCTTCCGACAGGGTTGCTTCAAGTAGATTTTATTTCTATCGCCTGATCTCTATTTATACTACAGCTTACTCTGAGAGCAGTTCGGGATTCGAGCAAATCAGCTAAACCGCGAATTACATATCATAATAAACTTCTCAAAATTTGAAGGCGAGAGAAGACGATAATGATGTATGTAAATATAAATGGATATTCAGCCGCCTCACAGTCAAACTTACAGTAAGCCGCAAACCTACACAGATCAATCGAATCCTAAATTTTCCATTTCCACCTAAAACATCTTCGCTTTTTGACTTCCTAGAAACGAACAGCATCGAGAGCTCCGTGACTCGACACGAAAAAACACAAAAAGTTTACAACCTCCCATTGGTTCTCGGGTTCGTGCATTGTATTTACCAAACTAACCTATGACAGAGCCGCTTCAGTGTCGTTGCACTGTCAGCCCGGTTATTTAATAGCTTTACGAATAGAAAATCGGATGATCAACAGGCGATTAGGGTATGTAGCTGGGAACAGCCGTGACCAGAGAGTCGCCGCCGCTTACCCCACCAGCCTGTGTATTAGAGTTTGCGAACATTGGAGTGTCACGCCTACATATCTTTGACGAGTGATGGATTGACGAGTGATGGATTAAACAAATACACACTGGGCAGTGGCTTTTCTGGTCAAGATTAACACTTCATCATGGCTGGAGGAAAAGTAAGATCTGTTGATAGAAATACTGGGGGCGGGTCATTCAATAGGTTCATTGGCCAGATTGTATGGGCGACTGAGGGGAGGAAGGGGTGATTTGACTGGGTAGTTACCATGGTCAACTAATTTCTATGCAAAGAATGTTTTTTACTGTCATTCAACCGGTTTGACCTCACAGTTTGGTTTGTTTGGTTATATTGGGATCTTAGAGAATTGTGATGATGTCCAAAACGAGTAACTACAAACAACTGTTTACTTCAACCCTCGGCTGAGCAGATTGTTCATTTCATCGGATCTATACTCCACTCTCTCTCCCTGCCATTGCCATTGCCATCACTTGATTGCCTGTTTCTTATTACAGTTCTCTAGTTACTCCATGCAACTAACTTTTCAGTTGATTTAACCACCCATCCGCACTTTCCTGCCAAAATTTAATTTCTGACTTCCCAGCCACTTGGTTGACCAGCGCAGTAGAAAACCCTTCTTCTGTGTTTTGTTTATTTGATTCTGGCCCTCTGTGTATTTTGTTAATTTGAATCGTGTTACCCAGGCCGCTTCGGCATTCTGTTCGTACGGTACAACCCTCCGTTTGGCATTTCAATGAAAATGTCGCCTGAGATATTAAGATCACAAGAACAAAAGTGACCGGCGCAACATAGTCCAGTGTTATTTTTAGGATGGTTGATTGATGGTGATAAATTGACCCACTTATTTGGCAAGGTAATAACCAGCTGTTTCTAGATGAAAATTAAATATTTCATTCATACGGGAAATAGACAACGGGTAAAAATTCGAAGATTTTGTAAAATTGACTTACCAGTACCACCACAAGCGATGCCTTCAATGATCCGTTCACTTGGATAAAGAAAGGCCGTCAATACCAGCCATTAAACAGACTGTGATATTTGAGCTATTGTGGAAGATCATGGAAATGCACGATTTTTCAGTCACTAGTACATAACTCTCCATTTCTCACTTTCCAATCATTCCGCGCATCGGCTCACACACTATTCTTGCAATAAGCCGATTGTACAATCTCTCCAGGGTCGGATTGTATTAATATGCAATCAACATATTTGCAGTGACATTGAAACTAGAATGAAGTAAGATCTGATTATGCCAATCAACATCTATACCTATTCTTTCCAATCTATTGCATCCTCTCCCTGATTACCCCATTTATCATTCTAGACCTAAAAAACGATCATCGCGAATTATATAGCGCTGGTCCAAAGGGAGGAAGGGATTGTTGCGCATAATATATCGACATTTTGCAAAATAGTTGAAGGCAAGCGTTTATTTATGACCCCGACTGTTACACGGTAGAGAATTTATCGCAGCCAACAAATAAATAGCGATTTATTCTAGATATACAAGACGCAGTGCGGCCGTGATATGCGCCTCTTGGGCTGCTTCTGAGATTCGAGAAGCAGAGCGGTCGCGGTGTACACCTTTTCGGCTGCTTCTGAGATCGTTGAATCTCAGATCGTTTTTAATCCACTATAAATACAGATCACACATTTGTATTTCTAGAACACGCAGTTGTCCGATTGGTACCATGTTGAAGCCACGAGCGGCTAGTACGCGGTGGACGCATTGGTACGAAATCCGCGGGGCTGTCGTAAGACCGTATAGGGAGCGGCGAAGCCGGCACATAAACCCTGCCTCTTCAAACCCTTCGGGCCACTTCATGTGAATGGACGAATCTACGTCACCATGTAAGAATGCAGCGACAGCATCGGATTGGTTAAGCTTCCACCCACGCAACACGGGGCTGGCGATGATGCAGCGGGCCGAGATAGAAGAGATGATGTTGGCGTAGGACGCGGATAACTAAACTAAAACATTTAGCCAGGATTATGAAGAAGAGCAGGAAATCAAAGGAGGGCCAGGCTCGCGAGACTGAAGGTGGGACTTGTGGCCGTCGGGCGCACGGCCATGATTTCTCCCCAGAGACTTTGGTACATAACTCGAATCCGCGGCTTTCAGGGGTCTATCGTCAGATAAATTTAGAAGATTCATGTATCTATTTCTATGAAGGATGCAAGTTGTTTCTTTGCCGCTTGTTGGCAATTAGGCCAGTGCTTATCACTATGGTCCCAGTCTTCAATAGCCAGAAGGAAATAGTTCTTTCGCTCAATGACTATTTGATAGAGAAGCTGGATACGAATATTTGCAGTTTCTCGGCAATTAATTATACTAAATCCTGATAGAATATGATAGAAGAGGGAGAAGAGAAATTTCGCAAAAACTACATATACGCACGTCGAGCTGATGCCTGAGATGCACAAATTACTCGGAAGCCCCCGGGCCGAATAGTGGGGATGACCTCATCAACTAATTCGACCTCGGGAGGTCAAGTGCTTAAACCCACACTTCCAAAGACTTACATAGCATATCAAAATGAGCCCCTCTAATCGATACTTCTACCGTTGTTTCTCGGAAGAAAGTGCTGGTGGCTTGACATGCGGCCTGAGACGCGTCGGTCCTCGATTATCCCAATCCGAACTCTCCCTACATTTCGAGCTTCATAAAGTCCAGAAAAACAGGTATCCAACCGCTCTAGTCTCCGTCAGTGACCGTCCCATCGAAGCTCTCCACCGTGCTTTTGTCAAGCACTATAACGATGGAGAGGACTCAAGTACCATATGGATTGCCATCGTATCAGTTCCAGTCACTACGGCTGCTGAGAAACCCTACCACCATGCCCAACAGCTTGCTGATAGGGCCGTCCAGTTCAAGCATGAATACTTGTTCGAATGGCAGATCCCAGAACAATTTGTGGTACATACCATCTCAGTCCAGACACTTCTTAGCCGAGGGCTCGACCTAAAAGAGCATCTCGATCATGGTAACGACGAAAGCTCTTTACCCAATCTTTCGACATTCATGACCAGGATGGCCGAAGGAATTTCGAATTCTTCGCTTGATGGCCATGGCTTTGGCATGTATTTAGCACACATAGCACGATGCTTCGGTGCCAGGGCGCCAGTGCTAGAAATCGCCTTGCAGATTTTGAGTGATTGCCCCCGATATTTCAGTGTCGTTACTAAGGATGGCTCCAAGAAATGGCAACCCTACACCGAGGATTTCTGCTGGATATTAGATGGTATTGACGAGGGCATATTCGATTTCTGGCTTGCGGACAGCACTTTCATTCTCGATCATCGGAATTTTGTGGAATGGTCTAAGTCTGTGAGGAACGAAGTGGAATGGATGTGGGTGGATTACAGTGTGGACTTCTATCATGATATTTGCACAGGGGAAAAATCGGATTATGTTGGTAGAGAAAGGCAAAGATTAACGAAGTATGAAGAGAATATCGAGGCAGAGATCGAGGAGGAAGCTGTGGCCATAGGCCTTTGACATGCTATCTATGTTTGAACGTGATACCATCTTCTATGTCGAAACGAATGTCCTTTCACAAATGATTTTACAGTAGTAGTAGTATTAGAAGCAACAGTAGGATTCACCTTATACCCTGAGATATGTGCAATGCTGAGACCTACTAAAAAGGAAAATGACTACGCAGCAAATCATATGTCAAAATCGTAAATAGGCCGAATTGTAACTAGCAGGCTCTGGCCTCAAAGAATGTCGCTCCATGGCCACCATAGTCTCCGTCAATGCCGGTCTGCAACAAACCATGGAAGTCGACACTAATCCATCTGAATCATGCGCTGGTCCCCTGTAACGCAACATTCCATCGCTGTAGTATTCACGGGTTAGAATTTTGATATTCAGAAGCCAATTTGCTGCATATGCACCATTCATTGGGTGGGGTAGTCTAAGCTTTCCTGATTGCAGATTGGGCACCCGAACAATGTGATACCCGAATGTCCATGGTATTTTGCAACCAGCCGAATGAAAAAAGTTGGGGGTTTAGCCTGCAGACTAGGATCCATAGAGCGTGCGAAAAATAATTGTGATGAGATAATACAAGATTATCAGCCTCTTTGTGTGGCTCTACTAGTCTATTTCACACTATAGACTTATCCCCGTCACCAATGAACTAAGATATGTTCACTACTCTGTTTTGTCAGATTGCCATCGAGCATATATGTCGTTAGGGATTTATGCTGAGTATATGATCTATATGGCAAAAGGTGTAAGAGGCAACCACCGACCGCGCCAATTTCGCGTCGGACAAAGGTGACTACATGCAGCACTTGCTTGTAGTTAGCAGAAAAACGCAGTCATGGGCCAATAAGCAATTTTAAGACATGTGACATATCCAGTATCAGAACAAAGTACATATGTATGCGCATCTGACCAATCAGACGTGGATGCGACCGAGCAAGGCAAGCCAATATACGAGAACAACGCATCAGCATATGCGCCAAGCTGATAGAAGGTTGGCCACACGTCAAATTTGACGAGATTATGCTTCTACTTTCCTCTATTATGGTCACATTCCCAAAAAACCTACATTCATAGCTGATTCTCTATTGTATCCCAGACACGTTGTAATTCACTCTCGACATATACCCCTGTGAGTGTGTGTTGGCACCAATAAAGGGCTAATTAGATATTAAGTAGTCTGGCTTATAACTAGGCTATGCCACGCTTGGAATGCTCAAGCGAACTTATCTTACCATATCACCTATTCTCATGATATTTGTTTCATCAAATGTCAGACTTCAAAACGACCTCCGAGGGGATCCAGGAGATCTCTCGCTTCAGCCTCGAATCTTCTGCTCCAGCGGAAGCAACAATTACTGATGTGAGGCACCTGGCGTCTTATAACTGGATCGAAGCATCAACACCCACCATTGCTGTCCCGGGCAGTCCAGCTCAGTGGTCCGCTCCACCAGGATCCCGTCAAGTAAAGAAAGATAGCGGCCTTGTTTATATTTCTCAGAATGCCGCTCGTCATCCTGATAGCCCTCTAGAACCATTATTTCGCTCTCTTTACATTGAGCAACCCTCGTTCGACATAAACTCAATCGACATTGTGACCGATCGAAACAACATTCGTAAACTTCTGTCGTTTATCAAGCCGAATTTGAGCAAAAACGGTCTCGATGCATTCACCATCCAGGTGGACATGACCGCTCAGACTGCGATCTTCTCCCGTAACGAGACCGCCACCTATGAAGTTATTGGGCCGGGCGAATTTCGGGGCTTTGGACATGAATTCGAAAAAGCATATACGATCACTCAGGTCAAAGACAGCACTGGGCACCATCGCATAATCTCATACCGACTGGGTGGGCTGAGTTTCCTCGTGCGCCATGAGACAGACGGGTTTGTTGGAGATTTGAAATCCAGTGTAAAGGATGACGAATCAACAGAGGACAATCTTGCCAATATCCTCAATTCCTTGTCCCTCACGCCGGAAACACCTTCCATAGACGATCCCTCTATCAAATCCAAGTTGACTATCAAGAGAGAAGGTCGGATAGCATCACGGGAATCAACCCTAGAGATCAAAACTCGAGTTTTCCACAAACCTCTGGAGCTGACAGAGGTTGCGGCTCAACTCTGGATTTCTCAAACACCCAACCTTGTCCGGGCTTATCATCAACGTGGAATATTCTCGACACCAAAAGTGGAAGATGTCACTGGCGCGATGAAAGACTGGGAAAAGACCCACCAGGATGCTATCACAAAACTCGTTGCACTAATTAAATGCATTTTACGAGTGACCAGAAACTGGGGTGGTAGTTCCACTGTTAACTATGATCCCTTGAAAGACAAACTCGTGATCAAGAATAGTGAGAGAAAGAAGGTGCTCCCGGAGGATCTTTTTTCTCGATGGGAAATACCCATCCCCGCCAATGTCACCAAGAAAACCTCTGTGCATGGCCCAGAAGTTACTCAAAAAAGGCCCAATACTCGGAGACCTACTGCGGCACTTGACCAGGATGAAGTCCTTCCAAATGGTATCAAAGCAGAGCCGGCTAAACTTCGACCTTTTACTATATCCGCTCTTGCAAACGAACCAGAATCATAGAGCTCTCGTTGGAAACAGCGAAATCGATTCACTGTTCTGATTGGACTATACCTTATCAGATTTCTTACTTTGGTGAGGTCTGTCTTCCGCTTAGTTGAATTTACGGAAGAGTATAATGGGTATATCATGACACATGATGTTTTCATGTATGTTTTCGACGGATTGTTGATGCTGATTGCTATGGTCGATATGATTGTGTACCTCCCCACGGAGTATTTGGGACATGGCAAGGCTGGAACCAGACAGGACAATATATCCATGGACCGCGGTGGGTGTGGTTGCTGCAGTATAGAATGTGGTACAATATTGGGACTTTTACTTGTTGGAAAGTTTCGAATTCAGCTTTTTTTTCTATGGTGAGCGGGCTATAGGCACTATCTAAGTGAATTAAATCCTAGATCCCATTATCTGTCAAACTGGCGCGGTTTGTCTGGTGACTCAATGCTTCGAGTATGTGCGGCAAGCAAGGCTGGTAAATATCGTGTAGGTACAGGTTAGTTTGCTACTAATCCTAATACGAATATTGAGGTGTTTAGAACTGACCGAGAAGCAAAACGTGAGTGTTTCGAGGGAAGTACTGCTTTGTGATTTAACTCTCAATACTATTAATCACATGATATATTTGTACTGTAGTAATTTGTCCATCCATAATTACGACAGGTTTGGAACAAGCGGGGTTAGGCAGTAATGCACATAGGGCACATATGAACAAAAGAAGGAATTTATCAACGCATGAAGCAAACGCCAGAAACTTCAAGTAATTCTGGCTTGCTTATACATATACCTTTCTCGTTTGCCAAACTGAAAAGACTTTTGTTCTTCTTTTGGTGCCCAATCATGGTGAAGAAAAAAGGCAAGATTTCAGCCTTCTCGACCAAGGACCTAGAACCTGACCCCCCCGTCCGACAAACAAAGCAAGGAGGATCAGGAAACTATCCTTACTCTCATTGCTAGGTGAGAGCCGACTAGTCGGGTTAAGATCCTACAGCGCTTCACCATTAACGTTAAATAAGCCTGCATCTTAACTCGAGCTACAGTGATTTGACAATAATGTGCAAGGGTGAGGCTTTCTCGGCTCATAGACTTGTCGTGTGCCCAAGATCAAAGTATTTCCACCGGGCCTTTTATGGCGGGTTCAAGGTGAAACAAATCAGACCTTTGAGCTTCTCGTGAAGTGAGTCTAACAAGCGATGTTCGCTTCTAGGAAACCGAAGGGCAGATTTATCTGGACGAAAGAAGCCCGATTCTCATCGAGAAAGTGTTAGAATTTCTGTACACCGGAGATTACACCCTCGAACGCCTTGCAACAACACCGACGCACCCTGGCACAGGGGGTGCTGAACTACAAGAGATAAATACAAGGGTTCAGAATGGGCCAGTGCTGGACTCGTCATCCGAAGGATCTGGTATGCATAATCATACCACAGAAATGACGGAGCTTTTCAATGAAGCCGCTGTGACGGCTACAAAGACTACGGAGGGTCTGGTGGATGGATCAGCGGTAGAAAATAAACAGGCCCCGATTGACGAAAACCCCGCAGAGGGACTATTCGAGCAAGGTGTTGAGTTGGAGCCAATCGTCGATAAATTGGCTGACTGTCATCCATGCTACTTTCATGTCCGGATGTATGGCGAAGCAGATTACTTCATGATCAGTGATTTGAAAACCAAAGCAAAGGCACAATTTCTTGCATCATTCATGGACAATCCCAAAAGAGCAACCTTTGCGGATACGATTGAGGAACTCTATTCGACACATGCCGACTACTGTCATATTCGAAAACAGATTCCCCTTGATTTACTCGCAGATTGTTTCCCGAACCCTATTCTGAAACGCCCTAGTCTATGTTTGGATAAGCTGCAGATCCCACTTTGCCAAAAATAGATGTCTGTTATTACCGAACGAAAGAATGGTGTAAAATACTGTTTGTTCCAGTGATCTCATGGAACCTCTTTACCCCTCTTTCCTACTGTCCCAGGTCTCTGGCTTTCACCCATCGGCCTGAGCCTCGCCGGATATTCGTTTCGCATCATGGCACCAAGGTTACAGTACGTCCCGAAACTGGTGCAACCGCCTACACTCTTTGATTGATTCTCCAAATCCTATTGCCAAGACCAGCTACTTCAAAATAGGAATAGCCTTGGAGTATTATTCTTCCTTTATCATTCTGAAATCGATATGATACCATACTAAAATACATCATTGTGTACTGTAATTATTCAAAGAGTCTAAAAATTTCTATGAGCTTGCAAACAAATCACACAAATCAAGCAGCCAGGGTCTTGCGAAGTGGAAGAACTATCACTTTCCAATTTCGCATACAACTAGGCTCTATTGACTTAGTCAATCTCCAGCTAGTATCGCAGTACACACTTCTACTCAACACCTTGGTGGCTCTTACCTTGCATCTGAGCTCTTACCGGCACACTTTCTGAAATGGTTACTTCTTGGTGGTTGTTGCTGTTCTTCTCCAAGCTCTGCACCGATTGTGCGTTAAGTGTTTCCCCTCTTCCATATATACACATTTCTTGATCCACTCTCAAGTGGATCTCTGGTTTCGGACCCACAACCCCCCCTCATTTGCCAGATGCCCACGGGCAACCTGATAGGAGAAGTAGCTGCCAAGGTTCAGCGCCCAACAATCACCTGATCGTGGGGCTGAGCTTCCCTTTCTCGACATAAGAGCCTTTTCTCTGGCTGCGACAACCTCACTGCACACTGGCTATTAAGCATGAATTCCATATTATTTGGTGGCGAGAATTCGGGAACTCAGGTGGGGAGCAACCATGGTCTGATAACTCAAAACTATTTCTCATCTGGTGAGAGGCCTTAAGCCTTCTTCAAACCTGGGAAACTTGACTGACAGCCGCTTTTGCGGCCCAGATCGACTGGAGACCCCAGAGCAGAATACAGACAATGGTTCGCATCGCTCCTTACCAGTCAAACAGACTTTCCACTCACAACTGTGACAGATGTACTTGAGTCACTGGCATTCCCGCAGATGCTAGATAGGAGGGATAATATTGAGCCATGCCACACGAATACCTGCAACTGGATCTTAGAGCTGGAAGAGTACCAGTCTTGGAAGAGCCAGTCCCATGGTCTGCTATGGATTAAGGGCAAGCCAGGTGCTGGAAAGTCAACCTTGATGTTATTCCTGCACGACAAACTCGAAACATCAGAAGACGGTCGTCCAAGTATTCGCCTCGACTTTTTTTTCACCGCTCGGGGTACAGAGATGCAACGTACACCACTGGGAATGCTGAGATCATTGCTGAGCCAGATTTTCGACCGCGACCCGACTATACGTCCTTATATACGTGAGACATACGACCGGCGATGTAAGCAGTTTGGGTATGGCAAACATCAATGGGAATGGCCACAGGTGATGCTAGAAGAGTTACTAGCAAGTGCCATCCTGGTATCAGCCAATCGACATCACGTGGTTGTTTTTGTGGATGCTCTAGATGAGGCCGGGGCCCAGTCTGCTCAGCAGCTCGCTGAATATTTTCATCGGCTCGTTGATCGCGCTGCGAAAGAGAAGCTATGCATACAAGTTTGTATCTCATGTCGACACTATCCTATCATGAAAAGTGGACAGGCTATAGAGATAAAGGTCGAAGATCATAATCAGCAAGTCATTGCCTCATATATCCAGGATATCCTTATCCAGACTGAGACCAAAGACAGCGTTAGTCAGAAGATGAGGGAAATGCTGGTCGAGCAATTGACCCGGCAAGCAAATGGATTTTTCCAATGGGTTCATACTATACTTCCCCTCATCGAGAAGAAGATTCGTGAAAGGGAATCGTTCTACGACATCTGTTGCTGGTTACGCGAGGTCCCGGCCGGCCTAGAAGATGTTTACGCGTATATTCTGAGCAACGTGATTGATGAGAGGAACCGCGAGCAGTCATTTCTGTTCTTTCAGTGGGTATGTTTGGCTGAGCGACCGCTGACTGTGGCCGAGATGCGGTATGCTTTGGTGGCTAAGAATGCGCGGGCAACGTTGTCTCCAAAGAAATGGGAAACGATGTCCGGTTTCATCGAAAGCAACGAACACATGCTACAAAGAATCAAGGCTCTTTCTGGTGGACTAGCAGAAGTAGTCCCAAGTGCGGATAACACTGAGACTATACAGGTGGTACACCAGTCGGTCAATGATTTCTTGCGCACAAAAGGGCTTAAGATCTTGTATCAGAATTTGGATATGAGCACGTCTTCTGTGAACGAGGAGCAGATTGTTTTTCGATGCCAGGCAAATCTTTACCGATCGTGTTTAGTTTACCTTGCAACAATTCATAAGCCGGCAGAAACCAGTGGGCTCGAAGGAACCAAAGAGAGCCTTGTCCAGGATCATCCGTTCATTCATTATGCTACTACAAATCTCTTTGCTCATGCAGAAAAGGCTTTCAACTTTCGTTCCAACGTTCTCTATAATGAGAAGGAGATTCTACAACAAGTGCTGAGTCCATGGGTCCACATTTATCAGAAGCTAGATGGGTATAGCGGAGTATGCCCACCAAGAGACACAACACTATTACATATGGCTACTGCTGCCAATCTGGTGGACCTCATAGAGCCTGTGTTGTCGGATGTTAAGGATGTCGCGATAAGGAACAGAGATGGAGATACAGCGTTACACTTAGCAGCCCGATGGGGTCATGTCGCAGCCGGCAAAATACTCCAGAGGAGGGGGGCAGACCAAGAGGCAAAGAACTACAGCGGCAAGACACCATTACTCGAGGCAGCCAGTGGTGGCCATATCGAATTTGTCGAATGGCTGCTAGATGAGGGCGTGGATCTGGGAATAGAGGGAGATGGAGGTGTGCTACAAGCAGCTTCTTTAGGAGGCTATGAGAGTGTTGTGGAGATAATGCTCGGAGCTGGCGCCGATGTCAACGACCAGGGTAGTGAATACGGCAATGCTCTGCAGGCCGCTGCATTTGGAGGAAGCAGTGGGATCATGCAGATGCTCCTCGACGCTGGCGCCGATGTCAACGCCCAGGGTGGTCACTTCGGCAATTCTCTGCAGGCCGCTGCATATAAAGGAAGCGCTGAGACAGTTCAGATACTGCTCGGAGCTGGCGCCGATGTTAACGCCCAGGGTGGTCACTTCGGCAATGCTCTACAAGCCGCTGCATGTAGTGGAAGCGCTGAGACAGTTCAGATACTGCTCGGAGCTGGCGCCGATGTCAACGCCCAGGGTGGTGAATACGGCGATGCTCTACAAGCCGCTGCATCTAAGGGAAACGCTGAGACAGTTCAGATACTGCTCGGAGCTGGCGCCGATGTCAACGTCCAGGGTGGTCAATACAGAAATGCGCTCCAAGCTGCCTTTTCTGGAGGACACGATAAGGTCCTGCGGTTGTTGCTAGGGCGGGGAGCCGATGTCGACACCCATGGCGGAGAGTACGGTAGTGTTGGGAGTATCCTCCAAGCTTCTATTTTCGACCGGGGTTATCGAAGTGGAGCGACGTACCTGTCAACAATACCGACCTCCGAAGCAAAGAGCAAGGTGGATTCACGATTTTACAGTTCCTTGGATGGATCGGGACTGAAAGCGGGAGTAGAAACCGACCAAGACGAGACTTTATTGAACAATATCAACCCCAAGGATGATGTCAAAAAGGATGCCGTCGGGGAATGCTGTGATACAGAAACCACATACTCCATTGACTTCGCTCTAGATCACTCATCTCTTCTATATGTTCAGGCTTTTGCCGATCAGCTCGCATTTGACTTAAGAAGCATTTCCAATGTTTCAAACATCTCAGACATATCCCCGGACTTTTTGAATCATCTGTTGAAGGCATTCACATGGACACTGCACAGAGAATCGTCTACCCCATTTCAATGGGAAGCAGCCGCCACGATTCACCGTCAACGAAGGTATGTAAATATTACCGCTAAGAAGTATCCAAAGTGATAACATTTTTGGTCTAGGCAAATCATTAACCATGTGACGTCGGGCCTCCAAGAGATAGATCCAGGAGGTGATGATAAGGAGGCCTCGGAAGGGTCAGTTAGTGATGACGAGCTGCTGACGCGCAAACCATTTGAGAAGAACCCTCATGAGGTTCTAGAATGGGTTATCAATACTGAGCCTGAGCCGTCCGGCGTGAAGGACCGTGACCAAGATGCGAACACATTTGATACCACCGAAGAGCAGATTGGATTCCAGTTGCCAGAGTACGAAAAGTTTATCCAGGAATCAATGGCCTATAAGGATTGGCTTCTTCCTAATATATGCCAAATTGGTCGACTGGAACCTGGAAGTCCTAATCTAATGCGCGACATAGGTTTGAAAGTGCGATCCCAACTAGGAGCATTTACCTTGCTACGCAAAATGAGTCATCGAAGAGCACAGTCTTTGATAAAGATGACTTATAATCTTGACTGGGATCCCGCGAATTTCATCCATAATCAATATTTCCACGATCAAGGGCTCTCCCTTCCTCCAATTGACCTTGAAGAAGTCGTTTGCCTGACAGGATCATGGAGCAATGCACAAGCTGCGACCGTGGCGGATTACATGGGCCAAACGTGGCCTGGAACCGGGAAATACATCATGACCTTGTTAAAAGAGCTGATCTGCCTTCCCAAGGGCCAAGAATGTGTTTGTAAGTCTCCTAACTAAGACTTGAAGATAAAATATTGACTCTTGTTTCTCTAGATCAGCTACCAGGACATGAATCATCTCCATTCGACATCCATGGATTGAATAATCCACAAATTACAGCGTGTATACTACCTCCATCTTCATGTTCTATCACCGCCACCGGTGACAGATATTTCGTTTCCGAGATAGCTGAACAGATCGGATGGTTAGCTTCAGCTCTACGATCATCACATCAAGGCGTGGTGGCATGCTACCCTCGCGTTCACGATCTTGAAGCTAGCGTCAGAATCGGAAAATCATCAACAAGAACGGTAGTGGGGTCGTGCTCTATAGTATTTGAATTCGAAAAGGGTACCAAGATACAGACTGAAGCTCATGCATTCGACTTGAATTCAGGCATCCGCAGTGAAATCTTGGTCCGAGGCTACCCAATCCGAACGGGGCTCGGAATCGGTGTTGAGAAGACCGAGGATAATTTCAATGTGCAGGAGGATTCGGTCGGAATAGACCTTTCCACAATTTCAAGTGGAGGTGGAAAGCATCTGCGTGAGCAATCAGCTTACAAGAAAATTATTTGGACGCCTTCTATCTCCCGTTGTCTTTCCTGGTCAAAAAAAATGATAAGGCCAAGATTAAAAAGCGGATATCGTCGAATTGAGTGGACGTGTGTAAGTTACATCCAATACTGGTCAAAAGAACGGGGACCGTCAATTTTTCCAAAGATTTGAAATAATGCTGACGGATTACAGGATTGTGGAGTAGATCTTTATGCTGATTTTGATAGCAGCGATACAGAGAATCTCGATAAATTGGCTTTTTCATTACAAAACCCCGGACATAAAAGCACCAATGATGCTTTGAACATTCCATCTGACTCATCAAGCACTGCGATTCATAATAAGCCTGAAGACTCCACACCAACAGGCACCAGAGCGATGAGCAAACCCTTGGGCAGCTCGAGAACAGAACGTAACAATGCTGTTGCAAGTTCTGTCAATTTTCCTCCAACCAGCGACGGCCGAGCGAGATTCCTAGCTCTCTGTGTCAATACGGGCGCTATATATAAGACCTTGGCAGAAATTGAGACATCTAGCGTGAATTCCGATGCAGTCGCTTTCAGTTTGATGAAGCATGAATATCTCAAGACAAGAGGACTGCGTTCAAGATTCGGATTCTTGATTAAACCAATATCTATTGAGTTCATTCAGGTAAGTCATTCATTCGTTCGTTCGAGCACGGCATGTGTCCTATTCAGATACTGATAGCTGCTTAGTTCACGCTTTGGAATCTTCGAGGCGGTTATATCTCTGTTTGCAATCGGCCAAACTGCGTTCCTCCGGACAACTGCTACGAATATGAGTTTTCTAGACCCCTCACGCCACTCCCACCAATGCCACCGGAAATATTCATCCATTACCTTGAGCACGGCGAAGGAGAATTAAACCCCGCTCGAAATGACTGGCTTCCTCGTTTGCCGAAACGAAAGGAAAAAAGAGTGGTTGACTGTGATGAGGCTTGCTTTGGATGGGGAATGCACGTTATTGAAGGGCCGAATCGCGAGGTGATCTTCTGGATCATGATGTTTACAATTCTTGCCAGTGTCTTGACGAGTGTGCTGTGGTCAACTCTTCAAAGCGACGTTCAAGGAGGTACAGGGATGGGAGCCCTCATTGTTGCTCTCCCACCAGCCATCCTGGCAGCCTTTTTGTTCCGTCTAGGGGGATATAACCCGATACTTGAATGGGTCCTTGACGAAGCGCCTGGCAGCACCAACTTTCGCCCCGTGCTGAACAAAGAGACCCCTCATGGGTCTGCGTGAGATCGAGGCAGTTCTCAAGTATCATACAGCGTACTCTCTGAATATTATCCCAAAATGCCCGTTACTATCCCGTAAAAGCTGCCATCCAGTATATTCCCCTATAGCTCTATTAAGCAACCCGGGGATCATGATAGATTCAGGACTAGGCATGATTACCTGGCCTTTGATATTAGGTGATGCGACTACGTGTCCTTCAGATGAAAGGGCCAGAAATTATTAATGTCAATCGGTAGACCATTGAACTGACAGTTGACTTCTCCGTACATTTCTTCCTTTTTTCAACTCGCTGGCTGTCCTCGGCTTAGAGCTGCTCACAAATATCGTGAGGAACATCATCATGGTCCTCGAGCATTCCACCCTGCTCCACATGTTGAACGACTGCTTTAAGGTGATGGGTCTTAAAATGGTAGCGCTCTTTCCTTCTGGGTCTCGCCAGCAATATGTCGGCACGGAGGCCCCGGGCACCGTATGACACGATAAACATGTCTCCACACTGGATTCTTTCCAGAGGTCTGTTGGGCATCAATTCGCGCGTTTCGGTCGGCCAGCATCCGCGTGGTGACATTTGACCTTTCTCTTTTTTCTGGGGTAGAAGGAAGAGTCCCACTGTTCTCTATATAGATGTTGACTGACATGACCAGCCCAGAACCATCTAGTCTTACCCGACGATTGCGGGCCAATTTTTGTCGAAGAATACTGTACTATTACCTTCCTCCCTTATCTTAGATGACACGAAGACGAATCATATCGCATCAAATTATAGACGCTACGCTAAACTGGTCTCTGACTAAAGGCCTCCTGTTTAGCATCTAATTGTGCATCTCGCTCGTCGAATATCCTTCTTTTGACGGAAGACTTGCCTCTTTTCTCTCCTTTCCGTTCGGCGATTGGAGATTGGTGGTCCTCTATATAGCATAGCTGAAGCAAATACTTCGACTCAGTTCCTTGCCTTCGTTGAACAAAGTCGCCCATATTTGAAGCTGGTTATCGATAACGTTCCAGTCAATATCGATCTTGTCAAAACGCTTCTTTAGGTCGCGCTGCGATCGATCGTTTACAGACACAACAATTGCGGTGTCATCAGCCCTTACCCTTCGACTACGGGAGACTTTACACTGAAGGATATCCTGCAGTACGTTTTCCAGAAATAGCTGCCAGTAGTCGCTTAGATCCAGAGCGAGATCTTCCTCTGTGTCCTTTGCTACAACCAAGTTGTTGACTTTAAAACGCCACTCTATGTGGTATTGGACATAGGCAGGCGGGATCTCGTCGTAAACTCTTCCCTCTTCCCACTCAGACAACCGAAGGAGTGTTAAATCATCTGACCGTAACTGGTTTACAGTCTGATTACTATTCCCAGGCGCATAGAGGGTGGGGCTGCATGTGGATTCCAGTTCGTAAGAGCAGCCAAAGAAACCCGGGGTCGGGGTATACTGCGAGTTCTCTTCCCATATCTCGAGTTCTTCGGGCTGAGAGATGTTATCGACATGATATGGACTTTGAGTCATCTCTAACCTAAATCTCGACGCTTGAGTGGCTCATGTCAGCTCATGTGGGGACGCCAGCTTTCCACTGATGCTGTTGACGGATGAAAATCGCAAACGAAAAGATCAATCATGGGAATAAAGAAATAAAATCTCCTACCAGGTTAGTACTGTGCGCTAGCAACCAACGCGGCCTTCAAAACGCGTAGAAATGAGTGTGGTATCTCTAAAACGAGTGTGGACGAAGCCTGCGTACGTGATGGAGGAAGGAGGAGGACAGGTAGGTGGCAGCGATCCTGCCATATGGCCAAACCTTTTTCTCTGTTTGGGATGTTTGCAGAGAATATTCTACGATGCTCCATCAAATCTTACTGTATCATAACAATGAGCCATTTAATACTGTTCAAGCAAGACGATACAGCTTGACAGGGGTTTAAGGAGAAGTAACTATATTAGGACTAGCACGTTTCAGGATAGGGTTTAGGAAATGATCTGCGAGTACATGGGGGGGAATCTATTTTCGAATACGGCAGTATCAGCAGCTAAGGCAACTTGCCGTTGAAGTGATAGTGGACAACTTGCCGAAGCTTCGAAAAGGGTTGTTTCCGGTGCTTGATTCCAGACTCATGAAGGCGGTTCCCGACTTTACTCTTGATCTATGCCAAGCGACACTGGACAAGTATGTGGGTGTTCCACTCACCACTTTGTTCTCTGTATGTCCTTAATTCAAGGTACACCCAGCCAGGGTAAATCTGTCAGATTGGTCATACCAAGCTATTTCGAGATAAGATAGTGAATTTACTTAAAGAAGGTGGCTAGGGTATCATAATTTCGAATGAACTCATGTTATCGTTCGCGAGGGGACGAGGTTAATAAAATCATCATCATCACCACTGTAAATGATCAGCGTACCTATGCTTAGATCTAAAATTGCATAAAAGGAAAGAAAATAAGGTTTCCGGATTAAGCGATACATAAACAAACCAGCTGTGCTGGTTCTCTCTTGACGGGGTTGGTCAAAGAAAAGAATTTAATATTAGCTATTATCGAAGCGAAAAAGCGGCAACATGCGCTTCTTGAACATATTTTGTACAGAAATGGAGATGGCTGGTCAAGTCAATTGATGATTTTATTACGTGAAGCATTTGGTTGAGAGAACTACAATAATAAACAGGCTTGGCAGGGAGTGGAGGGTACATTCGACGAAATGAACAATCTGGTCAACCGGTTTTTCAGGTTAGAAAGTTGTTTGCATTTGTTTTTTTCTTTTAAACAATCAAAGCCCTACGATCCCAATGATGACTAGATGAATGAAATTTGAGGGCAGGACCTGTTGAATGGCCTTATTAATAATGGTTGACCAGAAATCATGCAATTTGGTTAATAAACCGATTTAATTATCACCCCCCAGCGTTTTCTTGTGTAAATCTTATTCTTTCGCCCTAAAATTAAATTGAATCGTTGCTCTTAATTGGTGTAAGTAGCCAATATTTTTGTGTTGATCTTGATAATCTTTTGAGATTGATCACTCAGATTAAGAAAGTTGTCGTCTCCCCCTCTTTCTTTTTTAAACAAATTATACACGCATTCTAGTTCGCAAGACCAACCATCCGCACAGGCGATCAATAGAAGGAAGTGTCAAGTTTTCCGTCCTGTTTTCGGCCATGTACAAGAGAATCAACAACCCTTTAATACATGTTTAGCGATATAAAGGC